TTCTTTGTTGATACCAGCATCTCTGATCCCCAAGCCCCTATCTACAAAATTTCAAAAGTAAGTAGGGAATTCCAAAATACGGCAACACATCATAACAGTTCTCTAGGGCTGCCATAACAACAAAGTAACAGACTGGGTGGCTTAAATGAAAGGACTTAATTCCCTCACAGTTCTGGAGGCTTAAAGTCCAAGATGAAGGTGTTGCCATGTCCAGTTTCCTCTGAGGTGTCTCTCGTTGGTTAGCAGGTGGCCACCTTCTGTGTCTCGACATGATCTTTCCTGTGTGTGTCTGTGTCCTAATCTCCTCTTCTTATAAGGACATCAGTAATACTGGGCCAGGGCCCACCTTAATGATCTGATTTAATCTAACTACCTCTTTAAAGTCAAATACAGTCACAATTCTGTTAGAATTTTAACACATGAATTTGGGGGTGAAAGGAGGGGAGGCACATTTTAGCCTATAACACACACCAAGAGTTTCTTTTGGTTACCAAAAGATCCCGAGGCTCTGTAAACTCTCAGTCGATGACTAATAGAGAAACAGAGAAAAAGGTTCATTAGAAGCCAAAATGCAATCACATGATATCAATAAATGGTTCCTCCAAATGTCTCCACGGAAAGGCATTTGGACAGTCATTAGCTAAAGGGTTTCTACCATAATACTTGTGAGGACTTTGTGATACTAATGTAGCAAATGGAATTTCTACAGGTTCACAATGAAAAAAAAATCATTGGGGAAAGGTGAAAATTCTAAAGGAGGCTATAGTTGACCCTTGAACAATGCAGGGATTAGGGGTACCAACCTCCCTTGCAGTTGGAAATCCATGCATAACTTTTGACTCCCCCAAAACTTAACTATCAGTAGCCTACTCTTGACCAGAAGCCTTATCAATAACATAAACAATTAGTACATATTTTCAATGTTATATGTATTATAAACTCTATTTTTACAGTAAAGTAAGCCAGAGAAAGGAATGTTATTATGGAAATCATAAGGAAAATACATTTACAATACTATACTATAAACAATCTGTGTATAAGTGGACCCATGCAATTTGAATCATGTTGTTCAATGGTCAACTGTAGTTGCTAAAAGATGCTGGCAAGCTAGAAGCCAGAATTTTCTTATTACTAAACAGCCCCATACTGACAAAATGTAAGTCACCATTAATTAGAATTTTTGTAAAACATCCAGCTTTATAAACATCAAGATTCTAAAGCTGCTCTCCTTTATTCCCAAAAGCATCACTGGTCATGGTGCCAGATTTGGGCTTTACTTGTTCCGGAAGGCTTTCTTTAGGCAGAAGATGGCAAAAGAAATTAACTGCATAAACCTAAATACACCGAAAAGCAAAATAAATAGGAGATACTGTGAAATGGTAAATGTCCTGATTTTGAGCTATTTAATTAAGCTTCAAAACAAAAAGGGAGCAATGAGCTTCTTCCCCTCGGAAACAGAGAAATAGCAGAGACCGCTTTTGTGTTTACACTGAAACAGGTCCACTGAGCATCCTCTATAAACATTAAATAATGATCACATAATATCAAAAATGAAAACCTCTTATTATTTATTGAACTGGATCCCATGCTCACAGGAAACCTGGTGAATGAGATTCTCAAAGGGCTTTATAAATGCTCTCTCATTATTGTTCACCTTTGTTTGAAAAGGTAAGCATCTCATCTCCATTTCAGAGTTAGGGGTTAAGACAAGGGTTAGGCAAATTATATAAAGTTATACCAAAGTCTGCCAATGATACAGACCAAGGTCTGTTACTGCTCGAGGACTAAAAAAAAAAAATCTCTCTTTGAAACATTAAGCAACTTACTAATTATTTTTAGGAGGGCATTTCACAAAAATATATTTTATCTGTACATCATGGTCTGGAAAGAAAAGTCACAAAATAATAACTGTGCGAAATAAAAAAACCAGTGTGGTTTCCGGAACGCTTTCTATTCTATGGACCCACCCATGTGGCTGGAGATTTGAAATGCTATTTTAAGTCTCATTTTCCTTCAGAAGCTAACCTCTGTGGAATAAAAGACTGTTAAGGGGGAAAAAAATCTTTTCTGTCATTTGACTTTAACTTATGATAAATTAGCTTCAACTAGTTTCTTAGAAAATTGCCCAAGAAATGACTACAGAAAATTAAATACCAAGACTTCAAAGAGGCAAACACACAGCCTTCAAATTCCGACCTCAGAGAATAATCCTCCCTTTCTCATGCTTTGGATAGATGTGAGTAAAGAAATCCGACTAGGGCATGGTAATGAACCATCTTTCAAATGACTTTTCTATCAATCTTCTTTTCAAAGGGTAATAAAGTGATGATTATTTCTAGGCAGTTTCTGGGAAGTTATCATCTCATTTCAACAGTCGCCAGTAAGAAGGACTGTACTCTGGTATCACAACAATGATAAGGGCAAGAACTGGTTGAGAATTCAATAGACAAGGTATAGGTTGTTAAAAGCTATTTCCTGGAAAATTAAAACAGAGAGAGATCAAAAGAATTGTGTTGGGTCTTAAGGAATTGGTAATCATTCCCTTCTAGACTAAAAATGCAAATCTGATTTATTACCTAGTGAACAAAATCCATTACCATTTGAAGGTTTTATTATTTCTTTCAACAAATAATGTTGGAAGCTTATAATGTGCCATGTTTTGTGCCAGATGCTAGTGACTGATGGAGAAAGACAACAGACTATGATGGGGCATTTGTATCATGCCTTCTAGACCCTCAGTGGCCCATCTTGTCTAAAACCGGTTAACAAACACCAAGAAAATAAAATTATTTTTTTAAACATTCAGTAAATGGTTGCTTCGGAAGTCTTAGTCACCTAGAACTTGTTTTGCAAAGCCACAGGAAATAACAATGAGGAAGAAACACCCAAAACTATATTTGATCTCATTCCCCAGAGTGGACAGAGGCTTTAAGATGTCATGGGGCAGGAGTCGCTCCAGGAACATACAACCTCCTGGAAAGGAGTATGTGTACACAAGATGCCCTCAGAAAGGACTCCTGGGAACCCGGCTGCTTCTCTGATCCCCCAAGTCAGATCCCATGTGTGAGATGGGCTTTGTGCTCATGCAAGGATTGTAGACTTTTGTTTTTCCTGAGTGGTTCCTAAAACCAGCCCTAGCTAGGTCTTCTTTTTGCCCTAATTCACTTATTCCAGTCAGAACCTACTACCCATTGGCAGAGGAAGCATGGGACACATCACTGGATCCAACATTCTCCACAGAAATCAGGGCTCTTTTTTTTTTTTTTTAAGTATTAACCAGAAATCCAAACTTGGTACCAAAGGGAAAAAAAGGAAAAAAAAAGAAAGAAACACGAGACATAAAGCTTTTTAAGGGCAAAGAAATGCTCCGTTCATTGCATCCTCATTGCTCACACAGTTCAGAGAAGGCACTTTGGTAAAAATCTGACCGAATAAAATAAAACTGACCGAATGAATGAATGGACATCCACCCTTCTGTGGTCATGAATCACTCAAAAGTCATGACTGTCACATCAGTTTTTGCATGCAAGCAATCCTATGGGGATCTCTGATCAGCACTTCATAAGTATATTATTTTGGTGGCTTTTCTGAAAGAAAAGAAGAGGAAAAGAAAAGAAGAGAAAAGAAAAGACGAGGTACAACACAGGCATTTGAAATCACAATGCATTTGTTTTCAAGTTCCATGCCAGGTGACAAATATTTGACCAATCAATGAGTGCCTTTAGTTTGGCTCTTGGATAGTAAAACTGCCTCTTTCCACAGTTCAGTGCAGCACCCGATAGATCCCTTAGTGATTTGCAGAATAGGATAAAGCAGTTAGGTCCTGAAAAAAAGCATTAATATTTTATCCCCATTGTCAATCTAGAAATCACCCAAATGTCCTCCCCACCACCACTTCCAAGACCAAAAGTAAAAGGGGTACAAATTATTTCCTTGCAAATCGCCTAAGAACCAACTGCAACCCTTGGCAAATTAAATCTGTGGCTCTCCAGCCCTGTGTGCTCGGGCCACATGTCCCCTGAGGTATAACCTGGAAATACAGGAAGGTGGGTTAAGCAAACCAGCTCATGTAAAGGCTAAAGATAAAAAGGAGTTTCAAGCCCTTCCACTCTCTCCTTGTGTGAAAGTCCCTGCTTGTTCTGCAAAAGAGGGTGCAAAAGAGGGATGGCTGCTTCCCCAAAGGTTCTGTGCAGTGCACCGTCCTGGGAGCCTTCCTCTGGGCCTCAGAAACTGATTGGCGTGTTCTGAGACCAAACTTAAAATGCACCCCGGGGCACTCTTTTAAGCCACCAGCGTTCTGCACTGGAATGAAGTGAACACCTTCAAAGCAAGTTTTCAGTAAGAAACCCCATCTTTCCCCAGAGGACCTGATAGAGTAACTTAGCCCATGATATTATATGCACAGCTTTGGAAAAGAGAGTCGTGTTTTAGAGGTTGGCCTAGTCAATGCTAACTGATAGTACCCCGGAGCTTAAGGGAAGGGGAAATACTTCTTTGGTAATTCCTAATTCTGCATATCCTCATTCCCCTTTAAGAAAAAAAAAAAAAAAAAAATATATATATATATATATATATTTTAAAGCATGCAGGAGCATTTGTTTTAGATTTCCTTTCTCCTTTCTTCCAGAAAAAAACCTGAAATGTCCAGGCATCCTGTGATTTACTAATTAAAAAAAAAAAAAAAAAACCTCAAATGCATCTAGATTTCACCAGGATACTACCTTTTTAACTGGTGAGACCATGCAGGAGTATGGTCTCATCTGTGCAAACACATCCCATTCCCCATTCCATTGCTTTGCTGGTTGTTGCTATTCAAAGCCCTCTGCCGTGGGAAAGGAGAAAGGAAGTCAGATGGTTTTTATATCCACGTCCACACAAAAACACAATATGCGGATGAGGTAACAAACAGCAGTGGGGGCAAAGAGTCAGCACACACAGTGAGAAAATAAATTAAATTCATTTCCCTGGTTCTTTGGTGCCCACCCCCCCACCCGTCCTGCTCCAGGGGTTCTAAGCCACCAGCTAAAGCAATGAGGTAGGAAGGAGCAGTCTTCCCACTGGATCATCTGAGTGTCTTCCCACCAAACTGCAGGAGGATGAGCGCATGCAGAGCACCATGCGCCCAGGTCAGTATCTGGGAGAACCCGTTCATCAGACACCAGTGAGGTCTTTCGGCAGGTGAGACTTGAGGCTCAGAAGGCGTGTCTCAAGGAGGGCCACAGGGTAAAGCCATCCTGACAGAGGCTCTGGTGTCACCTACGTTACTCCAATCCACCTCTGTTGCCAAAGATATCACGGGAAGGAGGGCAACGGCTGGAATCCTCTCGCTTCTCCTTCTCTTTTTACAGTCGTGTGACATCTTCTGGAGAGTTCCTCTCCGTGTTCCTTGCCAGAGCCCCCTCCGTGGGTTCCATTTTGATATCAAGTCCAAAAGTGGAAGTTATCCTTCCAGGGGAATAGTCATTTCTTTTTAAATCTGCAAGGAAAACAATGAAGACAGTTACAGGGGATCCTTAAGAAGGCAGTGTCCACACGGATAAAATGAACTTTAGGTCTGGCCAAGTGCTAAGAAAGGACCCAGCTTGCTTCCTCAGGTGGCAGATATGTGAAACTCGAGCCCTCCATGTCCAGACTACCCCTCTCCCCTGGCCCCAGAGTCTGTGTGCCACCCTAACTCCCTAGTGCTGCTGTAGGGGCAGGGGAGGGAAGATGTGATTGCTAGATTCCACACACTGCGCCCTAGAAGGCACAATCTGGCTGGAGTTGAGTGAGGCCAGCCTGGAAACAGGGCATTTTCATTGCTCAAAGATGCACAGGACCAGGTTGTAATGATTAAGTTTGTTAACCTTAAATGTATATTCCCAATATTATTTTTTAATGTTAAAAGGGGATTATCTGGATATAAAACTAATACATATTATAGTTAACTGATAACCAACATTTGTTGGACCTATGCATATATTGCTTCAATCTTCACATCAATTTTAGGAACTAGGTGTTATTAAACTCAGTTTATGGATGAGAAAAATCAAGGCCTGAAGTTCCCTAGCTAGTAAAACGCATTAGTGGGATATGAGCTCAACTATCTGGCTCTGGATTCCAAGCTTTTATACTCTATTCTGAACTACCTTTCCTTAAAGAGAGGGAGAAAAAAAAAAAAAACCATAATCAAGAGCAAAGAAATATCACCTGCAGTTCTGTTTTCCTAACTAAGCTTTTTTTATATTCATATTACCAAATGTCTGAATAAATGGGGATATTCCTAATTTCCACTTAAATGCATTAACTATAGTGTTGAAAGAAAACAAAAATTAAGCCCATACGTGGAGGAATTATTGAGTTACTCAACACCCACCATCATGGGTTAAAAAAAAAAAATGATCTCAACTTTAATCATGCAGAAGAGCTAACTTGAGCTCACGGATGGAAGCAGCGAGTTATGCCTCCCGCCTCCTGTTCTCCCGGCTGATCAGATACAGTCCCCGTGTCTTCCAGAGAGGAAGCCCCTGGGCAGCATGTCCAATGTGTTGTGAACTGATCTCTTTGCCTAAGTCTGCCATGCCACTGTGAGACTGGGTTCTGAGCTGCCCCAAGATGAGAGTGACGGTCCCCCTCTCTGCCACTCCAGTCCGATCTGCCCACCCCCACCGGCTCCCCCGTTGACAGCCCTGGCTGGCAGGCTAATTCCCACTGGAACTAGAAGCCTGCTCCCCATCCCCGTCTTTGACTATGCCATGCCCATGAGAGCTTCTCGACGTCCTACCTCTATCTCCAACAAGATTAGAAATTGCCCTTCTTTGTTGTAAATTTACACCTACTCCATCCCAAGCTACAAAGGATGATGATCTTTTACTGATTTCCGATTCCGGGCTTGGTCATTTATTCTTAGGCAGGAAGGGCTACTCGGCTTAAAATGTGAGATTCCGGTCTAAGGACAAGTTTGGTATGACCTAAGAAAAATAGTGAACAAGCAGGGACGGACATGAAGCATCCGTTCTGGAATAAAAGAGAAGAATTCGACAGAGCTGGGACTGCCAGCCTGGGGACACAGACGTCCAGCTGCTTGCTTTTATGCTAAGAATATTTGTCTGCGGTGACTATATCAGTTCCGGAAAAAGTGTGCCATATTATCAAATCAGATTTTTGAAAACATGCATTGCAATATATGTTTAACGTGGCAGGTTTTTTGTAGTGAACGGCACTACTTTAATTGACAGCTGTTGTGTCCCCAGATCCTTCATGGTCCCAAGTGTCCAATGAGTAAATAAGAATTGAAATCCTGTGGACGCCACACAGGACTCAGAGCAGGAGGGGTGGGGGTGGGGGAACCCGCCTCCGTTCAATTTTACCCCAATTAAGTCGGTAAACCTCTCCCCTTGGAGAGACTGTGACAAGAATTGGGCCCAATGTTGTTTTATCACATTTTGGCAGAACCTGAAGTAAATCCCCAGTCCTTGTAATCCCTTCAGAGACTTGAGAAATTTGCAGTCAGAAAGTCAGGCCTCGACTGTGAATGAGATAAAAATGTGATTGAGATTTTCAACTCTATCCCAGGTTACAATGGATGTTGTTCTAGGAGAGATTTACTCAGAGAGAAATAGAATTGTTCGGGGCATACCCGGGAGTTTGAGCTTCCGGCAGCAGGAGTTGCAACGATGTTTTGCAATGAAGTTTCTAATTGCATCTTCCCCTAAATTGGCTGGTCCAAACACCATTCCTCTTGATCTAGAGGAAATATCAGAATATCAATGAGATCACAGCGGAGGAAAAGGAGCTCAACTAGGATTCTCGGAGATACCGAGCAGTATCCCATAGTAACCCAGTAAACTTGAAGGAGCCAACAAAGAACTGAGCGCTTTGGGGAAGCAACTATGTTAGGTTTGCAAATTTAAAATTCAAATGCACTTCAATCTTTGTACCCAACTCCAAGACCTGCTGTGAAACTCATTTCAACGCTAATCTGATAGAAGAGTGAATTTTCTATGTACCCGCAGTAGAACAAAATACAGTGAGACCCTTTGCGATGCATATGGGGTGAGAGAATGACATTCATCACCAAATGTTCTTTCTACTCGAGTACCCGAAAGGTGAGGTGAGACGTAAAACAAACTTGTTATCAGAACACACCTTCTGAAAAGATTCACATACACTGTTTCCAACCCAAAATACTTTTCAGAAGATAACTGACGTCTTCAAAAATAAATGCCTGACAAAACCCTACTTCTAGTACTCACAGCTCTTGCGACAGTTGGTTCTTATCCTGCAAACTGCTCTAGCTGGGCTCCTTGGGGGAAAGACAAGACCACGAGGACACAGTGACTTTGTGGACGTAAACTACATATGCTACGTGTAAGTGACAAAATTATAAACAGACCAGCACAGACGAGGCACATTTTGAACACTCCAGAACACGACAGATCCCTAGAGGATTCTAGGATCGATGTTCATCCACGGTTAGATCCTGCACGACGCTTTTTTCAGGCTGACACTCCGCACACCACGGAACAGAGCACACCAGAGACACTCCCAAAGAGACTTCATGAAAGGTAATATTTTATTTTAATGACATGCAGAGTGGAAACAGCACATTCTAAAATCTGAACTCAATTACCACTCTTAAATACCACGTCTTAAGAAAAAAGAAAAAGCAAACTCTCACAAAAGGAAACAATAAACTTCGCTTCTGAGGAATGTGGTTTTTCAAAAGGGACGTGGTGTAAAAATGGACTTTTTTCCATCTGAGTATTGAAACATTTATCTCAATTTCCACTTCCTTTTGGCAGAACAACAGTAGCTGCTCTGAAGATGTGCCAAGCTCAGAATGAGGGCTGATGTCAGTTTGCTCTCGGATTGCCTCGTGGCTCCGAGGCGAGGAGGTGGAGGAAATCTCTGGGGAAGACAACGTGAACAGACACCCAGGATTAACTTTCCTGGTCACTCAATCGCCCTCACAAAGTGCGGCTCTGCTGGTATCTACCCGGCTGCATAAGCTGCCTCTTGTTAACTACTCCTCTCCTTCAGAGCATCTGCTAAGGAACCACTTTAATAAGACGAACCCAAATGTGGCAAAAACTATTTGTAAAAAAAGATAGAACCACTTGCAATTTAGTACCAGAACTCTTATGATGCTGCCGCTGGAGTGAAAAATAAAGGTGTTGTTTCAGCCATTCAGATGGAAGCATTCCTTTTCTATTCTCTCTAGCGCGACCCTGCTGGAATACTCCACTCCTGCATTCCATACTGTCATTACTTCCCCCCTACCCCCACCCCACCCCTAGAAAATCAAGAAAACCCCCAACTTAGAGGGTTTTCCTGATTCTCAGATAAAAGTGGTAAACTAGATCATTTCCCTCTCTGAGCTCTGTGAAAGTTAACACAGAAGGATCAAAGTGTCTCTGAAATGTCTACACGAGGGGTGTGACCACTCCCCGTGTAGGGTAGATGGGGAAGGAGTCATGGAAACACCTATTTGTAGCTATCAGGTCTACGATCCTAGCATGGCCTACAGACTTCCAGTCTCAGTTAAAAAAAAACAAAAACAAAAACAAACAAACAAACACCTGTTTTCCAGATTTTCCACAGCACAGGAAAAACAAGTGGTAGCTTGGTTCTACAAGAGAGGTTCGCCAATTAGTGCCATGTACACAGTTTAGATACAGATTTAGATACAGATCCTGTAATCACCATCATTTTGCACTTGTCAAAGGCCCCAAACCATCAAGGCAGGAAGTGGAAAACAACCCCAGACAGCCAGTAACTGAGGTTGCCTCCACTGAGGCTCAGTGACCTGAGGAAGTGCATTAAGTGGCCAGAGAGGGCTTGGGGAGGAGCCAGATGACCGTGTCTTCACACACACAAGTGTGCTCAGGGATAACTGGCACTACACTTAATATCAGAATCTGTACCACAAACACACACACACACACACACACACAAATCCAAAAAAACACAACCCTCTTCTCCTTTGGTAGAGGAGTCTGTCCTCTCATTGACTTCTTATCCTCATGGGCAAGTTAGCTCACCATCTTGACTGAGATTCAGTTTTCTCATTTGGGATCGGGGACAGAAGAAGCCTCCTCCAAACGTTGTTCTTAAGGGTAAAGCAAACATGCGAACGCGCTTGCTTAGGCACTTCTCAAGCTACAGTTTATACCAAATCACCTGCGGATCTCACCAGAATTCAGATTCTGATTCAGTAGGTCAAGGGAGGGTCTTGAGCGTTCGCAGGTCTGACAGTCTCCCAGATGGTACTGCTGTTACTGGTCTATGGCCTGTGCTTCGTGTAGCCCACACGGCACTCAAAAATGTGTGTGTTGGTGAAACAATTAGACATTGCCTGCCACCACTATGATAAAAGTTACCTTACCCAGGAAAACCAACTGCACCCAAAATTAGTAACCTCATGAAACCAGGCAGGCTACAGCCATCCTACCAATTTCCAAAGTTCCTATCTTCAAGTCATAAACGATAAAGTTTGCCATAAGACAAGAGGTGCCCATTCTTGGTTGCCCATCAGAACCACATGGGGAACTTCTCAAAAAATATAAACATCAGAGCCCCATCCTCAGAAATCTTGATGTGATACTCATTCTCAGAAGCTTTTCCTTTTCTTTCCTTTTTCTTTTTTTTTCTTTTTTCTTTTTTTTTTTTTTTTTTTAGTTTCCTCAGTGACCTTACTAGAAATTGAGACCCACTGGCCTACAGAACGCAATTAAAATACTCAACTGGGATAATATAATCCTCTGAATTCTAAAAGTTGGAAACATTCAGGTCATATTAAATGATATATATCAAGGTCGAAATGTAATAGATGATGGAGTATACATAAACTGGGTTCATTCTATACGCAAACCATTTTTCACTGCAAAATTATGAAGGAAGTACCAGGTTCCTGGTTCCCTACAAACCCATGGGCACACAGGGCTATTGAAGAAATAATAATAATATCCTTAGCTAAAAACACTTTAGCTCTGCTAAAAAAAAAAAAAAAAAAAAAAACAATAAAGCCTTTTTCTGAACCCTAAGGGTTACAACATGAATTCCATGCTCAAATATCATAGGAGTTGGATGCATAGGGCCATTATGGCTCACCTTTACCTTCTCTAACTCATCTAGTCCAAAAGAATAGCTAATATTACTTCTAGATGGACCTCTTTGCCTACAGATAAAAACATATTTAGAGGAAATCACCGAGGAAAGGAATAGAGCATTAAAGCAATGAATGTTTACAATGTGAGTGCTGTGGAAGAAAAGTAAAAGTTTCAGATTTTATTTTACAAACATTTCCCATCTATGTAATTTCTTTTATATATATTTTTTTCTACAATCCAGACATGTACAGCAACAAAGAAGTAAAAATACCACGTGCTAGCAGTTCTCAAAGTGTGCTCCAGGCAGGCAGCATCGGAATCATCTGGGAACTTGTTACCTTATTTGACCTCACCCCAAATCTGCCGAATCACAAACACAGCAATCTGTGTTTTAACAAGCTCTCCCGACTGTGATGGAAACTCATGTTTGAGAACCGCTGTCGTCTGCCATATTGATGAGTCCTTAATCAGCACCAACACTACTCTGTCCTCCACCTTTCTCAGAAGAACCTTGGACCCTCTGCTGCCAAGTTTTCCCGAAAGCCTATACATGGGATCAAATGCCCACGGGAATTCCAAGGCCAGGCAGACAATTCATTCTTCTACATAATTTAAACTGAATCCCTGAATTAAGTCAGACAATCTGATGCTTCATATGTAAGCCCCATTGTTTTGAACGCTTGCAGATTTGCTGTTACTGACTAGCACACTCTACGCCTTTCATTTTATAGGGATGTGATAGAAGACCCAGCCCATGACAAGAACGCAGGGACTCCGTTGTGAGCACAACAAGGGAAGCTGTGTTTCTCCTATGACATTGCTTCCTGGTCAAAGCCTATAGACACTGAGCTTACCCCATACTTCCCATTTGCTTGGGCCACCAGAAAACTCAGAGTTAAATTTGCAACAAAATCCTAGTTGCTGCATTGGTCTCTATACTTTCCATTTATGTGTATTAACTCCAAATTTCATCTTATTTTATTTCCATATGTTCTTTTTGCCCCTCTGTCCTCATCTATGCATTTTTCTTTATAAAAAAAATCTTATTGTATTGGATATAGATATATAGATATCCAACACAGATATCCAGCCTATAGGTAAATAAAGCCATCTCAAAATCTTTCTAGGATCTAGGCAAGAAATATATATGTTTAGAAATTAATTTTTAAAAGCCATGAACAATGTGTTAAGTGCAATTTTCTAAATGATAACATCATAAATCAACTTACTGTTTGTCTTCAGGTTTTATAACAGATGGATCAGTCAAATTTTCTCCAACACCTCCAAAGGAAAAATAAAATACATTTAGCAAATGGGGATTTCATTTCCTCAGGAATTCAAGTAAATAATAACCAAATCTTAATTTCTTTCTTTAAACTTACATTCACCCTGTAGTAAATTCAACATTATGTGACTTCAGTGTGCCATAAAAATTATTCAGGTGAGCATGAAGATTTTAGTAAATTCACTGTCTCCCACAATCCCCTGTTATGCCATAATAAACTTCGAGGCCACAAATGAACGTTTTAGTGTTGTGTTCACGGTTACTGACAGTGGCATCCATCATTCATTTACCATTTGCCTATACTAGACATTCTAATTATATTCCCTGTAATTCTCAGCAACTAGAAAGGAAAAGTATTAGCATCCTCGTATCCTCATTTTGACAACGAGTACATTGATGTTCAAGAAGATGAAGCAGTTTGTCAGAGACTGCACAGTTCACGAGTGATGATAACAGGATTCGAGCTGAGCCAAAGCTTGTGACCCTCCCATGAGGCTGTGATCTCCGTAGGTGGAGTCCATCAGTGCTCAGCAAGGCGCAAGGGGCTGCACGATTCTGTGGATACAACCTCTGCTCCATTGAAAGCACCTGTCATATGCTACATATTCAGCATTTATAAACAGATTCTTGATCTGGATGCTGGTTACACCTGTGCTTGAGAGGTATGCTTCTGCTGTGTGCACGTCCCTGAACAAATGTTTTTCTTCAATAAGATTTAGTTTTTTAAAAACTGACACCAAAACATAAAAGGACAGCACGAATGGAATTTAGTGCTAACACTGATCGAAACGGCAATCGACCTTCAGAATGAATCTGTTATAAAATGCAATTGGAGAGGAGCCGTCTTCCACCAGCAGTAACGTGTACAGACAAGCTGATCAGATGCAAATGCATCATTTGGACATTACCCAACAACTTCAGAGATCAGCCTCTGGTCTGTACTGGTTCTCTTTGCTTGGAAGAGACCAACCTTGCAGGAAAATTATTTAAAAATCATATGAAAGGGGTGCCTGGGTGGCTCAGTTGGTTCAGCATCTGCTTTCAGCTCAGGTCATGATCTCAGGGTCCTGGGATTGAGCCCGGCAGGGATCCCTGCTCAGCAGGCAGCATACTTCCCACCCCCTCTTTCAAATAAATAAATAATCTTTTTAAAAAATCATATGAAATGTAGAGCTTTATTATGTATTTCTATTTGGTAAAAAAATATTCATGTTTTCTAACCACTATTTTAAAAAGATTTTTTTTTTTTGCCATGCTCAGTATGTTTTACCATATGCTAAACTTTTCACAAGGAAATGTAATCCTTATAGTTTGTAGACCTTTCCCCCAAGAAACTGACTTCCTTAGAAAAATAACCCATTTAGGGTAGAGTTTTCAACCATTTTTGCGTCAGGACCCTCTTTGCCAGTCTGGGGAAAATAAGGGACCCCCTTCTCAAAATAATGTTTTAAAAATGCATAAATTAAATACATAAGATTACAAAGAAAACCAAAAATACTGAAATACAGTCATCAAAGTCTTTGTTTAAATTGTTCTGCAATACATGTGCCTCTTTATTAACACATTAAATAACATAATCTAGTGCAAGTCTATAACTACCATAACATCAAGTAATACATATAAACACTGTTTTTGTGATATCTGCCAACACCATAATGTGCTATGTTAATATTGGTAATTGCTATTGCAAATAGTCATGGGTACTGCTAATACCACTGTGATTTGTGGTCTCCCCTATAATTGAAGGAAATGATGAATTTCAGTTGTAGGTTAGTGAAAATAATGGTGTAATATGTCTTCTCATCAAAGTTCACAAACCCTCTGAATTCTCTTTAAGAGCATCTGGCTTACAATCTCTTCATTCTCTGATTTTGTATAAGGAAAGAAAAAGTAAGGCTGAAAGTCAGGCTCAGGGGGAGGTGTGTAAAATGTGATCTGCTCAGCCTCTATTCTTTTTAAAGAAGTCATGGAAGGATTGGGTTCTTTATACTTTTCTCATTACACATACAAGAAGGAACAGCCTAGGCTGACTCTGCTTTTCCAAAAATGTAGTAAATAAACAGAAAAACAGACAGAAAGATAGTCCAAGGATCATCAGTAGAGAGACTACAAAGGTTAAAAATCCTTTTCATGTTTAAGTTCAGATCTAACTTTAAGCCTGGACTTTGTAGCAATGATAAGCTTTAGGCTGATGGCTAAGGAAACTGTAAATTTAAGCTGAGAATACACATAGTACCTAGGGAGGTCATGTCAACCAGGAAAAAGAAAGTTTATAGGGAAGATTTTGATGTGATCAAAATTACATCAGCTCCAGTTTACTTTAAATCTTGTTGCCTATTATATAGGCAGGAGTCAAAAGGACTGGGTCCTATTCATGGCTCTATCACCATCTAGTTATGTGACCTGGACACCTCTAATCTCTCTGAATCTCAGTGTTCTCATCTGAAAGTGTGAGTAATAATGGACCTTATCTTACATGCTTACTGAGGATTAAATGAACTGTTGTATACAAGTTGTTTCACAAAGTATCCCACTCAGAGGAAGCCAAAAAAATGTCAACTACTATCTTTATTATCTTTATTCTATCAAGACCTCGTGTAAAGTAAAATTCTATTTTCTTACCACTGGTAAAATCATGTTCTGATGATCTCATTTTCCTAATGAATAAATCCCTCTAAAAGAATGAGAGTGGAGTTTCCACAAATCTGTGTATTCCTAAACTCAATCTAACGGTTCAAAGCATAACTACTAAATACATATTTTGAGGTCCTCCAATGGCAGAAGGAACATTCTAGAGAGTGATACAATATGGAAGAAAACTAGGCATTTCAACATCTCCATATCCCCATCACACTTATTTACCAACTTTAATAAGGTAAATGCCCATGTGCAGGTGGTATGTTGCATACCCTCGCAAGAAACCCAGACACATACGTTCTGATTCCAACCACCTTAAGATACATCTGTGAACCTCTAAATCTGTGGAAATAAGTTAACTTCTTTGTAGCAGTAGAATTCATGATGATGGTGTTGATGTAAAGGCTGACTCATTCTGGAAATTGCTTTGTTGAAAAAAAAAATCTAGTATCTCCAAAATTCTTTGAAGAATATAATGAGCTGTCAAAAAAAAAAGAAAGAAAGAAAGAAAGAAAGAAAAGAAAAGAAAAGAAAAGAAAAGAAAAGAAAAGAAAAGAAAAGAAAAAGAATGCTCTAGGGGTGCCTGGGTGGCTCAGTTGGTTAAGTGTCCGACTCTTGATTTTGGCTCACGTTGTGATCTCAGAGTCGTGATATCAAGCCCCGCAATGGCTCTACACTGGACATGGAGCCTATTTGGGATTCTCTCTCTCTCTCTCTCTCTCTCTCTCTCTCTCTCCTTCCTTGGCCCCTCCCCCAGCCTCTCTCTCTCTCTCTCCCTCTGGAAAAAAAGAAAGAAAGAGAGAGGGAAAAAGAGAATGCTCTAGACCACTTTGATTTGAAGTGTAATTGTTTTTCATTGCCATTGCTGGAAATCAAGTGTTGGATTTCATATGTAATGATGATGATGCAAGCCCCACATGTAGGATTTCTAAATGGAAAGAGAGTGGAAAACTATAGTATAATTACAAGTGAGCAGAAACTGGTCAAACCTTTCCTTAGAGTTCAGCTTCCAAGCCCAGTGTGGCAGTTCCTGGGTTAATGATTGGCACTCCCTTGGAAGACAGTAGAAAGGAGAAGAAAAAGAAAAGCTGCCAGGATAAACTGCCAGAGTGTTTCTCATTCCACTTTTCCCCCAAAGCACTAGGGAGCCACAGCAAGCTGATGAAGAGTCACTGCCATTTTAATGAGCTACATGGAGATTAATACTAACGACAACAATAATACGGAGGGCTTACTATAGATCAAGAACTTGCCTCATTTCAGCTCCTTAACATGAGAGATTAATAACAAGGTAAGTGCTTAATATTATTTCCCCAATTACAAATGAGCAAAGTGGGACTCTGGGTGGCTGTCCCCGGTTATACAGCCAATTCATGGTGTAGCCAGGTGTCCTACCCCAGCACTGAAACTCCAGGGCTCTTCCTCCAAACTGCTGGTACCAGGCCTCTCAGTCTCTACCTAGTACTACCTGAACAATTATACCATCATCTCTCCAAAAACTAGAAATCAATTAAATACAAAACTGAACCAAAAACTATGAAGGTATTTTAAGAATACATATATTCTCCCCATTTTTCCCTTCCAACTTGGTTTGGATTAAATATAATAATGCATTAAGTCTTTATCCAAGTGTCTGACAGAAAATAAGTGCTTGGTAAGCATTAGCTAGTAGTTGTAGTTGTATAACTGTTCATAGTTACTAGCATAGGATTCATCTTCTTCCATTGGCCTAACCAATTGGCCAAAGCTCTCCAGTAAGTATCTCAATTTCTTCACGCTCATCCTATGAGGCCCACTCTCCTTTTCTTTGAAGGTCAGTGTTTTGACACAGTTTATTTGGAGTGGCCTATTTCTGCAATTCACATAATTGCCCAGTAAAAGAATAAAGTTAATTCCATTTTCCCCCCAAGACTATCAACGCAGCATTTGTTCTGTTTAGTGTCACTTTGGATTACTTAGAGACATAAAAATCCCCAAACATAAACATCATTAAACAAAAACCTATTCAAGTGGCATACAAAACACACTAAAGAGTCATCATTAATTCCTTAAAGTTTTTCTTTGGTTGTTTTTTTTGTTTGTTTGTTTCTGTTTTTGCTTTTTAAACAACTCCACCCAAAACTCAAAGCACAGACACTCGAATACAGATGAAAACAATCAACCTCTCTCCAACATGAGCTACAAAACCAGATGCTGTGGGCATCAGCATGCTGGGCTTAAATGGATCATGTACTTGCTGGTTTAAAAGCTGAATCATGTTGACTCTTTTAACTTTGTTTATATTGCTTCCCTAAATATTGTGTTTGAGGGTTAGAAATATAACTCTGTAAACAGTGCAGATCTGAAAAGACAGAGAGACTTATTAATAAAAAGTCTATACACGTCCTTGAACACATGGCACAAATTTCAATCAGAATTTACTGGACATTGCTCGCAATGCCTCAGGATTACGTATCTTAGTTGTGCCCAGCCTCCAAGGTTGGCTTTTGGTACAGAATCCCAGGACTGGAGAGGTGGGGAAGTCAGAGAGGACAAGGATTGTGCCCAATCTGTTTAAATGAACCTATAACATGATTATGTCCTATGAAACTCATAAAGAAATAAAAGACAGTACAGTGAGAAGGAAAGAACATATAGATGGTCAAAACAGCTTCAGTCTGCAACCTGGCTCCCTCTTCAGTAGCTGTGCAACCTTGGGCAAGTTATTTGAACTTTCTGGGCCTACGTTCCCTATAAAATCTACCTTGAGGTGCTGCTTCTGAGATAACTCTTATGAAAGTCCCTGGCTAAATCCCTTATTTAAAACCAAAGCCCCAGTCAGTGAGCCCAAGGACTAAACTTTGACCTGAATACATATTTCGTTCTGTGTCTGCAAGGAAAGCCTGCTAGAGATACTCTGTTTCGTGCTGCAGGATTATAAGTCACATGTGAGGTGTTGATAGTGGGGAGATGCACTGATCAAAGGCTTCCATTAATTATGAGTGCACTGTGTTACCTCTCTCAGACTGAGTTTGTACTCTTATGAACTGTCATATCAAGGTACACAGCAAAGAGAGCAAGCTAAATTATAAACTGCCAAAGCACTGAGCTCAAAATCAGTACATTTAAAAAGTCTATACATGTCCTTGAACACATGGCACAAATTTCAATCAGAATTTACTGGACATTGCTCACAATGCCTCAGGATTATATATCTCAGTTGAAAAATGCCCATAATTTATACTTTCCCATGTGTATAAATGCATGCTGAAGTGTTATTATGAATATAAGTTCAAGGTGAAGCCATAAAACTAGAAAATTTGGTACAAAAATCATTCTTCACTTAGGGTTGCCTGGGTGGTGCAGTTAGTTGAGCAACCAACTCTTGGTTTCGGCTGAGGTTATGATCTCAAGAGTCTTGAGATTGAACCCCACATGGAACTCTTCCCTCAGCACAGAGTTTGCTTGGATTCTCTCTCTCTCTCTTTCTCTCTCTCTTTCTCTCTACCCCTCCCTGCAGTACTCTCGCTCTTTCTCTCCCTAAAATAAATTTTTAAAAAAATCATTCCCCATTTAGATAAAAGTTTTAGATGTATTTAAATTTTAGACAGCTAATCATCTGCCTATATTTTTCTCTTGTGCTAAGTGGGAAACAACATAGTAGGTGCTCACAATCATCACCACACGATGTCTCTGAAATAAATGCCTCTCCCTCCCTTCAAAGCTAGGTAGAGCAACTCCATACATTACACATCCTAGTTCTTATAAGGTTTCTTGGGCCACCTGTCTGGTTCCTTACACTTTAGACAATTTCACAAATAATACATTCAGAAAATGGATACAATCTTTCAATTTTCAAATTAAGAAACACACACACACTATCAGGGAATGTCTCCATTAGAATACCTTAATGATGGTTTTACAAAGAAAGAACCAAGGTCAAATGTAGTTGACAACGATATGGACAAACCATCCCTGGTTTGTCAATGTTTCCCAAACTGTACCTCATGTTTGTATGAAGTCTTAGGCTATTAATCACCTTGCAAATCTAAAACCAACAGCTCTCCCCGGGTGTACTCATAGGTCCAGTGAGAGAAAGCCAACATCAGCTCCTCCAAGGTGTTGCTGGGGGCAATTTCATCACCGTTGTTGTTGTTGTACTTCCGGAAGTCTCCTGTCATGTACTTCTCAATGGTCAACCATTGGTTGGCCGAATGGCAGTAGATTAAGAAAACTTCTAGGAACCTGTAAGGGGGTGGGGGGAAAGGAGGCCACTGAGTCCCCACAAGGCAGCAAAGGTAAGACTTACATTACCAAACAGTCAGCAGCAGGGGAAATTATCTAACTATGCACATGCCTCACCTTTCTATGGCAGGGACAGAACGCAAAGATTAAGCATTTTCCCCACATTTACCCACCTCCCTTCTCTTTGAGGAGACCTTTCAACTCCTTTATGAGTATCAGACTTAACTTTTCTTACTGTGCTCCATAAAGTTCCTTGTAATTGAAACAATAACACTTTACTATCACCCCCAGCATGAAATTATATCTGGCTTGCTAAATGAATGCCAGTGTCTTGAGACACTCAAGTGAAAGTAACAAGAGTTCAATCTCAGAAAGTCCCTAATTTCTCTAAGATATCAGGGGAAGAAACTGTGCTTCAAATAGAAATGATTTTCTTCCATAATGTTCCTGGACATTAAGAACTACTAAGGTCTTCATGTTTCACACAACTGAGACGTTAGTCATGGCCTCTGCCTAAACTTCTCTTTTCCACTCATTTACATTCAGCGTTTAAGTCAAGCTATTCCTGAGACATCTAATTCTCTTTTTAACAGAACCATAGAAGAAAGAATCCAAAAATAAGATCATGGAGAACTTCCCCACAGCTCTGGCATTTCTCATGACTAAGAGGGCTGAGAAGAAATTGAAAGAAATTCCCACTTAAAATGAAGGATCATGGTGCCCATACTCCCTGTACTCACCTTGGTGTGTAGGGAATGTTTTGTGGTTTTACTTGGTTGAAGGTATAGATTAGTTTTTGAGCAGCTCTTTGTTGTTGGATTTCCTACAAAATAGGGAGCATCGATGATAAAAAAATATTGGTTTGTTATCATATGCATGCAATCAATAATCACAGAAGAACTAGAGGGCCCCCCAGTATGATTTTTAGCCTCATTCAGCTCCCACAACACTCCATTCCACTCCAAAAGCAAAACCTCTACAAAACAAAAATAACGGAATACCACCACTTTCGGAACAGAATAGGCTGTCCTCTGCATTAAAGATAATCAATGGCCTCCAATCATTACATATATAATACATACAATTATGTATCTGGGTGTAGTCCAGAACTTTCTTTGACCTATCCCTCTAAGCTCTGGGTCTCAGACTTACCCTGAGGCAAAGATGAAGCACAGTACTCTCCTGGAAGATTTTGTGCCATGACTGTACCACCTCAGGAAGAAAGGACTTCACAATGAAAACCTGCCCTGGCTTGAGAACATCGTCCTCAGACCAAGTGCTGATGACTCTCATGGCTTTACGGAGCCCACCATCCATCTCCTCACGGGACAACACCTGGATTATCGCAGCTCTCCCTCGCTGGGACCAAGAAGACATGCTTTTATCAAGGTTCAGAGGGGAGCTCTCCTCCAGCCTGTAGACAGTTACTTCTTCTCCTGCTGCAAAAAGAAATACAGGTGAGAAGTGCAATGACATCATGTGTCTGTAACAGGTTACCATGTCCTAAATAACAACTCAGAATCAGTTTAGTTTCCCAAATGATCAGGAGAGAATGGGAATTTCAATTATGCATGAACAAGTAGAGAATAAAGGCATGGATTTTGGCCATGTTATTTGTCCCATAAAGGGAGAGAGTGGAAGAGGGAAGGAAGGGACAAAGCATCAAATGATACATAAGAATTAAGTTGTTCTTGTTATAAACTATAAGTAGAGACAAACAAAATCAAAGTAGCAGGGCTAGGATTCCTTTGTTAAAGACAAATACTTTCAAAGAGATAGTTTAGCCCTATGTTTTCATTATCATCCCCTTTACAAGCCTTATTTTTTCCTAATTCCTCCTTCCATGATATTCTAATACCAAAAATATACCATATATATATGTGCATGTACACATACAGTATGTACACACACAGCATCTACATACAGTGTATATACCTACTTATATATGTGCTTTATATGGAAAAAGAGGTTTCTGCTCCCTTGGGGGTGATATCACCCCACTGAGACTTCACGGTTTAACACAGTTGGAGTTAACACCACAGTCATACCCCAGAGCCTCACCCTCCTTCCTTTGTGCCCTTGGACAAGTTACTTAAAGCCTCCCTTTTCTGATGAGTAAAATGAAGGTAAAAATAATGCTCAACCTCACTGGGTTGTTGTAAGGATTAAATATGTTAATTTGGCTAATGTGACCTGAACTTCAGACACAAACTCAATCCCAGTTACAAGATTTTACACACAAAATGCTCTTTAACTCCCAGATAGCTGCCACTTTTAGGCTGCTGAACAGGAAGCAATTCAGCCTAGATCCTAGTGTTTAATGCTTTATAACAGAAGTAGCATATTCTATACATAACTTCTGTCCAGCCTGTATTTGATTTTCTTCTTACACCTGTTTCAAATACCTTTTGTTGTTGTTGTTAATACTATTCTGGTTTACAAAGAAAGGTATTTATTCACTCTCGAATGAATTGCTTACCAAAAAAAACACATCTAGGTAATTCTTAATGACATATTTTCAAATATTTATTCTTGGTGCCCAGATAAATGCCACTGAGGTCTGTTCAGAGTTCTAAATACTTAGAGAATTTACAGTACAGCTCCTGGGTTATGAAACCAGCCACGGAGCCATGAGGAAGGAGAAGGCATTTGCATCCATGATCAGAAGCCACCTATCTGTCCCTGTGTGAAGAGAATTAAGATCTAGGACAGAGTGGGGACCCTTGTTATATTGTCAGTTGGCTGGACAGAGAGACTCTGGTAGCCTTGGCTTAATGCGAGCTTGTTTTTCTTTACTACTCTAGCCTTTAAAAATGACATTTACTATCTGAGCTAAGAGCAATTAGTTTACATGAGACAAAACAAACTGAAAACAATATACAAAGATTTCTCTTCAGATGCCTGTTAGTTTTTACTGTATTGACATTTATCGCTTTCTTCTGTGTTTATTACACATGGTTGGTTGGTTCTTTTCTTTCCTACTTACTTCCAGCCTTAAATCAGTGAATGCCAGGTGCAACATTATTGCTTTTTTCCCAACTGCTGCTCATTATAGGTCCCATCCCCACAGTACTAGATTTTGACCCTAGATGCTAGCTGACCAGTTAACAAGAATTACCACTTTAGAAAATTAATCTCACTGCAACCACTGGCAAAACAAAATTTTCCACTAAAATGATGCAAAGTACTTTCTCCTTCAATTTAATCAGATGGTATGCCTCTGCTCTGGCACAGCCTCAGGAAGGTAGAAATGGCACTCACCAAACAGTTGGATTGGAGTAAATGGTATAGTCTGAGAAAGCCTCATTAAATTGTTCCTTTCAATGGCTGCAAACAAAAACAGATTTACTGTCTTAAGTATGCATCAGTGGACTGAATTGACAGAAAGCCTCCCCCACATCAACCTATTCATACAATACTAAATTATTTTATTTCAAAGACCCCTTATTTTTGCCTTCATCAAAAATATTATCCATAATCCAGCTTTTAAAATAAACTATGCCTTAAAGGGGAAGGATATACCCCCATCTTGAAGATTATATGAGATTATATACCATGGTCTGAGGTAGGGCTATCACCTCCACTCTCCTGAATACCAAATCACAGACTAATCCATACATATGTGGAACTTTCTTTCAAAGAGTGTTCTGTGGTCTTCATTCTCTGGTTTTTCTTTTTCCAGAGCCAATTTAATGCACAGTGGACTGTGGGGACATCTACTGTTGACTTTGTGCAGTTCACCTTCTTTTCCCAGAGAGAACCGGAGGCCAATTTTAATTAGAAGCAAGTGATCTGCATTTTCCTGTTAAGAGCCGTCTCCTAACAGATCAGAGTCAATATGAGTTACAGTATTCTTCACCAGACTTTCCAAAGTTGACAGCTGGAGTCAAAATATTGGATTACTGCTGAGCTGAAAGACCCAGTTATAAGAGCCTGGAATGCAGAGCCTGGAATCCACTGAAACACTGTTCACTACTGAGGAGAATTTAGGAAAAGGCAGTCTATTCCTGGACCCTGAACACATGTCCTTGATGTAATAATAATGGTAACTGTCACACCAGTAAACTTTTACTCATGTGCTGAGCTTTAGACCGTGTAAAAGCCTTGCCCGTATATCATCTCATCCAATGCTGAGCGCAATGACACGCAAAAGACCAACCAGTGGCACAAGTCCAGTGGGCTGTTACATTGCTTTGCATTTCAAAGTGTTTCTCTCTTAATTCTCAGCTAGCCCTCTGGCAGATTGTTCCTCAGGAAGGGCAAGTATAATTATTCCCACTCTGAAAGAAAGACAACTGAAGTACTGTGAAGCAATGCTGCTTATGAGAGTCAAGACCCTCGACATCTTGTTTAATAACATCCTTATACGGTGTCTTTGTTGAACTTTCTCAGTGGTGCTGGCATTCATTTAGCAGTTAGGTTTGCTGAGGGCCAGTGAGGGTATAAAATCCTCCTTCAAAGAACTAGTTTCAGGCCCCAGTCCAAAATATGAAGATCTCTGGCTTTGGACTTGGAAGGAATTTTTAGACTTCAAGGCCACCCTTTGTCACCATTTGGAACTTGCCAATACATTTTTCTTTTCTCAATCCTACATTCTCTTAAATCCTAACAATTTGTTTCTCCAAGTAAATGACAAGGTAAGAAATCCAAATGTTCTTCTCATGAGAGTGAACAACAGCTTTTCAAGTTAGGAATCATATCAATACTTTGCAATTCATCAATATTTCTATCTACAATTGCAGAATCACAAACGTTTGGCTCAGCTGACATGTCTGACATGCACATGCATCCTACCTGAATAATGATGGTGAGGCTCTGGAGGGCTTTTTAAGGAGGCTGAGATTTCTGAAATTATAGAGAAGATTGGCATTTTAATTACAGGGCTGGAGATAAATACATGCTTATGAATATATTGCCTTCAAAGTTATTATCGAACAGGTTAATCGGAATGGCTCCGCAGCATTTGAGAAAGATTTCCTAATATCCTTTAACCACATTATTGGGCATGGTATCCTGACAGCTTCCAATCATCAATGTAATATCTCCAAACATATTTATATGGGGAATTGAAGAAAGACAGGTAATATTAGCCTCAAAGATGTATTTCCTCCGAACCAATTACACCTCTGGGTTGCAGAAAGCACTGGGCTGCCCATCACACTTCATGACATCCCAAAAGCACAATTCTCTGAGCTCCCACCAAGATGCAGTACCCATATAAAGACATTATTAATACCAAGTTATTAGCAGTCTACTTCACTGACCTAAAATGACAATAAAGTGATGAAAACAAATTAAGAGGCATATACCAGAAACAAAGGAGGGGGCGGAGGATATGACACCAAGGGACTTGTTCATGGGGACCACTTCCTGCAAGTTTAACCGGTTCTCTTCTATCTCCTCAAGTCCTAAATTACAAGTCTCCGGAGAAATCCTTTGCAACAGTTTTGCCATTTCATAAAATTAAAATTAAAGTAGAGAGCCTTAGTCTCATGGTGGTAACTGCTTTATACCTAGTAGAGTAAGCAGCATAATGAGCCCAATTTCACAGATCTCTCTGGCTTCTTGTTGCTGGATAAGGAAAGGAACAAAAATCCCTTCCTTAGGGGGTGCTTAGTATAAAGTAAGATCAGCAGAAAGGACCCTTTCTTTTGAGTTCATTCAATAATAAAAATTAAAAAGTATTCAGCTCCCACTATAGGTCATGCTAGCCAAGACAGATGTGAAGAAGTTGTGGCTCCCACTCTAGAAAAGAGAAAATGAGAAATACTAGGAGCCAAAGACATGTAAACTATAGTCACAACACAGCTGGCAAAGTAATATAATAGATGTGTACACAGGCTTATGGAACCTTTATAGACAAGCAATGTGATATTCTTAAAGAGCATAGGCATCTGAATCTGATAATGCTGAGTTTCAATCCTGACTCATTTAAGGAGCTGTGAGAATTTGTTCACATTCATTCAGCACATATTTACTCAACACCTACTATGTGTTTAAGAGAAAGACCAGTGTAAAAACATATAAAATCTCTGGTTACCTTCTAATGAGAGGAAAAAAATTAATAATTATGTAAATATATAGTACATACAGTATTTTATATATATAAGGAACTAATTATATACATATATATGTATATGTATATATATATATAGTTAGAGGGCTAAAAATGGTAAGAATAAGAGAGGTTATTATTTTAAGGATGGCAAGTCAAGACCTCTGTAATAAGGTGAAATTTGAGCATAGACCTGAAGGGAGAAATAGGTCATATGGAAAACTGAAGGGTATTCCAGGCAGAGGTGACAGCAGGTGCAAATGTCCTGAGGCAGGACTATGGAGAGTGTAGTCAGAGTGGACTGTGCTGACAGGAAATGGAATTGGAGAGTTGGAGGAGAAGCAGCAGATCAACAGGGCTTTGTAGACCACATTTGGACTTCACTTTTACAGAGTGAGATAAGATGCCATTTGAGCAGAAGTGTGACTCGATCTGACTTTCGATTTAAAAGTGTTATTCTGGCTGGGGTCTGGAAACAGACTGTCAGAAAGCAATAGTTTGGAGGTAATCCTATAATACAGGAGGATATAAAGAGTGGTATGTGGAGGTAGCAAAGTGATCAGTTTCTTGATATATTTTGAAGGATTTACTGATGGTTTGGAAGTGGGGATGTGAGAAAGCAGGAGTCAAATATGATGGAGACTTTGGCCTCAGTAATTGGAAAGGTGCAGTTGCCATTTCATAAGATAAGTAAGGAATGTGGCATGTTTTGTTTGAGATACCTTGTAGACACCCAAATGAAGGGGTAAATAGATAGGTGGTCGTATTCTGCATGGCAGAAATGTTGAGTGAAAGAATGAACATGAGCCTGGAAATCTGGATGAGGGCCAAGCTGTCAAGAGCATTGAAAACGACTAAAGGGATTTGCAGCCTATCCTGTAGGTAATGGGAAGCCACTGGAAGCTTCAAAATAGGTGACGATTTATTGTTCAGAAAGATAATTCCAGTGGGAGCATGGGGACGTGCAAAGGGAGATAAACCAAACAGAATGCTAACATAAAATGGAGAGCAAAACTTTTTATATAGGAAAAAAAAATGTTGGAGACCCTAAGGCAGAAGCTGTGGGGTAGAGCAACACAGACAGTTTCTAAGGATGGGGCTGTGGGTAGTACAGAGGCAAAGCTGAGATGGGCAGAGTTGATGACTGGGAAGGAAAGGCATTGCACACGAACTCAGAGTCCCAGTTTGGGTAAAGGAAGAGTCAGTGATCAATGACAACAGTCAACAAAGTAATACAATTAAGAACAGCCTCAAAGAAACTTCAAAGATGGATAGAATGGTCAAGGATGTCAAATGCTGCAAGTTCCATGAGGTCTAAAAAGAGGTTGTGTGATTTAGCAGCTTCAGTCATGGTGGCCACAGACACCAGGCAGGGAAGATGATAATGTATTTTAATTAATTTGGAGGTGGACAGGAGTGGCAGTGTGAAAGTTAGGTAACATCAAGAAAATGGTTATTTCTTCTGTATATGAAATGACTTAAGTGTGTTTGTAGTTGGAGGAGAAGGACTGCTGCACAGAAGCTGCTGGAAAACAGAGTGGGATGCACAGGGCCATGGAAGGGAAGGAGGTCAAGAACATGGAGAGGAGCTCAGAGTCTATGGTAGAGTTTGAGAACAGCCTTGACAGTGGCTTTGCCAGGGAGTCATCTCACACGACCCAGCCCTACTCAGTCACAGAGTCCTATGGAGGCCAGGCAGGAAAAGGTGTCCACATAAAGATGAACAGCTCTTGGGGCAGCCCTGGTGGCTCAGTGGTTTAGTTAGTGCCGCCTTCAGCCCAGGGCCTGATCCTGGAGACCTGGGATCGAGTCCCACATCAGGCTCCCTGCATGGAGCCTGCTTCTCTCTGCCTATGTCTCTGCCTCTCTCTCTCTCTCTCTCTGTTTCTAATAAATAAAATCTTTTTTTAAAAAAAAGATGAGGAGCTCTTCAGGAGTGATATGTGAAAGAGTGATGGTAAGAGTTGTCCAAGAGTCAAAACGAGCTCAGTGGCAACACCCTCACTGATGGAGAACACTGGAAAATCACTGTCAGAACAAGGCAATTAAAAATATCTGTGAACAAGACCTCAGTCCTGATTTACATGGAGAAAGACAAATCAACTTTCTACTTTTCTACTGAAAGTTCTCCTTCATACACTAGACAAAAATCCCATAGAGAATTTCAAGAGCTATGAAAATCTCAGGAGTGTGAAAGTCACCATCAATAAGTTGAAAAGAATAAGATCTTTAAATATAAAAACTTACTGTCAGCTGCATTTGAACTTCTCAACCTGTTCGAAAAATTAAAGTTGTTTAGATAATGCTTTAAATTTTTCAATGACCAAAGAAAGGAAAAGTAAGTGCAACAGTAACAATACAGCATCTATATGTCTGTGTGTGTGTGTGTTATTTTCTTTGAAAGAAAAGTGTCATTGGACCCCAATCTATATCAGTAGAGAAATGGTTTACAACCCTACAACTATTTTCATAGAAAAACAAGCATTGCATATGTGTGCAATTCACTTAAAGTGCATGCCCTAAGCTAACCGGAAAGCAGTTGTTGGATTTTGTTTTTAATTAGCTATATGAACACAAGATATATATAAGATTTAACTGTGTTTGTGTTGTTCTGGATCAATTAAACTAAAGGGTTCCTGAACTATGCAAAGCAGATGCCTACAAATGAGTCTGCGAATGTCTCCGGACAAGCCCACAAATCAGTTTCATTAGCCCACGTGGCTCCTAAATGTTGGCAGGCTGAAATTAGCTCTCTGCAAATTGTTACTTGCCCTGCTCAAGTGCACACGTGGCCATAGGCAAGTCTGAATAAATGTGCTCAAAGAATATCTCTGGTATTGAAGGTCCTTAGGGAAGAGAGTACAATTACAATTATTGTTTAATTTCATGCTGCAATAACCCACTACTCTGCATGAGCACAAACTACCGAACCTCTGGGAGGAGAGAGTCATGTGCACTTGAAGTCTAGAGGCAGGCTTGCACAGAGACCTGCCTGTATGGGAGTTCCAGAAAAAAAGTCCATCTCAAATAGAGCTGGCTGCAAACTCCAAGTCATGTTCCACCTACTTGGTATCAACTGGCCCTTCATACAATAGATGGTTTTGAATTCTGCTCCCATAGCCATATGGACAATTTGATGATATAACTAGAAAAGTCCAGAAAACACTCCAAATGAAATGCAATAATTTTGCTTGGCTGGTTTTCAAACTTTATTGCTCTGAATAAAGAAAATTCCAGGAAAATACTCCAGCCTCCAACCATGTGAGTTTGCTAGCTCCTCTCTCTTTTGATCCCTATCTTCCCTTTGGCTTAATCTTCAGTGGGTTCTGCTTTAAAGACAGATACTTCGAATGTTCATGAGAAACCAAAAATGAAAAAGATCAACCTCATAAACTAAAATTACAAATTTGAAAAAATAATCTAAAAAGAAGACTATCAGGCCTTCAGTCTTTTTCCTTAGGTCAGACAGATTTGCTCCTACTCTTTAATGCAAATTTCACAATCTTTTCTGTCAGAAAAGATAGGATACTCATTATTCCACATGTGCTTTTATTTTTGACATTGAAAAGGCAAATGGTTAAGCTGCTGTGGTAGAACATGTTTCATTATATTCTTAAAAGGCATTTAAGGGAGCTCTTATTGCCAAGAGACGGGAAAACTTGGAGAATAAATTATTTTCCTTCTGGCTGACAAAAGAAAAATATTGTCATTGGAAATACTTTTCCCCCCTATTTTTCTGACCCAATGAAACCTTTGTTCCAAATAAGGTTAAAAAAAAAATAGCAGCCAAGGATACTTAAAACACACATTTAAAAATACTCACGGGGAGTTCCTAGGGAGGTTAGTGCTCCTAGAGTTCCACAATGAATTTTTGCTCAGATCCTAAGAAGAAGGGAAAGGTCATTACATGTTCACCCAACAGTCTCCTACCCCAGAAATACATTTGCAAAATACATGCCTTGGAGGTTTACTTCTTTTTTTGACCCTTCCTCCAGCTCAATATTTCTCTTACTGGACGCACTCAACTCAAGTTGGAAAGATGCATAATGTTAGCAAAATATCTGCATAATTCAGTGTGTTGACTGACTTTAATAGAATAAAATTACTTTTATGGGGACATCATAGAGAAAATGTATTTTATACAATGATTTTTGCAGAAATGAGAGTAAACAGTTAATGATAAAAAAAGAAGGGATGAAGGTCTAAGTTGACAAGAAACATCAGTCATATATTATATCTCTATGTCCTTTGTCCAAACATTGTTGTTTCAGTGGATAATTATTTAGAATAACATTACTTTGAATTTATCATTCTATTTCCTGTTTAGATTCAACTGTTACTTCTTGAAACCTACTATATTCCACGTATCACTCTAGGCATTTGCTCTGGTGTTATTTTGTTATCCTCAAACAATAATCTCAAAAGGATGGCATTAGCCCCATTTTAGAGATACAGTTAATGAAACTCAGATGTTAATTAATATACATAGTTCTGAAACCTAGCACATGGCAGACAGGTTCTTGCCTCCACTCACTTTCAAGCAGTCTTACATTTTATTTTCAAAACTTTCCACAGATAATACTCATGAGGTTATTAACTTCGTACATACATAAAAGTAATGTGGATAGTGTTCCCAAGTCCATAGAAATAATGTTCAAACCAAGACCAAAATTAGATTTTTGGGGTTAGTTTAACTAGACCACGCTTCCCACATGGTAGATGGCAGTAAAACAGGCACATATTTGCGGATAGTAAGGAAAAATGACCAAAAAATCAGAAAACCTCAGTGTCGGAGGGTCCTTTACCCTGCAATGCCCAAAGCCCCTTTGACACATCTGCAAAGAGGTTTGCTCAGCCTGTTTGACTAACCACCCTAAGCAAGGAACTTACTACTTCCAGAAATAAACCATTCCATCCTTAGAAAGTTCCAATTGCTAAAAATTCCTCCTCAAATTGGGCTGAAATCTGCCTCCCTGTAGTTTCTATATGTTGACTCTAACTCCGCCTCTTAACACGTATTGAAAATACCTATTTTTCTCCCACATGGCAACAGTCATATATTTCAAAACAGTTTCAAAAACTTCTGAATTATTTATCTTTCATGTTAAAAACACCCACCATAAATTACTAGGTGGACAGATAACTTGCATGGAGAAAAACAAGGAAAGCATAAAGGTTGTGGGGGGGGGGGGTGGCAGGCAGTGTGAGGGGAGTGAAAAAACTGAACATATATTCAAAGCAAGGATTAAATGTAATACCAATAAAAAGTAGGAGCCAATTAAGGGACATAAAGGTAAAACAGACATGGTCAAGGAGTTAGAGAAGTATGTGCATAAATTTTTTTAATATCAAATAAGATATTTTTACCTCTTGAGACTGCTTTAAATAATCACTGACTTGTATGGCATGCTGTTCCTTTTCTTTAGTTTTCATTTTCTGATATAGAGAGGGTTCTAGACCTTGTTAAAAGAAAGAAAAAAAATTAGAGAATACATAAAAATGTGTTACATTCAAATCACATTCCTAAATAGAAAGATCTGAACATAGTGCATTCATCTAAATTTGAATATAGCTTCTTTTTCTCTTTTTAGCAAGTGGTACCAAGATTCTTTTGTCCTTTTTTTTCTCAAGTGGTTGAAAGCTATATATCCTACAACATTTCTATTCATCAGTAATTTCCTGTGCATTTATAATCACTTATGCTCCCTAATCAAAGTCAAGAACTAAATGATCCATAACTTGAGTCCTCCCTGCAGAAGAACACTTACCAATTCTTTTTACATTCACCTTCTCCTGCACCCTATTGTCCATGCTTTATTTAAAACACATAAAATTATCATTCCAAATTGTTAGAAATCCTTCCTTAACAATTGTATCAAGCATCATAGTAGCCTACTTGAAAAAATAAAACAAAACATAAGCAAAAGATAGAAAAGATTGCCAGGAGATGTGTTTCGTTTTCAGCTCTTTCTTAAAAAGGAGGCAAGGATCATTATTGTCGTTATTTTTTATACTGGTACCTATAAAATCACAGGCATGCAGTAAGTGCTCAATAATAATTTTTCAATTGGATTAATTCTGAGAATAATGCTATTAAGAGTCCTTGGCTAAATGTAGAGGGTACCAGTAACTTTTTTCTCTAATGATTTTATGACAAAAATACACACACACACACACACACACACACACAAAGCGCAAAAAAAACCTATTGGAAAAAAAATCACAAAATGTCATATGATATTTTTGTAATAGCATAAATGGTTTTACTGAGAGCACAGAATTAAAATTAAGATAAAAATTAAGATAAAATATTTATAGGAAATATTATTTTTAACTTCCTTTTCATAGTTACATTCCTCAGAACTTTTTGTATTCAGGAAGAGCTACCTGACAGGGTATCACCCAACCCTCAAAATTTATTTTTAAATTCTTTTTCAATTAATCCATAACTGAGATACACTTCAAAAAAAAATAAAATTCTTAATTCAGAGTGTAGTTCAAGGTAGACACTGGGCCTCCTTATCTCCTCAGATAACTTGGCGCCTGGAGTCAGCCTATTTCCCTACATCTTCTTTCCCATTCTTATCATCAGACTTGAGATTCTTTCCCCAAATCCCCACTATCACCTTCATCTTTCTCTATTCAAAAGTCATTAGGAAAAACTTCAATAACTTGGGAGTGGAGGTTGAGTGAAATGGGTGAAGGTGGTCTCAGGTACAGACTTCCAGTTGTAAGATAACTAAGTCTTGGGGATCTAATGTACAGCATGGTGACTATAATTAACAATATTGTATATTTGAAAGTTGCTGAGAGAATAGATCTAAGAAAGTTCTCATTATCAGAAAATTATAACTATGTGAAGTGATTACTGTTAACTTATTGTAGTAATCATTTCACAATATATACATATACCAAGTCATTACATCTTACACAAAACGTCAATTATAACTCAATCAAAAAAGAACTTGAAAAGTTTAAGACATAATAACTTAAATATCAGTTAAACTATTTATAAAAATATAAAATATAAATAAACATTTATAAATAAAATAAATACATTTGCAATTGGTTCTAGAATCATATCTTTAGATATGGGACCTGATTTATTCAATATTACAGGCTCTCATAAACTGTGATTTAAGGCAAGACAATTGAGCTATCAAGTCATATCTGTAGGTTAAGGGAGTTCTGAATAATTTAATTTTTAATGTCTCTTTCAGCTTAGAGTCCACTTGATTCTCAGTGATTTAACAGACAATTGAGTATTTTAAAATATAAATTTGGGTTTTTCAACTGTGGCCGTGACATTTTGGGCTGGATAATTCTTTGTCAGAAGGAAAGACACTATCCTATGCATTGTAAGATGTTTAGCAGCATCTCTGGCCACTAGCCATTAGAGGTCAAGAATACCTGTACCTCCTTTAATTGGCATTACCAAAAATGTCTTCAGACATTGTCAAATGTCCTAGAGAAGAGAGGTGGAAGGTGTACAAAATAGGCAATTGGTTGAAAACCACCAAGCATAAGACAAAGCAAGGTTTTAAAGAAGCATAATATCATAAATTTCAATACAGTGTCTATTTGTACCTTAGTTTTAGTATTCCAAATTATTTTAAATATTTATGAGTCCTGATCACATAGCTCCTCCTGTTTAAAAATTAGTAAAAGGGAGCGTGAGGAAGGTGGTGATGAAGTATAAGGACCCTAGGCTCACCTCTTCCCAAGAATACAACTAGATAATTATCAAATCATCCTAAATACTCCAAAAATTGACCTGAAGACCGGCAGAACAAACTCCATAACTAAAGGTAGAGAAGAGGTCACACTGAAGAAGGTATTTGCACTCATGTTCATAGAAGCATTATTCACAATAGCAAAGAGGTGGAAACAACTCAAGTGTCCATTGATAGATGAATGGATAAACAAAATCTGGATACCAATTGCATTCCCTCTTGCCATGGCAGCTATGGAGGTGTCCTGCAGAACCCCATGTTGAACATGATAGAGCTACAACATGTATAGAACCTGGGTCCCTGTATCCCTACTTGGGAGGCTCCCTGTCAAATATTTGCATAGGGCTTTGCCTAAGTAAGAATAAACCTCAAATGTGGGAAAGCAAATAAAATAATTAGTAAAGGTCTCTTATTGTTTAACACAAGAAGTTCAAAGTTCTGACCATTGCTCCCAATTCTGACCATAATCTGGCTTTATCTCACTTGTCGAGTCTTAGTTCACATTCTCTTCCTACCTCATAGTTTTCATTCATAGCTAGTTGATCATCTTTTCTCCTTTACAAACACCATTAAGGGATATTTTCCCATGGAATAAATACTATATGTCAGTTGTAATAAATAACCAGCCACAACTCATCCTGCTGAGTTCTGTGTAAGGGTCCATATCAATGTCTCATGAACCTTAAGAATTTATAACATTAGATCACCCCCACTCCATACATCAGATTAAATGAACACTCCCTGAGCCAGGTTTAACAGCTCTGGATATGAAACTATCTAAACCTTAATCTTTCTTCTCTGGATCTCAACAACTATTCCATTAAATGAACAGAAATTTTGTCCTTTTCATAAAAATTAAAAATCAAAAAGTTATTTTTCTAAATGAATGTTGCCTCCCTCTCATTCTCTCATCTCTGCTTGATAGAATAGTTAGAATGGCTAAAATTAACAAGACGGGAAACAACAAATGTTGGTGAGGATATGGAGGAAGGGCAACCCTCTTACAATTCTGGTAGGAATGGAAGCTGGTAAAGCCACTCTGGAAGACAGTATGGAGGTTTATCAAGAAGTTGTACAATTGCACTACTGGGTATTTACTCCAAAGATAGAGATGTAGTGAAATGAAGTGGCAGCTGCACCCCACTGTTCATAGCAGCAATGTCCACAGTAGCCAAACTATGAAAGGATGAAAGGAGCCAAGATGTCCCTCAACAGATGAATGGATAAAGAAGATATGGTATGTATGTATGTATGTATGTGTGCGTGTGTGTATCTGTATATATGCGTATATATGTACACATCTTTTTATTCATTATCAGGAAGCCTTAGATCTGACTTAGTAATTCCATAGGACTTCATCTTTCTAAGGCTTCCTAATAATGAATAAAAAGATGTGTACATATATACGCATATATACAGATACACACACAAAAAAAATGGAATATTACTCAGCCATCAGAAAGGATGAATATCTACCATTTACATCAATATAGATGGAACTAGAGGGTATTATGCTAAATAAAATAAGTCAATCAGTGAAAGACAATTATATGGTTTCACTCACATGCGGAGTATAAGAAATAGTGCGGAGGATCATAAGGGAAGGGAGGGAAAACTGAATGGAAAATAAAAGAGAGGGAGACAAATCATAAGAGACTCTTAACTCTGGGAAACAAACTGAGGGTTGCTGGAGGGGAGGTGGATGAGGGGATGGGGTGACTGGGGTGATGTGATGAGCACGGGTGTTATATGCAACTGATGAATGACTGAACTCTACATCTGAAACTAATGATGTACCATACGTTGGCTAATTGAATTTAAGTTTGGGTGGTCCAGGAGTATCATGAGGAAACTTTCTCACAGTTTTTGAGATCCAAGAGTCTAGACTGTTACATACTTATCTGATTAAATTTGGACACTGTGAGCCAGTTCTTGCTGCAGACCTCTTCTTCTGAGATTTTATTTTCTCCTGGCTCTGAATCCAATTGGTCATTTTGAGAACAGGTGTCGACCGTTATGACCTGGAGAGAAAGACACTTGTTGGAACACAGTGACATTAACCTGAAAACATTCTGAGTCATTAATGTGACTCATAGAGGTACTATGGTGAACAGCAGTGGTTGTTAACATTGGCTGCGCATTAGAATCACCTGGAAATCTTTGAAAATTTCCATTAGTCAAGCTGGCAGGACACAAGCACCCATGATTATTCTTTGTGGTCATGACTGAGAACAAGGGTGGGGGCAGCAGTCGTCAAACCTGAGTGTCCATCAGAATCACTCAAGGCAATGCTAAACCACAAATTACTGGGTCCCACCTCCAAGATTCATGATTCAGTAGGCCTAGAGGGAGAAAGAATCTGCATGTCTAGCAAGTTCCCAGATAATGCTAATACTGCTGATAGAAGACCACAATTTTAGAACCAGTGGCGTAGAGCAAAAAACCATAAGGCTTGGATCCAAAAAGGACTTTTGTTGGAATTCTAGAGATCTATAACTTTATGTGAACTTCGATAAATCACTTAATGTCTGTGAGCCACTTTCCTTTTGTCATTAAAATAACAGATAATCAACACTAATGGCTGCCATATGTACTAACCGAAGACAGAGAAGAAATGAGATAAATTGACAAAATACTAAGCAATAAGCAAATGCAAGTTATTAGTACCTAAGCCTGGTTTCAATTTCTAGTTAAATTCTGGCCACTTTAATGATTGCAAAAAAACAAATCTATTGAATTCATATTTTGTAAGATTCCAGCAACTCATATCATTTTCCCTGAAAAAGAGTCTTTACAAGCTAAATCTTCCCCTGCAAAAAAAGGTAATTTTACATAATTTTCTTAATACTTTTCTCTTTGCTTCTGCTTCTCATTCTAAAAAGAGCTGAGGTGCTTTAAAAAATGCAACCAGATTATTATATGGAAAAATGAAGCAGGGCATTAAGATCATGAAAGATGAAGTCCTATGGAATTACTAAGTCAGATCTAAGGCTACTTAAAATGAATAAAAAGATTCACTAAATGAAAATGTGAACAGAACACTTTGGAATTTGTGGGATATAGCTAACACAATGATTAGAGGGAATTTTATAGCACTAAATGCCTGTATTAGAGAAGAAGACAGTCTAAATCAATGACCAAAGCTTCTATCTTAACAAACTAGAAAAAAAATAGAGCAAATTAAACCCCAAGTAAACAAAACAAAAGAAATAATAGAGCAGAAATCAATGAAAGAATATTCAGAGACAAATCAATGAAACCAAGTACTGGTTCTTTGAAAAGATCAATAAAGCAGATAAGCCAGTAGCCAGACTAATCATGAAACAAAGAGAGAAATACAAAATATTAGAAATGAGAGAAGTGATGTCATTACAGACCCCACAGACAATAAGGGAGTAAGGAAACAATATTATAAATACTATATGCCAATAGATTGAACAACTTAAATGAAATGGACAAATTGAAAGATACAAAGTTCACTCAGGATGAATCAGATAACCTAAATGGTCCTATGTCTATTACAGAAATTGATTTTGTAGCTAAAAACTTTCCCACAAAGATGATTTCTTTGGTTAATTCTACCATTCTACCAAACAATAAAAATTGAAATAGTATCAATTCTATACAAACTCACCTAGAAAACTGAAGAGGGAACACCCCAACTCAGTCAATAAGCCCAGCATTACCCTGATACCAAAACCAGACAAAGACATTACAGGAAAAGAGATCTATAGACAAACATTCCTCAAAAATACAGATGCAAAAAATCTTATTAAAATATTAATATTACTTAATATTCTAAATAGAACTTCTGCATTATAAAATTGATTAATATAATTAATTATATTAACAATAAAAAGGAAAAACCATCTGATTATATCAGTAGGTTCAGATAAAGCATTTGACAAATGCTAATCTCTATTAATGACAAAAAGTTTCAGAAACTAGGTGTAGAAGGGAAGTTAACTTGATAAAGGGCATTTACATAAAAAGGTATAGCTAGAATCATACTTATTGGTAAAAGCCTAAATGCTTCCCCCCTAAAAGCAGAGACAAGGAAAGGTTATCTACTATTGCCACTTTTATTCAATATTTTACTAGAGATTCTAGCCAGTGTAAGAAGGCAAGAAAAATAAATAAAAGGTAAAAAGTAAATTTAAAAAGTGAAACTATCTTCATTTGTAGATAACATGACCATTTATATAGGAAATCCTACAGAAGCAACAAAACTTACTCAAACAAATTAGTAAATTTAGCAAGACTGTGTGGTATAAAATCAACATTTTGAAAATATATTTCTAGGGGCGCCTGGGTGGCTCAGTTGATTAAGTATCTAACTCTTGGTTTCAGCTTAGATCATGATCTCATGGGTCATGGGATCAAGCCCTGTGTTATGTTCCACATTCAACAAGGAATCTGCTCAAAGACTCTCTCCCTCTGCCCCTCCTACAGCTCACATTCTCTCTCCCCCTCTCTCAAATAAATAAATCTTTAAAATATATGTATTTCCATATACCACCAACAAAAGAAATTTTTATAATTGCATTTATAATAAAATAAAATATATTAAATACTTAGGGAAACATTTTTAAAAACATGCAAGAACTGTATATTGAAAACTACAAAACAATGCTGAGAGAAATTGAGAAATATCTAAATAAATAGACATGTTCATGGAACAAAAAACTTATTATTGTTAAGATGCCAATTCTCCCCAGGTTGATTCACAGCAATTCCACTCACCCTAGTAGGCTTTTCTGTAAAAATTGCCAAAGTGAGTCTAAATATATGTGGAAATGCAAAGAAACTAGAATGGCCAAAAAAACAAAACAAAACAAAACACCAAAAAAACCAGAACTTTGAAAAGGAAGAAAAACTTTGGCAGGCCCACATTATATGATTTCATTATTTAATATAAAGTACAGTATTCAAGATAGTCCAATATTATCCTAGACACAGATAAATGGAATAGAATAGACTCAAATAAATCCATACATATTAAGGATATACATGGTCAATTTTTGACAAAGATGTCAAAAGGTAACTCAAGAGGAAAAAGACAATATTTTTACCAGAACATGGTAGAAAAGTTGTTATTTGTATTCAAGGAAAGGAAGGAAAGAGGAAGGAATAAAGCAAGAAAGAGAGAGGAGGAAAAAAGGAAAAGAAGGAGGGACCTCAATCCTTACCTATCATCATATACAATAATTAACTCAAAATGGGTGCTAGACCTAAAAATAAGAGAAAAAACTATGAAACTTCTAGAAGAAAACATTAAGAGAAAATCTTAGTGATCTTGGGTTTTGCAAATTTTCTTAAATAGGACACAAAAATCATAGACTATTTAAGAAAAAAAAAACAAGTATTGGACTTCACCAACATAAAAAAAAATGTATACACTGCAAAAGATATTTATGAAAAGTAAAAGGCAAGATCAAGAGAAAATATTTGCAAAACATATATCCAACAATGAGCTTATATCTAGAAAAACTTCTGACAACTTAATAAGAAGACAACCCAATTTTTAAAATAGACAAAATAGTCAAATGGACAGGTCACCAAAAAAAAAAAAAAAAGATAATGGATGGTAAGTAAGCACATAAAAGACACTATGCAGCACTCATTACTACAGAAATGCAAATGAAACACCATGAGATGCCACTACCTACCCCATACTATGGCTTAAGTTAAAAAGACTGAGCATACTAAGGATTGGTGAGAACGTCGACCACGGGAACACTTACAAACTACTCCTTATAAACTGGTGGGAATGTAAAATGGTACAGCCACTTTGAAAAACAGTTTGGAAGTTTCTTCTAAAATTAAACAAATACTTACCATATGACTCTGACATTCCACTCCTAAATATTTACCAAAGAGAAATTGAAACATATGTCCACACAAAGCCTTGTGCACAAATGTTCATAACAGCTTTGTTTGGAATAGCCCAAAACTGAAAATAACACAAGTGTCCTTCAACATGTGAGCTGATAAATGAGCTGTGGTGTATCCACTCTGATGACTCTTAAATTTACATCTTCACTCCTTCCAGTACAGTGCCATTTTATAGTGTGCCTGGTGCTTTAAAAGTCAGAGAAATCCAACAAAGATAGGCTACTACCTCAATCGCCAACAACACAAAAGACACTTACTGGCACCTGTAGTTCTTGTGTTTTCTTCTTTTTCTTTGACGATCTCTTATCCTTGATTAGCATTTTTGTTTTGATCCATGCTAACTGCCCTATCTCTGAGGATCTTGAAAGATCTGTAAGGGAAAAGGTTAGCATGAAAAAGTTTAAGATTGTGAAGGAAACCATTTGGTTTTACAGGCAATGGAGAAGGGGGAGAATGAGGATACACTCAGAGGTCAACTTTTTAAAAATAATAGCAATGCATAAAATTTAATAATTCAAGAGCACATTTTTTAAACAAAAAAAATAATTTCACTTCTTACTTTTAATCTTAGAGATCTTCAGTTTGTCCTCCTTGTGGAATCTCAAACTATGACTCCGAGTGAAGGGCCTATCTCTGCGGAAAGGATTGATCCAAAAGGATGTGTTTGGCTGTAGCCATGGTCCTACCTCTGAGCAGTCACTACTAGGGGCCAAGCTTGATGAGTTATCAGATAGGGATCTGGCCCGGATCTTCCTCTGGCCTTGGCCACTCTCTTTAGAGTCACTGTTACTCGTGGAGGCCAAGCAGGTCTGCCATTTTTTCTTGATGCTAAACACGCCAGTTTCATCACCTTCTGAAAATGCCCAGTTCACATATCCACCTCCAGTTCCCATGCTCTCTACTTGGGAGGGGAGGGAGGTCACTTGCATTGGCACAGATGTGCAAATCAGAGTGGGGAGACCTTGCTCCGCCTCGTCTTGTCTGGCCGGTGTCTGAGCGATTGACCTGTACCGTGCCTCGGGTTCGGCCACTGAGCCCTGAGCTGAGACAGGTGGGGTCTGCCAAGTCAGATGAACAGGCACTTCACCCTGGGGGACCTGTTCAGTTGCCAGCACCTTTGTTCCTGCTTCCATGGATGCTCTGAACAGAGGCAAGTCAGTTTCTGCAGAGAAAGGAACTCGCTTTAGATCAGAAGGGACCAGGAGAAACTGGCCATACTTCGGCTGCCCTTGCCCATGAAGGGACACCCCAGGAGCAACTATAGCAGTTTCTGTTTCTTGCTTTTCCTGCTCATCTCTTATATTTGAAGCCTCTCTCAGATTGTCTGTGATCTCAAGAAGGGGCCCCCTCTGTACTCTCAGGGTGTGCTGGCCTCTGGCCAGGCTCCGCAGCAAAGAAGGAGGCATGCTATAATACTGGTATTTCTTCTCCCCAGAGACCTCCACGCTGCCTAGAACCCCTGCACAGATGACATTGCTCCAGCTGTGGGGAAGTTTTCTGCAAGTAGTGTGTTTTCTGCTGGCCAGGAGAGCCTCATCCTCTTGTAAGGTGTCAACAGCAGAAAGTACTTTTAGGGTATCCACTGTCAGGGCAGAGAGGTCCTGCAGATGTCCCACTTGGCTGTCCAAGGACAGTAAAGAGTCCTTTATAAAAGACACTTTTTCATTCATTTCTTTCAGTTGGAAGTACATCTCTGTAACCCTGATGGTAGAGGGAGAGAGAAAACCAATAAACACGTTAAGCCAGTGGGAACTTGCCTGGCTCTCCTCCTGTCCTATTTCCATCTTTTGGAGCTGCCTCAGCCTAAATGCTTCCCCAAGTTGGGTGAGTCTTCTGTCTTCTCATCTCAGGTGACCTCACACCCTCCTATAATTCCCACTATTGCCCCAATGAGGAGGCATGATACGTCTCCTTTTCTAGCCCTTATTTCTCTAACATCTCACAACCATGTTTCCAGCTTCCTGCTAGTCATCCCTCCAAAAGTTCCATGCATCAGCTCTATTGTATTCATTAATACATTCATTAATTTACATGATAAACATCCCCAAATCTCCTAGTGACAAGCACTATGCTATTCTGGATAGGAAAAGAAGATCTTGAGGAAGAAGCCAGAATGAGAGGAACAGAATTAATGTATGTAAATATGTAATTAGAAAATAAACGTATAGATCTTAAAAACAATCCAAGTCTACAGTTCAAATAGGCTTCCCAAGCTTCAAGCTTCAAACAAAACCCATTTTAAGAGACCTACATTCTGAGAAAGCCTGTGGCAAATTTTTGAAGTCATTTTGAATACTTTAACTCAACATTACAATGTCCGGCCATTGATTCATGTAAAAGCAACGCAAGATATTTTCAGCTGTGAAAGTCAGAAGTTAAATTGAAAATAGAATCTAATTAAATGGAATATCTGATTCAGAGACAGGGAAAAGAATGAAGGAGATGTTGGTTAATATTATCTGTCCATCTGTAAATATTTCTATATCGGGATGGGTTTTGTGCTCTCCATCCCAAAAGAAATAGGTTGAAGTCCTAACCACCTAATACTCTTAGAATGAGACCTCATTTGGAAATATGGTCTCTACAGAGATAACCAAGTTAAAACAAGGTCATTAGAGTAGGCCCTAAGCCACTATGGCTGATGTCCTTAGAGAAGGAAAATTTGGACACAGTGAGAAGATGATGTGAATATACACAGGGAGAAGACACCCTATGACTTCAGTGACGTATCTATGAGCTCAGGAATATCAAGGATTGCCAGTAAATGTCAGAAGCTAGAAGAAGCAAGGAAAGATTCTCTACTAGAGTCATCAGAGGAAGCATGGCCCTACCGATTTCTTGATTTTGGATTTGTAACCTCCAGAACTGTGAGACAATTTATTTCTGCTTTATTTCTGCTGTCATAGGACACCCAATTTTTGATACTTCCTTATGGCAGCCCTAAGAAACTAATACAGCTTTCTAAGCTTTACAATACAACAAATTATAAAATGCATCATATTTGGTTACATAAAAACAAACTCATACACATAAAAATATAAAATTTTAAAATAAGCAGTAAGTTAGAAATTATTCTAACAAATGTGATGTTTGTATCCCTTAATAAATCATAGCTTTCACAAATTGTTACAGAAAAAATTACAAAGACTCCAAAGGACGTGAACAGACAATTCACAAAAGATAAAATACAAAAGATAAGGAGACATGGTAAAAATATTACACCTCATTAGGTATGCAGGAAAATGGAAATTAAAACAATGATAGATTCCTCTACATCCTCTACATGCAACAATATTTTTTTGTTTAGCCTAGCAAATGATTAAAATAACTAAATGGTGACAAGGCTGCAACATTGGGACATTCAATTAAGCAATGTACATAAAGAGACTATGATTTCACTATGCTAACACAGATACTCCTTGCGTTATGAAATAGAATATTACGCAGCCATTAAAAATCATACTTACATTGTAGAGTGTAATTTCCTTTGGCTATTTCTGATGGTAGGCATGGGGATGTGTATGTCTGTTATGTTCTATATTCTATGCTTTTAAATTTGGTATAAAAACTTTGTAAGTTGAGAAACAATAAAAGTTAAAAATATTTATAAATAACAATTATTTGAAAAGTATTTTTGGTGTGTAAAGGTGGGTAACATATAAACTTGTATAATTTTTTTAAAGATTTTATTTATTTATTTTGAGGGGGGCAGGGGCAGAGGGGAAGGGAATTTCCAGCAGACTCCATGCAGACCACAGAGCCCAACATGGGACTCAAATCTCATGACCATGACCAGAGACAAAAATCAAAAGTCAGATACTTAACTGAGTCACCCAGGCGGCCCCAACTTGTATAATTTTAACTAAAAATATATGGAAGACTAAATGGAAAAAAGAACAAAATGTTCACAGTGCATTCTGACTTATGACATTTTTTCTTTCTTTTCTTTCCCTGTTTTATTCTTTTATTTGGACAAGTGAGTATTCTGGCCCAATTCTCAATAATGAACATCTTTGATAAACAGAAATACAGGGTGGGGGGAAAAAACCCAACCCAGCAAGGGAGGGAATCTCATCAACAGTTTCATGGCTGACATGACCATATGCAAAAATTAAGAATGATCCCTGGTCTTACGTGGAGCCTGGAAGAAGCAGTGATTATGCTATAAAGGACTTAGCATTCAGCTGCAGAAGCACTTCCCAACATAGTGTGAGACATCCCCTCTCTAGAATGTATCCCAAGTGGCATGGATTGAGAAATCCTCCATTTCTTCTTTCTGGGAGCTTGGCAGATAGAAATTAAAGAACAAAGAGGCTGATATTTTCCGTGTTTATTATATCGTGGGTAGGACCCTCTCTTTCTTACTTCTGCTACAGAATTCAACTTCTGTAACTAAGTAGAGGCTTAATAAATGCTTCCTGACCTTCTGGAACCTGCAAAACGAGAATTGGCAGAGACGATGAGGGAAAGAGCACAAAATATATGTATACTCCCTTCCAAACATGCTTAATTAGAGCCTCTCCATTTAGTGCAGTGTTTCATCTAATTCAAAAACAGAACAGTCTGAACAGCAGTAATGGAGGCTCATTAAGTTCCATTAGCAGCAGTCACATCAAATGGATACAATAGAAACCAGCGACTATTCACAGCAACAGGTAACATTCGACAATAGAGACTGGTTAGACAAATAACCTGGTCACCCCCACATCGGGTTCTCTTGCTTATTTTTTTTTCCCTAAAGCATTATGTCCCATGAGACATATTTTAATCATATTTCTAAACCACCACCTATATTAATTTAATCTAGACTTTCAGTAATTCTGACATGTAAAATAAATTCTTAGAAGTTTAGTTTCCCCTGAGCACAATCTGAGGGTGGGGGGAAGACCAGTATAGCTATTGTTTTACTGTGGGTCCTTGGAGAAGATGTTTTAAAATAAGATTATAAGGAGTGTAATTATAATCATCATGATAATTGTAATATTCTCTGAGTGCTCACTAGGTGCCAGGCATGTTACAAGCCTCTATAGTATTATTTTATTTAATCTGCATAACAACCCTATAATGGAGGCATTCCTATTACTCCTTTCATAAAAGAGATTAGGTCATGTGGCCAGTTACATGGCTAGAGATGGAGTGAAGCTTGGAACCCAGACAGTCTGACTCCACAACTAGTAGCATGAACCCCGGCACTCTGGCACCTCAGAGCAACTCATCGGAGATCTAGGCAAAGTTCTCACAGAGGCCTTAGAAGCATGGGAAGTGCTAAACAAATGATGCCAACGTTTCCCATGCTGGGGGTGCTCACGAATGTTTCTCAATAAGGTTTCAAAGTAAAATGATGACAGGATGACAGGACCTGCTCCAATGATAACGTTACTGAGTCACAATATGACTTGTTTTAAAATGTCACATTTTCCAGGGACACCTGGTAGGCTCAGGTGGTAGAGTGTGCAACTCTTGATCTCAGGGTTGTGTGTCTGAGCCCCACATTGGGTGCAGAAATTATTTAAAAAACTAAATGCAATATTTCCAAAATATAACATGCTTAAAAGGAAAAATATCCAATTAACATCTTACTCCATAGAGCAGAAAGCAAGAAATGCTGGTTTGTGTTGCTAGGGTCAAAAAGTAGCCAGTGTTCTAGAGAAAGGAGGACATAAAACAGCCTTATACTTCTCTATTTCAGGTCTCACAACTCACTCACTTAATTCTGCAAGGATATAGGTGATCTCTCCTTCACAGGTAGGCAGCTGTGCAAATATCCTCCTAATCTCCTTTCCCTTCCTCTTCAAACTAGCTCAAGCTACCTCAGGAAGTCTTCTTCCCTCCCTCTCATGCTTCCATTGTGAACTCCCCAGAGATGACCTCAACAGGGCTGACCATGCAATTAGAAGGCTGGTGAGGTAGCTCTAGCATGAGGGAGAAATGATGATGTTTTGAAAAGTGAAATTAGGCATTCATAATCAAATTCTAGAACCCATGAAAGCCTCCAGAATACTATTCAGAAGTTACATAGCCATCTACCTTCTACTCCTTCCTCTACCCAAGGAAAAGACTCAAGAGGGATATAATGATATATGATGATTGATGGTGCTGGTCATATTACAATCACCTCCACCACCACTACTACTATTATTGAATTACTTGTTCATAAATGTCTAGTTCTCAAGTTTGCACACTGGATCCATTTGACTCATAACACTACCATTTCCTAGTTTTCCTTATTCTCCTCTGTTGGGTTCTGGTTAATCTTCCCCATAAGCCCCTCTTCCCTGTTCTGCTACACAGGTGTTGGCACTCCTCAGGGTTCCACCTTCAGCCCACTGAGTTTCCTCATCCTTCTTGCTTCCTGGGCATAATCACTTCCCCTGTCATGGTTTTATTTTCTCACAAGGGGAAGATGACTCCCAAATCTCCTTGTCTAGTTCAATCTTGGCCTCAGGACTTCATAGCCTCACATATAAAGCCTCCCAGAAATCTCTGGCTAAATGTGCCACAAGAGTCTCAAGCTCAACAAAGCTAAAACTCATTGCTTGCCCCTTACCCATGTTTTTTGCACATTTTTTTTCCTATCATGGTGATGCCATTTTTCACCTAATTACCCCTGCTACAGATATGAGAGTCATCTTGGACTCCACCCTCTCCCTTGGCTGCACGTCCAACCCCTAACTCCCCTCATGACTCGCCCTTTCTAAACATGCCTTGATTCATCCCTTCTGCTATGGTCTGAATGTTTAGATCTCCCTGAAATTCATATGTTCCATTCTAACCCCCCAAAGGTGATGGTATTAGTAGGTCGGGCCTTTGGGAGGTGAATAGGTCATGAGGGTAGAGTCATCATGAATGGGATTTGTGCCTTGAAACCCCACAGTGCTCCCTCACCCCCTCCGCCATGTGGAAGACACAAGAGAAGTCTGCAACCCAGAACGGGGCTGTCACCCAACAATGTTGATCTTGGATTTCCCAGCCTCCAGAACTGTGAGCAATTACTTTCTGCTACTTACAAGCCCCCAGCCTCTGGCACTTTGTTATAACAGCCCAAATTAGACTCAGATATGTCCTTTCAAACCTACCATGGCTGGTTTGGCTAGCCCCCGTCACTCATCCTCCTGCTGCATCAACCCCTGCTATCTCCATACTTCCGATTCCGACACCTCAAATCCACATTGTAACTGAAGGCATTTGCCTAGAACTTAAATCTGTCCATATCTGACCACCTAAAAATCTTTAGTTTACAGTGTAAAGGAGGGGCTTTCTGTGACCTTGTCCTCATTCATAATCTGGGGCAAGGAGGTCATCTCATCTCATGTATTTATTCTCTTTTTAAGTTTTGAAAGAAAATATGTATTTAAAAAGAAATCACACTCACAGTTTGGGGAGACTATTGTTACTTTCACTGTACCCTTACTATCGATCAGCACTCTGCCACATAGTCCATCTCTGTTACTTCATGCAATCCTCACAGTACCTCTAAGAGCTAGGTCTATTTTTGGGTGCATCTTACACATAAGAAAACAAAGGCCCAGAGTAAATTTGCCCAAATGCACAGAGCCAGTAAGTGACAGAAGCAGGTCTTCACCTGGGCTCTCTAAACTGCTATCTGGGCATGTGTTTCCTAGGAAACAAAGAGCCAGGCTGGCCCACAGGACTCAGCGAGCATATCCACCAAGGAGGCAGAATGTGCAGTAGAGGAAAAAGGTAAGAAAAGCTCATCAAGCTCTGGCCTGAGGATATTATTTAAGGAAAATAAAATTTGTGTGCTCACAAACCTTTATTTGATATCTTTTCCTCAAAATAAAATTTGGTCTGACATTCAACCAGCCACCTATATACACATTTACATAATATGATACCAATTGAAAAGTCCAGAAATATGACTTCTACCCATAGCAAACCATTTAGGGAGTTCTTCATGTAATTCAATTTTACAGAGAGCCACATTTAAGGATTCACTGTCTATCCATTTGGACATCAGAAAAAATATATGCATAATTAGCTATAACATTGTATATAGTCAGGTCTGTGTATATTCGAAAATGAAGGAACACATTTAAGTTCTGTCAATTTGCTTCTGGGTACAAAAAAATTCTGTGGGTTTTTTTTGTTTTTTGGGGTTTTTTTTTAAATGCATACAGGCATACCCTAGCTGCAACCTCTCTGCTGGCCCCCCTGCTGGGGGTGTGGGGAGCCCAGGCGTTAAGCCCTTTCTTGGGGCCAATCGCCTCTTCCCTCCTACTCCTGCAATTTCTCCCTTGCTGGTGAATCATCTCCAGGACCATACACATTTCTTTTGTTATCCCCATGTAAAAACAAAACCTCACCTGCCCTTGTCTCCCCAGTGCAACCATCACGCAGCCCTACAGCTTCTCCAGTCCAACCCACCATTGGTGGACACACACTGTTGCCGTGGGCATTCTCACTGGCTGTTCCTGCAGCCAGGAGACCATCCCACTGCATATCTGGCCTACCTCCCTCAGGTCTCTCCTCCTCCAACTCCTCCGTGACCTCCCTGGCCCAAGTCAAAGAGAGTCCACTCAACACCACCACTGCCTCCCACCCCCGCCTCCAACTCTGGCAGACCCCTCACTACCATCGAAAAAATGCAACTAGATTTTTTCTTCATTGCTCTTTAACTGATATTAAATTGCATATTTGCATGTGTTTCTCTGTGTATTACTTCTCTCCTGCTCCCGACCCCTCTGCCTGCACACACTAGTCCTATGAAGGCAGGGACTCTTGTCTCTTCTTATTCACTATCTCTTATTCACTATCTCTGGTGAGTAGAAGGGCACCTGGAACATAGGAGGTGCTCAATAAATACACATCCATTATGGAAATACTATATGCTACTAGACAAGATTGTAGAGCACCCAAACCTCTAGGTTTTGAAAGTCCATCTTTCTACTTCTTCAGACATTCTTAGTAGAATCAGGTTTGGGGGGATGCCTGGGTGGCTCAGTGGTTGAGCATCTGCCTTTGGCTCAGGGCATGATCCAGGGTCCTAGGATCGAGTCCCACATCGGGCTCCCTGAATGGAGCCTGATTCTCCCTCTGCCTATGTCTCTGCCTCTCTGTGAGTCTCTCATGAATAAATAAATAAAAACTTTTTTAAAAAAGCAGGTTTGAGGAGCTGGAAAAAAAAGACTTATCTTTTACCTTTCTGATGTTACTCGGATTCGTTCCTCATAGCTATTATTCAGACTTTCCGTCTTCTCGTGGAAGTATATTTCCACACACTGCTCTTCAAAATCATGAAGTCTTTTCAGATCCTCCTCACTCAGATAGAGTTCTATGTAAATAAGTATGGCACATAAAAAATCATTATTTGTCTTTAATAGGAAGCTGATACAGAATAAGAGTGGCTTTTCTTCCATTTGTGTTGAAAATAAAGTATAGCTTGTGTGATAAACTTTGCTGCTTCGTCACACCAAATTCCTAATAGTAATAGAGAAGCACTATGCAGAAACAAATAGAAATACCAGTTTGGATCTTTCCTATTATTCTAAAAACAGGAGTGGGGATTTGAAGATGACTCATGAGGAACACTTTCTGTTCAATATGCTCATAGGGTAGACTGTATCTACACATTAACCAAGCTTCATTATATTTATATGCAATGGGGAAAGAATCTCATTGTCATTTTTCCTCACCACCTGTTTTGTCTATCAAAATTACATAAGCAACCTGTAGGTTAAAATCAAGATAAGATCAAGTTGAAGTCTGTTAAATTAATCCAGCAAGTGTAAGAAAGTTTCACCTTGTTACACTGAATTTGTATATACACTTGAACCTTGAGCAACATGAAGTGTGAGGGTCCACTTGTATGCATCATGGTTCATTTTGTTTTGTTGTCTTCCCAGTAAATACAGTAAAGTGATGTATATGTATTTTCTCTCTTTTACTGTTTTCTTAATATAAACCTTTTCTCTAGCTCACCTTATTGTAAGTCTCAGTATATAACACATACATTACCCAAAATATGTATTAATTACTGTTTATGTTATCAGGAAGGCTTCTGGGCCACAGAAGTCTATTATTAGTTAAGGTTTGGGGTAGTCAAAAGTTATACACAGATTTTTGAGTCCGCAGGTGGCTGGTGCCCCTAACCCCCATGTTGCTCAAGGGTTAACTGCATTAAGTTACTCTATTGGAAACAGAGACATTATTGCCAGCCACTGGCTGAGACTATCCACTTTCTTTGACATAATCATAATTAACTCACAAAAAGACACATTATCATGATGTTACAAAGCTAACACAATTCAATTGTCAGACTTCAGTGATACATTCCGTCTACCACCTTTGGCCCTCATTCTGATCTAACAGAAAAGTATACTGGCTTATGAACAAGTTTCTAACACTTGGAAAATATATAAATGGTGCTGCAAAAGGTTAAAAAGGGAGCATTCTCTTCCTTCAGTGGTTTCACTTAAATTAGGGGAAAAAAACCCATCAGAGTTCCTTCAAACTTATTAGAAATCCAAACATTTCATTATTTTCCAATAAAATGAGACAAAAATATAAATTTTAAATTGAAAAGTGTGGCAAAGAGAAAACAATATTCAGCCATAAAAATATGTCCACAATTGCAATACACAATGTTTTCTGATCTTATGGTGTGAAAGAATGCTCAGATACTGAAAAAATCCAGTAACCACCCCCCAAAACTCTAAATACTCATTTTCATTAAGGAATCTCTTATGAGTGAGAAATTTTACAGTTATCAAGATTTGATCCTTCTGTGGATTCCTGAAAACAAAACCCAAAGACCAATCAATTCCAGTGACAGGTGCAGCTTGCACATGTGGAGCATTCTTGTGACTCTCCACCAGGTGGCACTGCTGCCCCATATGCAAACGTCAATCTTCACTAGAGGATTGGAAGAAGTTTTACAAAAATTCAAGATTTTTTCAGAACTCAGGATGAACACACCTCTATCCATCAGAAATTTACTTGAGTTATATACCAGAATCTTCCTATAAGTGCAGATGAAGGTTAAGCTAAAATCTGGCCAAATCCCAGCCAATTCCAGGATCTCTCCCCCAGTTCACACTCTCCTATTAGATTACAATAGTCCTCAGCCAATGCCTGGGATGGCTCTCTATTAGAAACCTAAAGATTATAGTATAATTATAAGCCTTTAAAGTGACTTCCGTTGTAGGGTGCTGGGTAGGTCAATCAGTTAAGTGGCCAACTCTTGATTTCAACTCTGGTTATGATCTCAGGGCTGTGGGATTGAGACCGGCATGGGGTTCCACACTCAGTGCAGAGACTGCTTGAGAGTCTCTCTTCATTTCCCTTGCTTATCCATCCCCCATCTCCTCTCTCTACAATAAATAAATCTTTTTTAAAAAGTAATTCATCTGTGCTTTGCTTTCCTCATACAGTCTGAATCTATGGAGGGGATGGGTGCAGGAGGGAAAAGAAAAGTAAATCTCCAAAGTGACTTAAGAAGAGAAAAATACCTCACTAAGCCAATTACCAGCAGGAACAAAAGCATATCATCCTATCAACCTTGTCATAATACCTGTCCCCTTAAGAGCCCAGGGAAATGGAAGAGTACACAATCCCTTATCTGAAACTCCTGGAACCCAGTATGTTTTAGAATTCAGAATTTTCCTTTTCTCCTTTTGGAAAGATAATATAGTGCATATGCCATAAATGAAGTAAAACCCCTAACTGAGGGGAGGGCAGTACCCTACAATCCAACACGTTATTTTTGTAGCAAAACCAATGAATATTCATGCTACAACAGATAAAGAGAATAAACGGCTTCACAGGAGTCCCATCAGCCTCTTTTGTCCAAATGAATCTGTAACTTAAGAAGAAAAAAAGCTTTCTGTTTTCAGGGATATTTTGGATGTAGGAATGGAGATAACAATTGTGAATTTTATGCCACCCCTTTTCTCTATGTGTAGGAATTATCTAGAAATGGGCCTGGTACCAATTGTGAAATTGCTTGAGAGAAACTACAATAGGTCTGTAAAACCATAATAAGAAATGCTCTATTATAACAATTAGTGTGAGAGTCATAGCATGCAGTGAAGATGTGGATAAGCAAAATGAGCTAGGAGACTCTCAAAATAGGCAGACTTAAGTATGGCAAAAAGAGAAAGAAGAAGAAAAGGAAAACAAGAATCTACGTTTCTGCATCTTGAATTGAAAATATGAAACAACTATGCAGAATAACCTCCATTCTCAGTAGATTAGGAAGCAGAGAATCAAGACTCTGGTTAATAAGTGAAGCCGAGTCTGTCTTATCAATTTCCCTCGGTCCACGAGACCTTCTGTGACTCCTTTCTGTTTGGATTCCATCTTCAAACAAAGCTTTTCCAAGTAACATAAAGCCTTTCCACACTCAAGGAGAGATTCTGTTCTTAACCTCTTCCTTTTTTCCAGAGTATTGGTTAGTTTCCTCAAAAGGTACTACCACCACCTGATGAGATCAATGTATTTCCTTCCACCCAGGTCTTCAGCTAGTTCTCTCTCTCTCTCTCTCTCTCTCTATATATATATATATATATATATATTGAGTGACCCCCCCCAGAGCCTTCTACCCTGTGCCCTAAATTGAACTGTGTGTTTTCACCTCAGATCTCCACTCTTTACTCTCATGCTGGTGCCCCACCAATGAAAACTTACTTAATCCAACATCACCCTCCTCTTGGTCATTTGGGGCCTGATGATGGCAAAGCCGGCGAAGGAGAAGACCAACATGGCTCAGCAGGATGAAAGGTGGGGGCAGCCAAGGCTTCTGGTGGTAGGTCATGATATAGCGATAGCGATTGTATTTCCATAGCTTATTGGAGATGGATTTCATATCCATGTAAACATTACTGTAAGTTGTAGTGAAGAGAGGGATAATGTTTTAGTATAGCATCCTGAAACATAACAGATTCTCTATTTTACAACTTTTATGACTGGTTTGCCTGACATTCTCAGCAATTAGTCAATAAAAATAATAGCTATTGCACTTGTGATTCTTCATCTAGCCAAATAAGATGCATTTAATCAACTTCTACAAGCAAATATGCTCATAAGAATAATAAACAAAAGATTGAAATTACAATCACAGAGAAAATGCTAATGTTTTAAAAGCAATGAACATATAACTGCCCTCTGTCCTATTCTTGGTTCCCCATCTCTTCTCAAAGAAGAAGCTCTTTTTGGTCCAGAATGGTAAATTATAAAATCATTAATGTTTCTATATCATCAACCTTATGAAGAGATTCTCCTACTGTCAAATGTGAGAACTGATAGAATAATCCTAGTTAAAATACTCGAGTGAAAGAATATTAATGAAGAAGCGATGGGGAAGAAAACTCAGTTCATCCTAAAATACCAAGAAGCAGAGCTTCTATTTAGAAACTAGATAAAATTGTTTACATTAACTTTACAATGAATATAACCTCTTATTGGTAGGCTACCTTGGATTATCACTTTAAGGACATCAATATTAAAATGCAGATAGTACGATAAATACCATTATAGAACCAGTGATGGAAGTTGTGGTGGGTGGTACAATTATTCTAAAACAACCTATCATCCCAAATTACTTAATGTGAAGTTTGTAACAGGATAGGAGTGGGGAGGGGACACAATGGAATGTCTGCCTTAACATTCTGCTTGGGCTAATGTTTAGTTTCTTTAGAGAAAGATGGCAAAGTCGTACTTGAGGAGGACAGCCAAAATTAGCCAATAAAAATACAGGAAACCCTAAACTTGAGCAAGGATAAAGAGAAGTAGCCAGAACTATTCTGGAGAAAGTCAGCTTAGAAAAAGAGGAAGGGGAAAGTTTCGCAGAATCCATCAAGTAAATGATGGAAAGATAGAAAAGTGGTTTTAACAGGAGTTCTCAAAGTGTGGTCTGAATCAGAATCAGCATCACCCGAGGACATGTCAAAAATGTAAACTCTCTGGCCTTAGCCCAGAACTACTGGAAACTGCAGCAGAGACATTATAGTGATCTGTGTCTCAGGAACCCGTCCAGGTGATTCTGCTGCACCAGCAAGTTTGAGAACCAAGATTAAATGCTGCTGTCACTCCAAGTCTGACTACAGCCTGCCCACCAGCAGGTGGCAATCTTCACAGTGTATTTCAGGGTTTTGGTAATTCTCGATATAAAGAATCTGGAATGGACCCCTGGACAAGTAGTCAGATCTGGGTTTCTCAGCTTGTTTGGTCCTCACTGTGTTCCTCTCTAGAGTGAGAGGACTGGTCTATGTGAGGATTTCTTAACCTTTTTCTTGACTCAACCTATGATTTTTGAGAAACAAAAATCTCATACTTAACACTCAATATTATTCAAAATGTCGAAAAAAATAGCTACATTAACTAAATACCAGTAAATGTTAGTTTATAAAAAGAGATGACAGTTATCATATAATCTTGTGACAGGCAGAAAGGTATGTCTTCCCCCATGTATTTGCAATAGTCATTTTTTTAAGTATTCTGATTTATTTTTGCTTCTCTCCATTTTTATTATTATTATAATTTTTTTTTACTTAGATGACAGTAAAATATCTTTTCCTTATGGTGCTTATATTCCTGAAGAGGAGAGCCATAAACAGGGAAGGGGGGAAGTATAAATAAATTATAAAATATATTTGTATTTATAAGTGGGTATAAAGAAAGAAGAGTAGGGGAAACCAGGCATGTCAAAGAGATGGCTGAGGGAAAAGGGGCAGTACTTTCAAATGTCATCCTTAGGTTAGGGCTAATGATAAAGGGAACATGTGAGCAAAGACTAGAAAGGGGTAAGAAAATGGATCACACCAGCAGGTGATGGAAGAGCACTCCAGGCAGAGAGAATAGCAACTACAAACACACCTGTGCTTTTTGAAAACCTATGAGGGGCCAGTGTGATTGGAGAGGAAAGGGTTAGGGGAAGAGGAGTGTGATGCATGATTTGAAAAGCAGCAGGGAAGCCAGATCACTGGGGTTCTCTACTTTGCAGGAACTTTGAAATGGGATGCCACTGAGGGTTTGGAGCAGAGTAGTGACATCATGTGACATATGTTTTTAAAGGGTCACTAGGAGCTACCATGTTGATAAGAGAATATGGGGCCAAAGATGGAAGCAGAGAAATGAGTAGGAGGCTCTAGCAGTAGGGTGGCAAGGGGTGGTTGGATTGATGATCTGTTGGGAGGCAGAGCCAACAGGAGTTCCTGACAGTTTTGAGACAGAGATACAAGTGGTATTGAGAATGACTCCAAGGCTTTTGATCTGAACAACTGGGGAAATGAAGGCTTGACAGAAATTTGTGGTCTTCTGCATAGATTTGGGAATGATGACAAATATATGCTGGGAAAGAGAGGAGATCAAGAGTTTGGACATTTAGAATTTTAGAATTCTATTATACATCCAACTGGTAGTGAAAGTGGGCAGCTGGATCTGTGAGGCTGAAGTTTGAGGAAGAGATGGGGAATGGAAACATAAAGTAGAATTTGTCAGCATTATAGGACACTGACCAAGATCACCAAACAAAATGTAAATAAGAGATGAGTGGGTGCTTCAGTGGCTCAGTTGGTTAAGCGTCTGCCTTTGGCTCAGGTCATGATCTCAGGGTCCTGGGATTGAGCCGTACAATGGGCTCCCTGCTCAGTGGGCAGCCTGCTTCTTCCTCTGCCCTTCCCCACAACTTGTGTGCACTCTCTCTCTCTCTCTCTCTCTCTCTCTCAAATAAACAGAAATCTTTATTAAAGAGAGATAGAGAAAGATGAGCAAGGTCTGGGACCAGGGACATTCCAATGTTACAAGGTTAAGGAGGAGATGATGCAGAAAAGCAGACTGAGGGCAGCCGGGGTGGCTCAGCATTTTAGCGCCACCTTCAGCCAAGGGTGTGGTCCTGGAGACCCGGGATTTGAGTCCCACATCAGGCTCCCTGCTGGGAATGGAGCCTGCTTCTCCCTCTGCCTGTGTGTGTGTGTGTGTGTGTGTGTGTGTGTGTGTCTCGTGAATAAATAAATAAAATCTTAAAAAAAAAAAGAAAAGAAAAGCAGACTGAGAGGAAATGAAAAGTGAGCTAGAAGAAAACAAAGAATAAGATACACTGGAGCCAAGAAAAGAAAAGTCAACAAGAACCCCACTGTCAGCTTTCAATCTCAGACACTTTTATTCTTCCATGATTCCAATTCATTGCTTTATTACAATGCATGTTCTCCTTTCATTCTGCTTTTATTAATTTCTCTCCATTTATTGTTTTTTCCTCTTTTCTTGTGCCCTGCTCCCTATCTACCAGTAGTTTCATCCCCATATGTCAAAACTACAGTGAAAAAGGGGGAAAAAAGGAACAGAGAAAACCCAAAGGTTTCATACTCAAAATAGATTTTGATTTAAATGAAATCATTTTGATTTAATTTTGATTAATTTTGATTTACATAAAATAACCATATTTAATTAAAATAACCTACTTGAAAAAAGCAATCAACAGGTTCACCATGATGATATACTGTACGAAGAGGTAGACAGCTTGGAGAAACGGAGTAAGAAAAGAACCAGGAGGGCAAGACGGGCGGCTTTCGCAAACTACAAATAAAGAATTTAAAAGAATGAGAGATAAGATGAATCACAGTCCTATGGTTCTACGCAAATATTTAGCACATTAACTTAGCAGAATACCGCCAATTTTCAGCATCTTTAAGATCCAGATGAGTATTTTCCAGATTTTTTTCTTTTACTCTGAATATCCACAAAGGTTTGATTTCTCCATGATGGCAAAATCCCCTACACACCATCTATATCTGAAGCATAGACTTCTCCATAAATCATCCAGTATGGCTCAAATACAACATCTCGAGCAAGACTCCAAGATGGAAGCTGCTTTGGCGAAAGGATGGCCTTGCGGGCCACTCCAAAGCTCAACAGGACTATGGCCATCAAGATCACAATGTAGAACATGTTTGCTGTCTGCAAAATAGCAAGGCACAACCAGAAGTTTACCACAGATTTGAAATTTAAAACAAATCAAGCACTAGCATCATTCATAATTACACCTCCAATAATAAGACTGTCTAGTCATTGACCAAAATGCCCTAGTCCATGAAGAGCTGGGCTTCCTGTGGCTAAATCACCTCCTTCTCTCTGTACATGTTTTATGTTGATGTGGTCTATGGAGGAACAGAAATGTACTGAGGGTAAAGAATTTGTGCTTGAACAAAAAATAGGGAGTATTCAAATTAGGTCAAATAATCCTTATTCCTAGGATTATCTTCAGAAGTTGATTAGAGTCTGAGAAACTGATCAAGTCAGATTCATTTCACTTACTAAATGTACATCACCTCAACCCACTGGTTCACTGTGGCAGAGATAATTATGCCATGAGTATCTTATGAGCTCCTTGGCATTTCTTAGCCTCCCTTCCACAAAGCTGAGACCCTATGATCTATTCTAGCCAATGGCCTCTGGAGTAATGGGAAGTTATTTTACTTCCTGTCCAGAACAGTTAAAAGCCATTGGACTTTCTCCATCCCCCTCATTCCCCATTATAGGAGGCCTTGGAAGCCACATGCTGACATGACTCCATCACCAGGTGGAAGGATTCTGGATCCCTGACTTATAGGGTAGAGGTCAGTCCCCATGAACACTCATTATACTTTGCATTAGGGAGAAATAAACCTGTACTATGTCACTAAGATATATTAGTTACCTCGGTATAGTCTATCTGGTAAATACCAATGTCACCAAAACCAGAGAAAACACTGCCAGTCTAAAAGTGTAAAGAAAGAAAAATCTGTCTTTGGAGTCCAGAAGACACCCCCTTTTCTGTTCTTCTTTGTTTTCACATTATGATTCTTTCTCTAGAACTTGTCCCTTCCCTGTAAATGGGTATTTCAGAAGGAAGAACCAAAGATGATCTGGAAGTACTCTAGTTCCTAGAGGGTGGGTCTCAGGTCCCTCTACAGAGCCTGTTAGAGAACGGTAACCCACCTGCACAGGAGGCTCAGGTGAAAGAGCCAGGTAGTTCAGATTTGAAACCTGACCTCCCTACTTATGCCCTTGGGAGATCTGCTTAATCTCCATTTCCTTATATGTAAAATGTGGATAATAATAGTACCTATTTCATAAAGTCATTTTGAAGATTGAGTTAATAGGTACAAAGTACTTAGAACTGGGTGTGTCCTATAATATGTACTATTTAAGAGCTGGCCAAGGGTGAGGAGATACTTTAGCAGAAAATATTACTGCTATCCTGACATAAACCTCACCCCCAAGAATTACCATGCTTAAAGACAAATTTGCTTCAATCATATTATCTGGCCCCTACCCAAAAAGCTAATAAGCAGAGTATCCAAATCAACCAGCCAATACACTCTCCTAGGACATTTGTGAAATATGAGTTCATGGTTATAAGGAAAGCAGAGATGAAGTGAGCTGGATGTCTGGGCTTCTGTAAATAATTCTAAAAGTTAAACTTTTGTAAACCATGAAAGTAGGTAGAACCATATGGGGTCCAAAGGATCCCAGAATATATAAGCAGACCATACTCACCATTTTTGCAATCATGGTCACATACGGACCTACATGTTGATTCACAGCAAAGAAGTCCAGGAGCCGTGAGAACCAGAATATGATGTCTATGCAGTATATCAGTCTTCCCGCTGTGTGCAAAGGAGGATCGCCCCACCGGAGGCCGAAGCCAACTGAAAACAGGCCAATAGCCACAGTTTCTATCACGTTCCAGTACTCACTAATCCATACCTTCACCTTTTGAGTAAACTTCCCAGGTTCTGAAATACAGACCTAAAAGAAGAAAGAAAGAGGGAAATTTAAAGAATGCGGTATATAACTCAAGAGCCTCATAATAACATTCTTTGGTACATCAAGTGCTTGCTTACAGAGAAATTTGAATCCCACCAAACCTTAGGTCACTTGGATATTTTATAGACTTCAGTTATCCTTGGCTAATGAACTACTAAAATAATTTTAGTAGTTAAGTAGTAAAACAAGTGTGTTTTAATGTCACTGCTAGTGTGAACCAGCAATTTGAAAAACAAATCAGAAGTTTAAAAAAAAAAAAAAGGAGCAGCTTTTCCTAGCTTTCATGAATCCTAAGCTAACACAGGGGACCACCAAAACATTTTAAAACCCAGTATTACAGAGGATCTATATACCTACAATTCTATTTTCGTGAGGGATAGCCAAGTGCAGAGGACATTGGTTTGAAATCCACGAATCTTGCAATCTAGTCCTGCTACTGCTATTTAGTGGGTTTTTGAGAAATTACTAAGAATGCAATATTATAAGTCACTATAAGAAATTACCCCTGCAATAGACTATCAGACAAATTCAAATTTAAAATAATTAACTTTTTTCCCCTGAAGCAAAAAAAAAAAAAAAAAAAAGTGAATTCAGATAATGTTTTTTTCCTGAATTGTTTTCTATAAACTCCACAATGGTAACAGGCAAGCAATATACATATAATTACTAAGAATACATTTACTTAGTATAGTGGTCATATTAGCTCTGGGACAAAATAAATGTATACAAATGCATAGACATAGAGATATATGCACACTGAGATACATATACATTGATGCATAAAACAAACTTGTAACTATACGTGATTGTAGTTACAACTGCATGGATGCTAATTCTTTTTTTTTTTAAGTGACTCATTTGCAAAACTAAATATGAAAATTTTGTATTGCTTTGTTTTTTGGACTACTTGCCTCAGGGATTTTCAGCTTCAATTTTCAAAGGTGTTTAGTAAAATAATTCAAAAGCTATAAATGAATTATTTACCTACTGCACAACTCTAGTCATTTCTGGGCCTAGTGTGAAATGGAGCTGACAGTATGCAAGCAATGGTAGGCTATAAAAATCAATCTTACTAGAAAAAAAAAAAACTTCTGGGACATCAAATAGATGGAGGGCCTAACAGCAATTAGATAGCATCACTCTAAGACTGATAAAACACACTAGGACTTCTACAAAAATAATTGCTTTCAAAGAGCAGCAACCAGAAAAGTATCTGGCAGGGAGTAAGGGTTAAGATCAGAGATTTTCCCCTAAATACCCTTCCTAGAGCAAGCAAATTAAGATCAGCATTGTCTGTCTCACCCCCACCCTTGACCCGCTGTCCGTTTTCATCATGAGCCCAAAATACCTCTTTGCAGAGATGTAGAAGACAAAGATAGAAGGGATGACTCACCTCCCTGACTTTTTCAATGGCATTGGTGAAGATATAAATGATAACAAGCCACTCCTGCACGCTGGGCTGGGGCTGCATCTCCACCAACACAGTGTAAGTGAACAGCATGAGGAATGCCAAATATGCCATCTATGAGGGGGACACACATTCCCTAGACATGAGTGAGAGTCATAATGGAGAATGCCAAGCAGACACAAAGAGCCAAGCAGAAACACACACATAAGAACTTTAACGTAATAACATGGAAATATAACTGGGACTGATTTTAATCTGATTTTAAGGAAAGCACAAGAGTCTGCAGCTTTCTATTACAGGATTTAATGGAAGGAATGAAGGTCATTGTTCTCAAATGCATGGAAGGGGGCATTGACTCATCTTGTTGGCTCCTGACCAGATTTCCAGAACTCTGCACATGCCAGCATGGACACTGTCAGGCAATCAACAAGGTGAGAGGGAATCACACACTCTCCCCTCCATCTAAGCATAGAAAACATGTGTCCCAAGTACAGCAATGAGCAGTATCACGAAGTACCTATTTTCAAATGTAATGAATTGTGATTTACTTCTGCTTGGGAGGTTTGGGGTTTTTGTTTGTTTTTATTTTTTTTCATTTATTTAAGAGAAAGAAAGCACAAGAGAGAGCACAAGAGGGAGGAGGGGCAGAGTGACAAACAGACTCCCCACTGAGCAGAGAGCCCAACTCAGGGCTTGATGCCATGACCTTGAAATCATGACTTGAACCAAAGGCAGATGCCCAACCAACTGAGCCACCCAGATGCTCCTGCTGGTCGTTTTATGTTAATTAAAACCTGGTTAGTAGAAAAGTATTGTCTAACTGTGTAATTAAAAGATTATCGACATATTTATTTGCAGCGCTCAGCATGAGTATTCTAACACATGGTAGACATTCAAGAAATTCACGCTTAATTACTGTTTATATTAAACCTAGATTTCCAATATTTTCAAAGAATTAAGGCACAGTAAGCACACACACACACACACACACACACACATAATGATTAATAGCTTTGCAATCTTATCTGAAGTCTTTGTTTTCTTAAGATACATTTCCAGAAGTAGAATCGCTGGGCATACACACTTAAAACAGTGACACATATTACTCAATTATCCACCAGAAAGGCTTTACCAATTTTGACCGAAACCAACAATGCATGAGACAGTGCAGTTCTTTAAATAGACAGTGACAGTCCATGGTGTTCACTGATCGACAGATGTTTTAAAGGCCCAGATCAACTGAAAGAAGTGTGTGTGTGTGTGTGTGTGTTCATTCTCAAGGAGATGAATCATATTATTTTAACCTGAATCCCTATTTCTCAGATCTTTTTGAGCTCTACCTAAGTTTGGTATGTTATTTTCTCAGTTCAGTTCTACATATAGAATAGTCAAAACCACTTGTAACTACAGCTGCGATGATATTTACAGCAGGTGGTGTTCGGGGCAGGCATGATGGGTATTGCTGTCTCTGAGTTAAAAACCTCTTGGAGCTACCATCAGAGCCTTTGGAATATTTTGTCACATATTTACAAAAAGGGTGAAACTTCATCATTTGAAGGAAGATTTGATTTTTGAAATCAAACAGAACTATGTATGCATTTCATAAGTATATGCAATAAATGTTTGAATGAAAAAGTATATATTTTGAAATATGACACATTTAGATAAATATCCTTTTAAAATCACACTTCATATGTTTTAGAAAGACACAATCTTGACCATGAACAATTTAGAGTATATATAAAGCATCAGAAAAATAAATGCTATTAAATAAATTTGAAAAGCACTCATTACATTTAAAGTGCCGTTCATGATTTCTCTGTATCACTGTGATCAATATAAGATGTAGTATTTGTTCATAAATTTATTGTCCTCTAAAATTTTATTGTCCTCTATATATTTATAACCATATGCTATTGAAGATAAAAAGTAAAAGTTTTGCATTTTTTCCTCTATGTTATACACTATTCTTACAAATAGAAAATCAAAAAAAAAAAAAAACAAATAGAAAATCAACTCAACTGCTGAATTCTTTGCCCAAGATAAGAAAAGAATCCACCTCCATCACTTAATTCTACAACCACTGTTGTTAATGATTGTTCCACAAAGTTTCAAATGCTCCAGTTCCAGCAGAGCCAATGAAAAGCACTCAGGAAAGAAGAAAATGCTTGTTCTTTCACTCCCATAGTAGGAGCGATATGCTCTAATTCCTCACCTCCCTCCAATCTCTTTCCTACTTTCTTTGTCATTCTCGTTGTTGCTTTTTCTCCCCCCATCATGGCATTTCTACATTTTATCACAAGTTGGCAAATTGGGCATATCATTACCAAAATCATCATTAACTATTGTCCAGCATGAAGACTATATTTAATTGCTTCAATGAGACCAACCGTATAAAACCAAAACTTGACAATTGGAGCATTGTAGAACTCATAGATTTTCCTGGTCCATGGAAGGCTTTGGGGATCGCTCTTTGAATCAAAGTGCTGATTTTCATCTAGTTTCTCATCAGGGCCTCTTTCCAAATCATAGTCTTTCTGCAAAATAAATAATCATTTATTGTCAGAGTCCTAAGTAAAATACTGACATTTGAGAACATCCAAAATATGTTATATATATGAATATAATAAATATATTAAAATTAATTGGCACTCACCTCCCAAATTATAATCTTCATCTTGGAAGGAAAGAAAACTATATGTACTGTATAAATCTTTGACTTTTGGGTAAGGAGCACAGGACATGTCTGAAATGCAAGCTTTAGTCTCCAATAATGAAACCAAGACAAACTAAGCATAGTTCCAAGGATTTAAAAATGATCCCTATTCCTGTTCTGCTTTGTCTCCTTTATCAGTATTTTAGAACCTAAAAATATCATAAAAATCCCCATGAAATCCTTAATAGATAATACAATTATTTCCATCACAGAGAAGAACAAAATGGACACCCATCAGTGATAAATTTTCCAATTCCTAGGAAACTCCGGCACAGCATTAGTTCTAGAATTCTGGCTTTGATAGAAATGGTTCTCCACTCATTTATAGCAGAAGTGCTTTGCCACAAGTTCTTGCACTCTCTGAGCTTCAAGTTTCTTGAACCTCCTGCAACTATTTGCAAGTATTTGTGTTGTACATGCATTTTTCTAGGGAGAGCATCAAATCTTTCATCAGTTGACTCAAAATGTCAGTCCAAGGAGGTTAACCCTTGTCAGTGATGAGCAGTAAGTATCTGTGTGGCAGAAAAGTGGCTGTGTGATAGACTACACAGATGTACAGAGAAGAGCCTTTTAAAAGTGGGGTGGGGGGAGAATTGAAAAGAAAAAAAAAATCACTTGTAACCTGGTTGCTTTAGGGAGGAGAGAACTTACGGATGATAAAAGAGAAGCAAAAGAGATGTTACTCTACTTCACAGAGCTCTGTGTGGTTCTAATTTTTAAATAGGAAATGCATTACTTTTGTGATCTGAAAAAATATTAAAAGAAAGGAATGTTCTCTGATGCTTTTTAGATGAATACATTTCTTCAACCTGTCCACAAAAGATGTCTCCCTAGGGTCACACCTGCAAGACTGGTAAGATTTAGAAGCCTAGGAATAACTATTGCTTGAATTGTCCATAAAATTGATAAAATGTAATTTTTGAGGCTTCAGGCATCAGGATGGGCTACCTCAGTGCCTAATTAACTGCTGTCACTTATATCATTTGGGGCTGTGAAATCAGCATTGTGACCTAAGGGTGTAGGAAGTGACCTAGCTCCTAATAGGTCTGAAGCTGCCTAGAGTTAAAATAGCTTAGAACCAATGAGAAAAGTCATCATTTACTATGATTTTAATGACATCTGTACCACTTTAAAAAGACCCCAGAAGGCAATTTCAGTAATGACTATTTTATTAAATGACTTCTCATTATTTTTTCTAGGTGTTTCTCATTAAATCTTATTTACTCTTGACAGTTTGGTATGGATTATAAAGTCCTCACTGAGCCTCTCTGAGTTGAACTCCAAGACATCAACTATCATGGTAAAGACAATGTAAGAATATAAATTCTGGGACACCTGGGTGGCTCAGTCAATTAAGGGTCTGCCTTTGGCTCAGGTCATGATGCCAGGACCCTGGGATTGAGCCACATAGGGCTCCCTGCTCAGCAGGGAGTCTGCTTTTCCCTCTCCCTTTGCCTGCCATTCTGCCTGCTTGGGCTTGCTATCTCTCTCTATCTCTCTCAAATAAATAAACAAATACATAAAATCTTAAAAAATAAAAAGAATATAAATTCAGAATCAGGATTTCCTCCCCTGAAAAAATGAGTGGGAAATATCAGAAAGGGAGACAGAACATGAGAGACTCCTAACTCTGGGAAACGAACTAGGCGGGGTGGAAGGGGAGGTGGGCAGGAGGTGGCGGTGACTGGGTGATGGGCACTGAAGGGGGCACTTGATAGGATGAGCACTGGGTGTTATTCTATATGTTGGCAAATTGAACACCAATAAAAAATAAATTTATATAGATAAAAAAAGAAAGTAACAGTGTGGGCACCTGTGTGGCTCAGTGGTTGGGCATCTGTCTTCAGTTCAGGGCAAGATCCCAGGGTCCTGAGATCGAGTCCCGTATCAGGTTCCTCACAGGGAGCCTGCTCCTACCTCTGCCTATGTCTCTGTCTTCCTCATGAATAAATAAATAAAATCTTTAAAAAAGGGGAAAAAAAAGGATGTCCTCCCCTTCCCCCACCTTAGAAGAAGGTAAACACAAAAATGTTTTACTTAACTTTTATTCTACTCAAATCTCAATATAATCAATCAAACTCTCTTTCTATCTCCCTCCCTCCCTCCTCTGTCCCTCCCTCTCCCCCAACCCTCTCCCCTCTCCCCTGTCCTCCTTCCTCTTTCTAACAGGAATCTGATCAGCAGGCACATAGAATAAAATTATAACTATATCAATTCTATTGCAGTTCATACCTATTTCCCATTGTTATTACTACCATCTTTCCCACTTAACAATGTTCTGATAAAACAGATTACTCTTCAACTTCAGAAAAAAAAATTTTAAGATTTTATTTATTTATTCATGAGAGACACACACAGAGAGGCAGAGACATAGGCAGAGGGAGAACCAGGCTCCCTGTGGGGAGCCAAATGTGGGACTCGATCCCAGGATCCCAGGATCCCAGGATCCCAGGATCACGACCTGAGCCAAAGGCAGATGCTCAACCGCTGAACCACCCAGGTGTCCCTGGAAAATATTTTTTCATTATGGTTTATCAACATGTCTAAGACTAAACTTGTCTTTTTACTTCCAAACCTGCTCCTTTTCCAAAAATTCCCATATCCCTTCAAGGTGGCCTTGTTTTAACCATCAAACTTTTGGTCATATTTTCTATCTCCCTTCATCTATGCCCCATTTTCAAATATTATTTGACTCTTCATCTAAGATCTCTCTTTTCCTCTTCATGTCCATTGCTACTAACTCTGGGAAAAGCCTTTAATCCTTCTCCTCTGGATGGGTACACCAGCCTATCCTCTCCCTGCTTTCAACCTATCTTCTTGCTACATCATCCCATATACTGGAGACAAAGTAATTTTCCTAATGGTCACATCATCTTGCTACTCTGCTTATGTGAATCCACTGGCTATCCATTACCTACAGAAAAAAAACAGCACATTCCTTCATAGGATATACAAGAGTCTCCGGGATCTAGCCTCAATCTACTTTCCCAGCTATACCTGCAAATATTCCCTCCTTGTCCCATTATCCACTACTACCTGGACTCTAGCCAAACCATAGAACTTATAATGCTTAACATACATCTTGCATTTACTGCCTCTGTACCCCTATTTACTGTCTATCTTTCCATGGAAATGCTAGTTCCACACATCAAGTCCTAGCTTCATCACCTCATACATGAAGCCGCCACCAATCTGTAATCCTTACAGACTGACACAATTGAGAAGAATCTTCTTCCTCTGGTTAAGTCATTCTGCCATCTTGCTATAATTTGTTCCTAGGAAAGCTCATGCCATCAAAAGTCATGCTTTCAAAGAGTTAGGCACTAGAAAGATTTAAAGTGCTCATGGCAAAGTTCTTTTGCCTGTAGAGACTTCAGTAAGGACTTTTATAAAATATCAAAAAACAGATGCAGTAGTTGAGTCTATACAGCTTGAGGACAATGGTCTCCCTTCTCCAATTACCAGTTGTGTCTTCATTATATTAATTATCGCCCACTATTACCACAAAGACAAAGCACAAAGATCCGCTAAAAGTACATCTATGTCTCATCTGTCTTCACTTTTCTCCCAAAATATATAACACAAATTGTGTTCCTCAACTAATCAAGCACATTATATTTAATTAGCATTGTGAAATTCCACATTCCATCAAATGCTGACTCTGCCCCTACTCTCTGTTTGCAAAATTCCAAACACCAAGCAGACAATTAAAAACTATTGTTCTGGGCAGTCCAGGTGGCTCAGCAGTTTAGCACCTCCCTTCAGCCCAGGGCATGATCCTGGGATCCCGGGATCAAGTCCCAACTTAGGCTCCCTGCATGGAGCCTGCTTCTCCCTCTGCCTGTGTCTGTGCCTCTCTCTGTGTGTCTGTCATGAATAAATAAATAAAATCTTAAAAAAATATATTGTTCTAGTTAAATTCAGAGATAAAAGAACATCATTACTATGATTATAATTCATTCATAACAGAACAGGTTTGAGACACTTTTTAATAAATGTTTTAAATTGAATAATGCTGAGGTATAATGGATATTTTATCTGATTATAAGCTCCATGGTGACAGGGATCACATCTGCCTTAGTTACCGCAGTGTTCCCAGAACATCATATCTTGTCTGGCACATGGACGGTGGCCATTAAGTATTCATGGAATTAATAAATCAATATGGCCATATCCAAGTCATCCGGGTGGGCAATTTTATAAATAGGACCACTATACCACAGCCAAAGTTTAATTTTTCTGGGAACTGTGAGAACTTACTATATTTTTTTATCTTAAAAGCACATTATTTGCCATATAAGGAAGGACTTCCTTCTCTAAAAGTTTCCCTTTAAAAATGACTACTTAGTAGCATGCTCTAACCATTTATTGCCTTGAGTGTTTATTTATTATTATTATTATTATTATTATTATTTATTACTTATTGCCTTGAGTGTTTAAGAGACCTTACCTTTCCATGAACCCTGTAAGAGCCAAAAGTGGTCACATCCACTTGCAAAGTACTATCTGCTACCAACAGACAACATATTTACATGTTTGTTTAAACTGACAACATATTTATATGTTTGTTTATAGATAGATAGATAGGGAGTAAGTAGGTAGGTATGTACCTAGATAAGCAGCTTTCTCCATTGTTCATTTCAACTAAATGTGAACATATAAATAAGCAAAATCAAACAAAATATCTTACATATAAAGACTTCATGTTATTTCTAGAGGCATTAAGTCAATACTACATTTCTTATCTTTCCTTAAAAAAATTTTGAAATGTCTAAGCTCACTGACCATATCATCTAGCCAGTACAATCACAATTGTGACAACTCAATTAGCCCAGTTTTATAAGATAATTGCTCACACATTCCACAGAGGTTAGAATGCACCTGCCATCTTATATTCTGAGAACCCCAGATAGAACTATCAGGCTTAATAAAGTGAGAGTGGAAGAAAAGGGGAGAGGGTAGAAAAGAAGAATATATATATATATACCCAAATAGGCATGATAGTCAAAATATTTAACATCTGATTTGATAGAGGCATTAATCAGAAGGGATGCTCACCCAATCACAACAGCTGTCAGCCATACAAACAAATCATAATTGCTTATCTTCCATTTAATATTTAATACTTATTGAGTACATTTTTAAATATTGTAAAAAACACTTCACAAGTGCAAAAGTATATCCAATAAGATGCTACTAAAAATGTCTCGTGAAAGTACTGAGTACCAGGGAAGATGTTCACTGCACCTTCAGTAATAATTTTATAAGTAATGATCCAAGCTGAGACATAAAATGAAAAAAAATATATATATATATGCAGAGACAACATACTGGAGACCCTCCAGTGAAGATGTGTTGCAAGAGCAGTATCTTAAGTTACTCAGGAAAGTATATACATCCAGGGACTCACGTGACATTATTTGGTCACTGGATACAACAAATGAAAAAAGAAAAAAAAACTTGCAATGGAACAGTGAAGATAATGCAAAATCTAAACCTGAATCTTTAAAAATAAAGATTTTTAAGGATATGAGGCATTCTTCATTGTAACTTTTTTTTTCTTTTTTTCTTTTTTAAGAGAGGGAGAGAGGTGGGGGAGGGCAAAGGGAGATAGAGCATCATAGAGAAGGCTCCATACTCAGTGCGGAGCCTAATAGGGGGCTGATCTCACAACCCTGAGATCATGACCTCAGTCAAAATCAAGTCTGATGCTTAACTGCTTTAGCTACCCAGGTACTCTTCCTCATTGTAATTTTAGAGAAATAATAACTCTATTTATTCTACTAGTCACAAAAGAAAATAAAAAATTAAGAAGCTGTCAAGATATAATACTTTCCCAGTTTTGCTCAATCATAATTGATGCATCATACATGTTGTAGCTGATCATAGATAATACGATTAAGATTGTTAAATAAATTATTTAATAAACAAACTTTAAGAATGTGTATGTTTGTGTGCAGTCAAGACCATGAAAACTTAGTTCACAATGATATCGTACTAACCGTATAAGCGCTTTCTTTCGCACTGCTGGCGTTCTGGTCACCATAATACCACACAAACTGGAAGTCCTGGGGCTGGGGAACGTGTGACATCTCTGCTCTGCTTTTAAATTCCAATGACAAAATGGTGGGTGGAAAAAGAATACTTATGATGATCTTTAAAAGAAAATAAAGCAAAATAAGTAGTAAGGGTCACACAAGGCACAAGTATTAGTCAAATAACAAAATGAAGACTTTAACATACATAAAGTACCAGGCCTATCCCTAATTCAGTTCATACCCTGATTCTATAGATAGTTTTTTAATTCAATTCCCAATCTAGCAGTGTCTCCCCCAGAAATAGTCATGAATGCAAGCATATGTGTACAGGGATGTGTAATGCAGTGTTATGTGTGATACCAAAAAAATCTGTCAACCTAAATATCTGTCTATAGAAGGATAGCTGGTGTGAGACAACCTAACAAACAGGGGAATATTATGCAATCTTTAAAAAGATAAAAACGCTTTTTAGTATAATGAGAAGATATCCAAGTTATATTGTTAAGTGAATAAAAGCAAGTTATATAGCAATATATAGTATGTGATACTATTATTGTACAAAAAGAAATTTAAAAATTAGAAAAGTTATGTGCATATACATATATGCATTTAAAGGTTTAAAAATATGTATTCACACTATTATTATTTATCCCTAGGGGCAAGGCAGTGAGAAATATTATTTTTCAATGAACATGAGCATATTGCTTCCATAATTCTTGAAAGCCATTTGGAATGTCTTCCTAAAACTCACCAGCCAAGAACTGATGAATTCGGATCTAGACATGGAGAAGAACTGCCAGCAGCTCATTGATTTTAAGTAGATAATCCAGGCTTCTTTGTTGACTCACAACATTTTGGGGCAATACATTCAGTTTTGCTTCCTTTAAGTCGCGTTATGCATAGAATTACATGAGGATCAAAATGGTATTAAGTTCTAGGTAAAAAAGGCTTCTAGTAAACTGAAGTAGGTACAGAACACAGCCATGGGGAAAATTATTCCTCAAACTTCCAGCCATCTATACCCTATCTTGCTCTCTGCACATTTAAAAAGAATTATTGTCAGAGATTGTGTAGTTCACTTCTTTGCTTCATCTTTTCTAAGACTGAAATCAATAGATCAAAAGAGAACTTCTTCTAGAAATAATTGTTACTTCATCAATATTTTTAAAAGAGGAATCTAAAAAAAACTAAAAAAACAAAAGAGGAATCTATATGAAATAATTTTTGGTTCACATTTATCCTATTTTTGCAATCTTATTAGTGGATTTCAAATGTGCTATTTCTTTTATATATTTTATATATTATATCTTATTTCTTTGTGTTTTCTCTAGTGTGTCCCACAGAAAAATATTTTTAAGAAAGTCATTCTATTTGGGACATACATTTTTAAGTCTACAAAAAGTAAAATTTAAATATATAGTCCTCTATAGCCCTTAATGCTCATGCTTTATCCCCTTTTATTCAGTTTATGAGCATATGTATCTCATAAGCTTGACCATAACCTAAAGCTTTAGGCTTGGGTTTGATGTCCAAAGTGAAATGTCTTTAGTAGTTAAATTACTCCTGATAGTTCAAGATGAGAGGTGAGGCCAAACTCTAATGGATAGAAGAATCTGGAAATAGGTGTATCAGGAAGCTTTATAAAATAGAGCATCTAACCTACATTGGATGAACAGAACAGAAATTGCTAATTTTATTTAGTGTGTTACCAATTAATATTCTTTTTTTTCTAAGATTTTATTCTTTAAAGATTTTATTTATTACAGACAGAGGCAGACACAGGCAGAGGGAGAAGCAGACTCCCCGGAGGGAAACTGATGTGGGATTCCATCCGAAGACCCCAAGATCATGACCTGAGCCAAAGGCAGATGCTCAACCACTAAGCCACCCAGAAGTCCCCTGATTAATATTCTTAAACTGAAAAAAATTTCACTAAAAAGGCTCATTTACTTCTGTTATAGTTATCAGAGGCCATGGAGTTTGCCAAGAATGAAATCTTGTATATGCTTGTATCTGCTTTAAACTTCTAAGCACCTGCACAAGGAAATGCCTTTTGACGGATGGAGCTGGTGTAATCATCCCCATTTCTGAAAAGAAACTGTGACAGTGGAAGATAAAGTATTTGTCCCAGCTCATTCATGAGAACCAAAGACACTAACTGGTTTTCCTGAATATAGTCTTCCAGAACAAGGGGAAATGAACTCAAGAGCACAGACATTCAGAGTAAACGAATATTAAACTCTATAAAGCAAGCAAATATATCTTTTTTTTAAGTTGAAGTATAGTTGATACACAAGGTTACATTAGTTTCAGGCGTACAGAATAGTCATTTGATACCTCTATGGGTGACACTGTGCTCACTGCAAGTGTGCCTATCATCTGTCCCCATACAATGCTAGCATAATACCACCGACTCTATTCCATATGCAATATGTTTCATCCCTGTGACTTATTCATTCCATCACTGGAAGCCCGTATCTCACTCTCCCCTACACCCATTTTGCCCAACCTCTCCCCCCACCAGTTTGTTCTCCGTGTAAGTGAACGTACCTTTAACCAAGAGTTTTTCCTCATTTTCAGGCGCCCGGTCCACATGTCTGTCAGTAGCATTTGGGTGCAAGTGTGTGAAACAAAGGGCCGCAATCTTCCAGACGCAGCCAGTTTCAGACAAGTAGAATTGCTCCAGTTCTTGAGTTCATAGGTCAACAGTTTCATGGCCATTCTTTCATTCTGCTTGAATGCTTTCTCCAACACATCCAGAGCAAGTTGGCCGAACTGTCTGTAATGACACAGTGGTGAATGGCAGAAACAAATGCAGGTGAGAGTCCCAGAAACATTTTAAAAGATTAGTTAGGAGACTTGAGGAAAGATCAAACACAAAAGAATGAACAGCAACATAATAACCTCAGATTGCAGAAGCTCTTTCAACGTGATTGCTGCACAGCAAATGGGCATTCTCCCTTTACAAAAGGGTTTACACTGCAGCGTACAGAATTTGGTTTATATCAGGAGTGGTTGAGCTATCTATCCCCGGGGAGAAGCCTAACCATTCTGCAAAACAAACTATATATGGGGACCCCTGGGTGGCTCAGTCATTGAGCATCTGCCTTCCACTTAGGTCGTGATCCCGGGGTCCTGGGATTGAGTCCCACATCGGGCTCTCTAAAGGGAGCCTGCTTCTCCCTCTGCCTGTGTCTCTGCCTCTCTCCGTGTCTCTCTTGAATAAATAAATAAAATCTTAAAAAAAAAAAGACTACACATAGCTTGGTTTGGAGTTCCTTGACAAGAACTAATAAAGAATTTTTTCACAGAAAAAAACTCTTGAATACTGAATAAGCAATTAAGGGAAATCATGGAGTCACCTTTTTAAAAAAATGTTAGCAAATACATAGATGACTTAAGTAAGAAGCTAGATGTGGAGACATTTTCAGGAGGGTTGTTTTTTCTAAAAAGTAGACGCTGTTACTCTCTGGAATTTTTAAAATCACAATTATACATTACTTTCTATGAACACTAGTTCTGCTTCTTTCCTGTCTCTTATAATGCTTAAGTAATCAAAAAATCAAAACCATTTCCAACCTTTCTATCTTTTGCCATCAATGCTCTGCTTCTTTGATACTTAAAACCTCTATTTGCTTCCCTGCCTGTGAGGTACTGAAAGTAAACAAGTTTTCATTTAACTTAGTGTCAAAGAGTTTGAGAGTTGGAAGGGACTTTCAAAATCATTAACTGAACCTTCTGTGGGAGGAATCTATAGTCTCAAAATCTGGCCAATTAGTAAACAGCTGGATGAGGACTGGAAGCCACATCTCCTGACTAGAGGGCTACCTCTTTTCCCTTTATTCCACAAGGCGCTTTGAAATACCTAAAGACTGTTACTAGTAGGAGGGCCCAGGAAATGCAAGGCAAAAAGTCCACACATCTTACAAAGTCTAAGGCGAGGGAGATAAAAGTATCTAACCATTCTAAGAACTGTCGATGTTTAGTATGAAGTGAAGAGAGAACTCCTACTTTGAATAATTTCTCAGCTCTTCTGAGGCATCATCCATCATGTTGCTCTCCTTAGCTTCCTGGGCCATGGCTCGGTAGAGTTTATAGGCAATCACTGCCTTGACCGTGGCCTCCTCTCCATGCTGCCAGAAGAACATGGCCATCTTCTGTCTTTTCATTAGCACAGCCCAAACCAGCAAGTCATTGTAAGGGTAAATAAAGCCAGTAGATTCAAGGTCGTCTGATATATTTTGTTCTTCTTTTGACTTCTTCCTTGACTTATGAAGAACTACAGACTTTTCCTGTTGGAAAATAAAATAAGAATGGATTCCATAAGAGTCAGATGCAGGACATTCAATCCAATGAAACATCTCAGGTATTTCTAGGAATATTTTTCAAATCTCTGAAAAGAGACAGAAACAACAATAGAACTTTATAAACCAGAAACCAAAAATTTGGCCTTTTAGTGATCTACTTCTTTTTTTTTTTAAGATTTTATTCATTTATTCATGAGACACACACACACAGAGAGAGAGAGAGAGAGAGAGAGAGAGAGAGAGAGAAGAGAGGGCGAATCAGGCTCCTCGCAGGGAGCCTGACGTGGGACTCTATCCCAGGTCTCCAGGATCAGGCCCTGGGCTGAAGGCGGCGCTAAACCACTGAGCCACCCGGGCTGCCCTAGTGATCTATTTCTTGTTCTATCTGATAGATCCAGGGTTCACAAGCTGAGATACCCTGTGTTCATTTAGCACAACTTAAAACACTACACCTTTGAGATAGACCCAATAGCTACATGACAATTTTCAATTTCTTAAGGAAATGGTTGAAATAACATATTGGATAAATGAGAAGTATTTAAAAAAAAAAACCTCTAACCTGACTTTATAAATAAATTCATTATCTTTTATATTTTCTGCAGAAAAATATTACTAGCATCGCCAACAAGCACCCAAACTGATTGGTTTTAAGCTTCCCTTCCTTTAGTCTGATTATATTCCTCTAGTAATAGTAGCATGTAATAATGAAATACTATTCTCTACTGGGTAAACTAATCCTTTACAGCTCATCTCAGTGCCACTCCCCAACCTTCATGTTCTTCTGTATCACTGTGTACACATTTATATTTCAATATTCATTATATGGCAATATGGTTATTACTTTGAGGAGGGGGCGTCATTTCTCAGTCATCATTATACTTTCTCCACCCACCTGCATCCCAAATTCAACCAAGTACCCAACATAATGCCTGGTGAATAACCAGATTAGACAATTATTCTTTTTAATAAAAGGGGATAAGAGAGAAAATTATAAGCTTCCTCTATTTCTAGAAATAAAAGGAAATTTGTATTCATTGATGGTAATCAAGGGTAATTTTATAAAACACCCTTTCATCCTAGGAGCTATGGAAAGCAAACCTCTTTTGGCCAACATAGGAATCTTTTATATAGAAACTCCTGAGCAAAAGCATTCATGCCCAGAGGAAAGCAGGACTGAGGTAAAATGGGGAGAGTTGGATTAACACCATCACTCACGTTGTTAAATTGTTGTTATGCTGTTGACTTGTACCCATTCATTTATGGTACTTGCCACCGGCCTATGGGTAGCTCCCTTCTCCAACTTTGAATGAAGAAATGGGCTAGCCTGCAAGAACAGTTTTATTTTCATGTCTAAAAAGAAATAAAGTGGTACCTTGAATTTGTAAGGCTGGGCAGTTCTAATGAACTGGGAATGCAGCGTACTTTCTGCAGATTCATTTTGATTTCCTGAGGGGTGTCTTCGGTGAAGAGGGGGCTGGGAAAGGCTTTGAGCAAAACTGGTCACTCGCTGGCAGGTGTCATTTTATTTTTAAAATAAAAAAAATAAAATAGACAAAAAGGGAAAAGAAGATTATCATGGAAACAATTAACATTTTGTTTCTAGACAGTAATGAAAACAAAATAGGATACTGTGTCTTACCAAGAATCCAAAGGTTCTATCTCTAGCCCATGATTAGTATTTAATTATTCCCCCAGCAAAAGCCTCTCACAATTTCTTCCATATTAAGCACACTGTTATTTCCTAACATCTTAGAGACCATGTTATTTCATTCCCTATTACATATCTCCATTCCTTCTCTAGGTGGAAATTCCATTAAAAATCAATGGATGATTGAGCCTAGAACAAGCTCAGAATAGGCAATAAAGATGCACAGTTCTGACAAGAAAAAGTTCCCACTCACAAACAACTCCAAGGTTAAATTAGAAAGTTATGGAACTTCTCCAGATGTTATGTATCACCACCGGAATTCCAGTGATTAGGCCCAGTGACAACATGATTTATTGCTTATCAGCATGAAACTTCCATCAGTAAGAAACAAAAAGAAGTATTTTTATAGGGGCTGATACAGAAATGGATGATACAAACCATGGGCTTTGAGCTACTTTATTTATTTATTTATTGATTGATTGATTGATTGATTGATTGATTGAAATAAGAAGGCATCAAACAGACCACTGCTCTAGTTCAACTTCCAACACCAAAGAACAAAAGTGGTTAGCCCCAAATAACAGTAATTTGCCACCTCCTGCTAATCCTTAGTATGATATCCCAAACCAGTGGCGTAGTTTTGCTATCCTCAGTTAAAGGACCCGGCTGATGATGAAGCATTCTGTCTCTTTAATGCACACATCATGTGCATTTTTCCCTCTGTGTCCACATAGCCAACATAATAAGTCTGTCCCAAGAAATTAGGACCATTGGAGGGCCCAGAAATCTCATGCATACCAAGGAACTCAAGCACCAAAAGGGTTTCACATATTCATCCAAAAGTTATTCCCATTATAGAACAACTCTTTATACAGCCATAGAAAAACATCAGTTCTCCAAGGTAGGTTATCTCTTCCAATAAAAGGTAGGTGTTCTGTATTATTTTTGGCGGCCATCCAGTCGATACTCTGGGTTGTCATCCAAAAGCAGGGTGTGAAGAGGTGGCTAATAGGGGACGGTGGCTGAGCCTAATGTGCTCTTTTCCACAAGGTGATGGAAATGAAGATTTGCCATAATAAAAGTCACTTCTTCCTCCCTCTACCATAGCCCCACCAGGAGGCCTGGGTATAGGCAGAAGATCTGAATGAGTCTGTCCCAACCAATCATGGTGGATTCAGTTAAGTTACTATACTAACTTGCAGTTAAATAGCGATACTGGGACACCTGGGTGACTCAGAGATTGAGCATCTCCCTCCAGCTCAGGGAGTGAACCCCGGGGTCCCGGGATCAAGTCCCACTTCGGGCTCCCTGCAGGAAGCCTGCTTTTCCCTCTGCCTGTGTCTCTGCCTTTTATTTATTTATTTACAAATAAATTTATTTATTTGTAAATTTATTTACAAATAAATTTATTTATTTGTAAATTTATTTACAAATAAATAAAATCTTTTAAAAAAAGAGTGCTACTAAGGTTCATTTTTAGGGTGGGTTTTAAATTTTTTTAATTTTTATTTATTTATGATAGTCACAGAGAGAGAGAGAGAGAGAGAGAGAGAGAGAGAGAGGCAGAGACACAGGCAGAGGGAGAAGCAGGCTCCATGCACCGGGAGCCCGACGTGGGATTCGATCCTGGGTCTCCAGGATCACGCCCTGGGCCAAAGGCAGGCGCTAAACCGCTGCGCCACCCAGGGATCCCTGGGGTGGGTTTTAGACTGGTCCATAAAAACCATTGTCATAACATAAAATCTAAGATCGACAACATGGCTAGCTGTGGCCAGTGTTTGCCATACCACATAATCATCACTGACAAATCATTTATGGAAAGGTCAATGTGTTCCATGATGTATTCTTTTGCAATATTTTTTCTTTCAATATAATTACCCAACCTAAACTTAGGTATTCTGAGGTTGTCTTCAGTTTTAACTGGAAGGCCTAGGTAAGGGTTGACAGGTTTGAGAACCTGAGCTAGCACTGCTTTTGCAGACGTTCTTTGTGTCATAATATATTCTTTCTTCCAATATCCAGTTTCTTTACCCTTAACCAATAGTAAGTTCACAGATACAGTGGTCTTCCCAGCTCAAATAACTTTCCAATGAGATCTTTTAGGTTAAAAGGCAGTTGAAGAGATTCTGATAAAATTGTCATTGGCCATATGATCAAAGCGCCTATTCACACATCCAGTACATAGCAGGGTCACAGCATCCAAAGAAGGAAAAGATCTTCAGCAAGATTTCTGAAGGCATATTATCCAGGGACACAGAAAGGTTAGTGGAGGACTTCTCATAGTGGCCTCCCCAGCTGGCACACTGCCTCAGGGTTATGCTGCCTAAAGTACATCCGTGGCCTGGCCCCCTTCTGAACCCAGTGGCATGTGGCCTCCTGGGGGATCCCCTGGGCTGCACCCACCCACACAAGGCTCAGTAGCAAATGCAGTGCCTGGAGTCCATGTCAGTGCTTGCTCAAGTTACTTTATTTACTCATTTATTTTGGTTTGCATTTTATGGATATTAGAGAAGTGATAGGATCCTGACTTCTAAAATATAATACTCAAATTATTATCATTATTATTGTGATATAGGATTAATAGCATCTTCAATAGTAATCACAATATTATTATTAACAGTTACTCTGTGATCTCTGTGTACCAGGAATATGGGTTTTCCAGGTGTTATTTTATCTAATTCTTTTGACAAATTTATGAAAGAGATATTATATTATTATTCTCATTTTATAGATAAGGAAAATGACACATGGAGAGGTTAAGCTTCTCACTCAAGATTTCACAGCTACTAATGAACAAAACTAATACTCCATCCCAAATCTCTCTGACTCTAAACCATATATTTGTAACTGCTATGTTCTAATTTACTATGAGTTTCCTAAATAAATTCTACTCCTTCACTAGGAAACAGAAATGGAAAGTAATTTCACACCATTTCAAAAGACAAAAAGCACTAAAGGTACCTGGTCAGCAAGCTCCCCACTGGGCTACACCAAGAGCATAGTTGGTCCTCATACTTGTCACAGGTAACCTCACAGCAAACTATATTTCATTTAGCTGAAGGAGCTGATACCTCAAGTATGTCTTTCTGCCTTTGAAATCTCAGTGAAGATCATTTTCTCCATGACACTTGAGTGTCCTTTTGTTTTGTTCTTTTATTTCTTAAAGACAAGTTGGGCTTCACTTCACCTGATTCTTTATAAATAAAAGTCAAAAGTGGCTCAATATTCTGGATATTCCTGTGATCCCACTCCAAACCACCTTTCCAGTCTACCCTTCGCAACCTTCTAACATGTCGATGGCAACAAAGATCTCCTTGTCACTGCAAAAACATAATCTGATGTCCATAGTACTGTGCCTTTCACTGTCCCTGCTCATCTCTCAACCCCAAATGCTCCAAACTATCTTTTCTAACACGTCCATTATCCTCTAAGAAGAAAGCTCTCTTTGGTTTACTGGGCAATAGTGGTGATTTTAAGAAATGAACAACATTTTCTCTGCTAATCAACCAGGCAGCAATTCATTCCTAAACTTTCGAAATGTTCATAGAAAATAAAATATGTACGATGTACATTTTTACATATAGTACACACAGCATGCATTTTCCAATATAACCCCAACACACCTGTCCCAAATTTGTCATCTCCAGATTATGGACTCATGAGTTTATAGATATAAGCCCATTAAGTTTTTGCCTTCTGCATTTTCAAAAGGAAAGAAAAGAACTGGTCATCTCTCCCTTAAATCTTACTCAAGACATTACTTCTATGTCAGTATAGCACAGGGCACCTGGTGGCTCAGTGATTGAGCCTTTGGCTCCGGTCGTGATCCCAGGGTCCTGGGATTGAGTCCTGAATCAGACTCCCTCGGGGGAGCCTGCTTCTCCCTCTGCCTATGTCTCTGCCTCTTTCTGTGTCTCTCATGAATAAATAAATAAAATCGTATATATATATAGATCTTATATATCATACATATTGTATCCTCTTCTGTATGATGGCTAGTTATTCATAAATCTGTTTCTTCTGAGAGTTTCTAAACTCCTGATCTTTATGTTCATCCTAAGCCAACACTGTAATTTACATGTGGCAGAGACTCAATAAATGTCGATAAACACAGATGTCCATTTTAGAAGCTATTCCCATGCTAACCCTCTAAGCCATTTTTCTAAAAGTGTAACTTCTAGTTATCCCATATTTTACAAGGGTACTTATCAATTGTGGTACCTTATGTTTTCTGTAGAGGTTGTTGTAGAGGGTTCTGAAACTTTTTCTAGTGTAGCTGCTTCGATATGCTCCACCAATGAGGTATTCGATTACCAATCCAATGTCAATCAGTGTTATCCTGTAGCCTGTGAGAAGGGTATGCTGAAACAAAACCATGTAACGGATTGTAACTTTCAGTCCCCTTTTTGTTTCTCCTATTCCATCTGTTAGGACATAACCAATCAACTGCAAAGAGGTAGATTCATACATTTCAGTCATCTTCACAAACTGATTGATTAATGTGACCAACTACTGATAGTCTGCTTGCTCAGATGGAAAACCCTAGCCTTACTGTGTTTTTCATTTCACACACATCAAGTGTGTGCTTATAATCGCTCATTCTATTCTCTTTCTCTCTCTCTCTCATGCATAGATACACTTTATAATAAAATACACTTAAATATAGTATAAAAGATTGTTTTTAACTGGAAATTATATAACTACTACAATAGGAGTAAAATTACTGGAGGATATTGCCAAAATTTGCAATTTTGACATATTATTTAAAATAAAAGTTACTTAAGAGAAAGCCTGTACGAGAAGAACACTCAGACCCTCCTCTGTTTCCCTGAAGGCAGGAAATAACTCTCCCATGTGAAAGGGACCCTCCTTGTCCCAGGAAGTAAAGAGACATACTTATCACCAGAGATGCAAAATTCAGAGTAGAGAAGGCTGTATAAGCAACCCTCATTACTTTTTATTAATTTACTTCTCCAGCCAAAATTCTGTTTAGAATTCCTTACTAATTGAAGTTAAGTTTTCTTTGTTCTGTCATTTCTTCACAGATTTATTGTCTCTTTATCTGAAAAGTATAAAAATTGCCTGCCTTGCTCATTTCTTGAGGTCTCCATTTCATTACTGGGCCTATGTGTACACATAATAAAACTTCGGGTTTTTTTCTCCTGTTAATCTGTCTCATGTAAAATTTAATTCTTAGGCTAGCTGGAAGAACCTTGAGCTAAGGAATATTTCTTCTTCCCCTTCAATATACTGAATATATGTGATCCAAAATTAACATTGGGTGAGATCTTCAATCTCTCTAGAGCACTTTGCACTATGTTGATTGCATCATACACAAAATGAGATTGAAAATAGAAGTAGAACAAATAGAAGTAAGGAACATGGAATGGTGAACAAAATAAGATATCAAAACATGAGGCTGTGCCAAAACAAATATTATGGTTGGCAGTGTCTTAATCCAAATGAAGATTACTTTGACCACTTAAAACTCCACCTTACTACCTCTTCGTAACTGTCACTTCTCAACTCCCACTCACAGTACCTTTTTAAATTAAAGTATAATTGGCATACAATACCCTATTAGTTTCAGGTGCATATCACAAGATTTAATATTTTTATACCTTATGAAATGATCCCCATGATAAGTCTAGTTACCATCTTTTGCCATAGAAAGTTATTACAATACTATTGAACTATAGTCCCTATGCTGTATATTCCATTCCATTCCCATGACTTATTTATTGTATAGTTGGAGTTTGTACCTCTTAATCCCCTTCACCTATTGAGCTTATTACACTGATACATATATGAATTAATGTAAATACACTCATAATTTACTTTTTTCAGGGAACACCAAAACTAATGCTCTTAGTTGCTAAGAGTTAAGAGCATATTTAACCTATTCTACTCCCTTTTCTTCAGTTTACTGTAATGAAATCAAAGTTCAAGGAAGTAATCTAAAATCATTTTGATCATGCAAACTAAATTTACATCAGTACGGATGCTTTTGTTTACTTTTAATTTGCCAACTAAATGTCTTCCTCTGCAGTCCTTTTACTCTGGCTCTCCCACCAAGTCAACATAGCCAGAAAGCCCACACCCTCTCCATCAAGATACCAGACTTCTGAGAAATGATGAAGTACTATAAAGTGTGCCATGGATGGATTTTAATTATGGGGACAAAAATGTCTCTCTTAGTTTTCTGCAGATGTGAATAAGAGTTCTTGGCGACTAAAAGAGAAAGAATTAAAGCATAAGAGAATGCTAAAGGTTTGATAACTAATAGATGATGAGTTTAAGTCTGATTTAACTCAAAGTTTGGTGAAAACACCATGAGCAAAACATGAGCGAGGGTATAGAGCAGTGGGATTCATCCTGGCTCCCTAGAACAATGCTTAGATTCACAAAAGAAGATAGGGACCCCAAACCATCCCTCATAGTCAAAACAATAACAAGACAATGAAAATCACATATTAGTCCTCTGATAAACATGACAGAACAAGGAAATTTCTTCATTTTTCAGCAAGTATTATTATCACTGGAAATACAGTTATATTATTGAGGTAAAATTCTGATTGAAAGTTCTGTATGTCTCCAATTCATATTTTATAAGAGACAATAATTATTAGTTAATGCCACTTACTTGGTAGATCAAATCTTTTAAAACATAAAATAAATTACAATACAAATTACAAGGAAAAAAAAAGAGTAGTTTGGTGATGAAATTGTTCAGTCAAAGAGGGTAGGTAACTCTCTAGAAATTCCAAATCTACATTTTATGAAGCAAAATCTGGCAACACCTCAATCACAAAACTAAGGCAATACACAAAGAAGTTTGTACACATTCATAATTAGGTTACCATAATTAGGTTACCTGTTTTACATCTCGGACAAGGTGATGCAAGAGCATATTAGTAGGTCCTTGTTTCTGTAATAAAGAAGAAAAGAAAAATTCATTCCTTTTAATTACCATGCACTAGGGGGAAAATATTTTATTTCAGAATATGTAAATATGTAAATAACCCAGAATACTGAAATTTTTCTTTAACATCTTTAGTTATGAAGCTTACCCCAATTAGTTATAAGTAAGTCTAGTCTCTATTCTAGTCTCTATTTCCTAAGAGAAGATATAATTAGATTGAAATATTTTTCAAAGATGTAAAAAAGAAAAAAAGGATATAGATGTAGGTGGTAAAAACTTTATTTTTTTCAAGAGACAAAAATAAATTTTAATTTATAACTATCCTTTATCATATATAAATTACACAATTACAAACCCCATCACACAATTACATTCCATCAACAATTACTTATCAATCACTACTATGTTCAATACAGCTTTCAAGAGAGTCAATGAAGAATATAAGTACTTTCGTCATAGTTTTCACAGTTAATTGAAGAGACAGGGGACTTACATGAAAAAATAAGCTACGAAGATGTGTGCTCAAAGAGTTGCAAAAAAACTGTACCATAGGAATAGATCACTGTAAACTGGAATATTCACAAAGGGCTTGAAGAGGGCTTTGAAGAAAGGGTAAGATTCAAAGGACAAGGAAGTACATTTCAAGAAGCATGGTTGGCTTGAGCAATTGGTGTTTTTACAATGAGTAAGCTGGTCTGGTTTCAATAAAGGGTTTGCATAGGAAAGTTGCAGGAACAGAATTTTAACAGCCGCCATAGATGGAGATGCTTCCAACAATTCAATAAAAGCAATTTGTTCTTACTGACATCATTGGCTTTAACTATGGTCTTACTGTTTTGTTTTCTTAACTTGGTTTATGTTTCTATTTTGTGTAATTAATTAAAATAAGAAACGCAGATATGGCTAGAGGATAAAATGGATTTCGTAAGAATGTCCGTTGGTTGAGAAATCTGTCTCTCTCTAACCTATCTTTGTACGTCAATATTCAATGAGGCTTGAACATTCAATATTTAGGTTACGCTAAATCTTAAGCTAATTAATAAATGAATCTTAAAGGAGGTGATTGATGGAATGTTCCAATACTCACTGTGTTATAGAGCTCTTCCAGTCGGGGGATGGTAAGAAAGCGATGTAGGTTCACTCCGTATTCTATTAAGAGCTTCACAAAATCCACTCGATCCATCACTAAAGCATCTAACATTGCTTGTTCCAGTGCGCCAGCCTTAAACAAATAAATAAAGGTAGAAATAAGAGATATAGAAAGTAGAAATTTTTTAAAAATAGAAATAACTAAAGAATTACATATATTTGAACTGAAAACAATGCAGATACAATAATCATAAAATACAGTCTTACTAAGAAATGTTCAGGACCTGACTGAAGAAATAGCCAAAAGTGAACCTGATGAAATAAAAGATACTTTAAATAAATCTGTTCTTGTACTAGAAGACTGACAATTATAAAGATCTCATTACTTTCCAAATTAATGTACAGGTTTAATGCAATTCTAATAAAAATGCAAGGTTTCTTTCTTTGTTGTTGTTGTTATTCTAACTTGGTACATTTTCATTTAAACAATACCCAGTTTCTGAATATAAACAGGAAATTAAACACACTCACTTATTTTACTTTGACCTAAAACTTCAATAAAACTACAATAAAAGGATTTTTTTATTTTTTTATTTTTTTTAAGAAATGAATCCACAAGAAGGAGGTCCAGAGTGTCACATTTTGGAAGTTGGAAAGCAGACAGTCAAATGGTAATTGACTTAGCAATCCCCAGAAACCCAAAAGGTGAAAGTCCCCAGATATTGAATCACAAAAAAGCCAACAACCACAAAAATCTATGCCACAGAATTCTGGGGGCTCCAGGATGAAATAAATGTACACATACAGAATCCCTAATGTAGAGGACTTCCCAATCATCTTCCCCCTTTTGACTTCTATTACCACTAGCAGGAGGGCTTTTATCTTATCCAGGCAGGGGACTGGAGGATTCTTTTCTGTAAAGGGACTAAGAGAAAAGGCAGGAATATGCTGTCATCTCAGGTCCTCCCAGCAACTGGAAGCCAGATCAGTCCTCTGTGAAGCTTAAACCTACAGTTAAGCCCTACCTATGGGCTCAGAACTTCTAAAGAGCTTTCTTTCCTCCATTCTTACATAAAAAGTCCAGAATAAACACACCACAAAACATCAGTTATTAAGAATTAGACAATGCAGAAGAAGAAAACTTCAGAAGAACTATCATTAGTATCAGTGAAATAAGGTCCTATAGATACTATGAGATACTATATTTAGGATGCTTAAAAAAATAAAATAATAAAAAAAAACAAAGAACAAATTTGCTCATAGAAATTAATAGCATGCTACCAGAAACTAATAGCTCCATATAACGCATGAAAAATTAAAGTTGAGGAAATCTACCAAAGGAAAAATATGAAAGAGAAAAAAGAAAAAAGATTAGAGGAGCAGTCCATAAGTCCAACATTTAAATGCTATGAATTCCAGAAAGAGAACAGAGAAAAGAAGATGGCCCCAGCATGGAAACCCATGATTGCTAAGTTGAAAGCATATGCCCAGCATAATGGATATAAAGACTCACAACAGCACACAGCACTATGAAATCTCAAAACATTGGAAAGATTATTTTTTTTTAAGTTTTTTTTTATTTACTTATGACAGTCACAGAGAGAGAGAGAGAGAGAGAGAGAGAGAGAGAGGCAGAGACACAGGCAGAGGGAGAAGCAGGCTCCACGCACCGGGAGCCCAACGTGGGACTCGATCCCGGGTCTCCAGGATCGCGCCCCGGGCCAAAGACAGGCGCCAAACCGCTGCACCACCCAGGGATCCCCTGGAAAGATTATTTATTGAACCTCCAGAGAGGAAAAAAAAATGGTCAAAGGATTAGAAAACAAATATTTTTACTTCTCAATAGCAGTGTTGAATGCAACAACACTAAGCATTCAAAATTATTCAGGAAAATTAGCTCTGATCTTTAATTAAAATATATCAAAACATCTAAGTTCTCAGAATATTTATGTTCCATGTTCCTTTACTCAGACAGTTACTGAAGGATGCATCTCATTGAAACAAAGGAGTAAACCAAGGAAGAAGAAATGGGATACGGAAAACAGGTGTTCTAACACAGGAGAGAGGCAAAGGGAATCTCCAATATGATGAAGGTGGATCCCAGCATGACAGCCCAGAACCAGGAACAGCAGGCAACCAGTCCAGATTGTAGCAGTGAGGACAGGACCATAAACAGAAAAGTGGAGAGGTCTCTAAAACGAATGAATCAGAAAATAGCAATATGACTTGTTATTTAAAAATATGGAGATTTATAATGTCAATACAATATAAAAAATGTCAAAATTACTTCACTTTTGTGATTAGCAGGACAGAGCACTACTGTTGTTTTAGTTGCCTTTTAGTACCACTAGATGTTTCTTAAATAATATGCATGTGTTATCTTGACTCAAAAATAATATACTTGTGGTATGGTCACAACTGCAATGTTTAAAAATGAAATGTTAATAGTGGTTATCATTAGCACTATAGATAATATCTCTTCTTTCTGCTTTTCTCTGTTTTCACTTATTTCTATTATGAGTACATGACATTTCAATGCAAAAATAAGAAAAAAATTTAAGTTTTAAATAACAATATAAAAATCCAGCCATTTAAAAAAATAAGTAAAACATCCTTCCATTTACCAATTTCAATTAGCCTGAGGAAAAAAATGATTTTAGGGAGGCAAAGTTGATGAGAGAAATGTCTCAGGTATTGGGCACCCAGCTACAGAGAAGCTACCTCCATACTCCCCTCAAACCAATCTATCTCTCTGCCAATTTTTTCTTTTGACTTCCTCCTTACAAGCCAACACATGAAATATTTTTCCAAAATAACTTCATTTTAACTATACCTTCCAATGTTGTCCATAAATTAGAATGTGTTTCTTGGCAATGTCCATTCTGTCCCAAGTCATTGCCAGATTTAATTGTTCTGATGCTGCTAAATTTGTGCCTAGGGTAAAAGAAGAGAACAATCATATATCTTATTTAAAATATCAACATTAAAAAAATACCAAGTTCCATGGAATGGGAAAAGAGGAAACGTGGAAGAAATGTAACCCCCTTTAGACACTCACCCTTGAGCAGAGCCGTTAGGATTGCTAAATCAAGGTCTTGTGACTCCTCGGAATCAGCATCAAATATGGTAATCTATAAGAGTTGAGAAACAGGAAGCCATACATTTTGGAAACTAGCAAAGAAATGTTTTCAAAAAGTACCCACAAAATGTGTTCTAGAGGTAATGAATTGACCAAAACAATGCAAAACACACACACACACACACACACACACACACACACAGTTAATCTTCTTCATTAGTTACTATCTTTTTACTTATAGAAAACTTCTTAAATAGGTTAATGGAGAATTGTGAACATTTAGAGAGAAAAAAAACTTGAAAAATCTACCTATCCTACAGGAAACACATAAAAAAATTTAATACACTGAATTTACTACTCATTCACTAGGATAAAAAGAAACTCATTATCAATTCCTTATGAAAAAAAAATCATTCCTTTCGAAGAGATATCACAAGATATTGTGCTTCTGTTTACCTCATCTTAGAAACTAAGATTTTTGCTTTTTTTAATGAGAGGTGAATCCTCAAGGATTCAGTCACAAAATACATGAGGCAATTACAATGCAATTAATGAGTAGAAAGGGCAGCACAAATAATCTTCACAATGTCTGTGTCCAGTGCACCCTGCCATGAGGCTAATTTTTTTAAGACAAGAATTTTATTTCTGATTATAAAAGTGCCTGGTGTCTCAGTCGGTTGAGTGCCCAACTCTTGGTTCTGGCTCAGATCACAATCTCAAGGTCTAAGATGGAGCCCTGCTTGGAGCTCCATGCTTAATGTGGAATCTCCTTAAGATTCTTTTTCTCTCTGCCTCTCCTCACTCCTTAAATAAATTAATTAATGAAAAAGAAAAAAAGAAAAGATTGTCTGCAGTTAATGAATGTATCTCAGTCTTTCAAAATGAAATTTTGGGATGCCTGTGTGGCTCAGTGGTTGAGCTTCTGTCTTCAGCTCAGGGCATGATCTCAGGGTCCTAGGATTGAGTCCAAATCAGGCTCCTTGCATGGAGCCTGCTTCTCCTGTCTCTGCCTCTCTGTCTCTCATGAATAAGTAAATAAAATCTTTTTAAAAAATGAAAATATATTTTATATAATCAAGGGAACTATTCAACAAAAAGAGTCAAGTCTGTTGAGCCCAGATATACCACTAACTAGTCAGTCTGGGGGAAACATCTTAAGGCCACTGAATCTCAGAATCCTCATCCACAAGGTGAGAGGAACCCACTAAATAATCTCTAAGATCCCACAAAGGTAGAAAACCTATGCTTCCACAATTCAAGTATTGGCTCGCCCCTCTATGTGCATGAATAAAATCAACTCTTAATTATGCAGGAGCTGAAGACCTAATTCCTAAGAAGTGCAAACCTTTGGTACCTACTCTAGTTTCCTCTTGATGATTACATGTTCATTACTCTCTTTGATAACAGGAAGACACAAATCTCTTTAAGATGCCCATTCCTTTCTTTATTTTTTTTAATGATTTTTTATTTATTTATTTGACAGAGAGAGAGAGAGAGAACACAGGTAGAAAGTGGCAGGCAGAAGGAGAGGAAGAAGCAGACTCCTTTGCAGGGCTCAACCCCAGGACCCCGGGATCATTACTAGAGCCAAAGTCAGAAGCTTAACCGACTAAGCCACCCAGGCACCCCTAGATGTCCATTTCTTAATGGTTTTTGTGGGAAATATCAAATGCAGTAGACCACACACAAGATTTCATCTCTGACCCCACATTTCTGTTCTACCATTTTGTAACCACATGTCTCTGGGCAAATCACTTAAATTCTCTAGGTTCTAGCTTTGGCATCTCTGAAACTGGAATAAAAGATCACTGCCATATTGAACTCACTCATGGGGTCACTTCAAGGTGAAAAAAATACATCTGAAAACATGTTAATTATAGACATGGTTGTTATTTTTTTGTTATTAGGTGTGCTGAAACCAAGTGTTTGTCATGTATGTTTAGCTATGCTTTGTCCAGCCTGAGCTTGTTCAATTGTTTATTTTTGTTTTTGTTTTTGAGGCCAGGTGCTTAAGTATTATCAAAATCTTGAATGATTTGGTCTAGCCTTTGAATTCTAGAAAGATCACTGTGAATCATGACATATCTGCATATTTACTATAATTGTTGGCTTCATCTCATCCAACTCATTGATAAAACTTTGGGTCAAAGTACCCTAAAACACTAAAATCTTTTCCTGAATCTATATTATGTTCACAGACCATAGTTTATGGCCTTCATTTGTCCCAGAGTATATACTTGTATTCCCCAGTGTTCAGTGCGTTCCCAAAGATCACCGGCAGGATCTACTGGGATGTTATGACGCAGTCATCTAAACCAGCAGATTAGACTTCTTTTAAAACATGGAGCTGCTCTTTTACCCTCTGAAAATATTTATGTGTGATCTTCACTAAATGTGGTCACTTCCTGTAATACTGCTATACTAAGTTTTTTTCCTAAGTACACTCTGAAATTTGAAGCATTGTGAGGAGGTGGGGAGAGGAGGAAATAAAAAGCCAAGTTTACCCAACTAACAGTCAAGTTCTACCGAGTTCTATACAATCAAATTAAAATGAAAAGCTCCTTGTTTCAGGAGCACCTAGCTGGCTCCGTTGGAAGAGTGTGTGACTTTTGATTTTGGGATCATGAGTGTGAGCCCCACGTTGGGTGTAGAGATTACTTTTAAAAATAAAATAAAACTTTTAAAAAAAACTTATTTTTAAAAGTTGTGGAAATAAATATTACAATTGATACAAATTATCAGTTTTTAAAGTCAGTTGAGTTATCAACTCATCATACTCACAGAATCCCTGTGCACCATACACTCCATTAGAATTTGAAAAAGGTGCTTGGACTGTTTAAGACTAAAGTTAAAAGCGTTCTGAATCATGCAGATGATCTCCTCCTTCACCTGAGGACGTAGGGCCCTGAGAGAGAGAGATAAATGGTCATGACTCAGCACAATGCAGAGAAGGGATGGAGCCAGCAACTTCAGCAGGGGAGCACCTGTGTGTCCCACCCTACTGAAGAGGATTCCTTGCACAGTTCTGCTCTGAGAGCAAGTGAGCAGGAAGCAAAGGGAAGCAAGGTAGCAGGAGGCTGAATTTGAAAGCAAGCATGGATGGATCTACCAGGATCCTGGAAAGAATGCACTCTGGGGCAAGGTTCTGGAGCTGACAGATTTCTAAAACATGTTTATTAAGTAAATGGGTGCAGTCAATATTTTAGTTCATAGGCATTAGATTTACTTAACACAGGAGAAAGACCACACTTTTAAAATTGGAAGAATCACATTAGATAGACGGATGGCCAGAGAGAAACCACCTTTTTTATTTGAAAAGGCTAAAGAAAACCTTAAATAAACACAATGTATATTAATGCCAGGATGCTGATTTCCCCAATTCCTGCTCATTTTCCTAATGGGAAATGAATCCGAAGGTGATCTAGGTCCAGCACTGGTCTTCTCCCTCACTCCCACCTTGAAAGTGCTTTTACCCCTTCCCCCCACCCCACCCCACCCCAGCTCACACAGGGTTCTAGAGCTCCTGAGACAGACAGGCCATTCTTCAGCTATGGAAACAGCAACTTACATCAGTGAAGGGCATTCTGGCATTAACTAATACATATAAAAATCACTGAAAAATTAATTCTAGTCTCAATCTCTGGCCTCCAAGATATGTGGCCCACATAAATGGAGAGCTTAAAGAACTAAAATGGAGGAATAAATAGTTACCATGGCTTAAAAACTGAGAAGTCAGCCACTCACCCTTCATCTGCTAAGTGTTTGTGGGTAAAGGCCAGGAGGTCTGCAGCCCTGCCTGTGCCTTCACACACCACCACCGGGTCTTTGTCTCTCACAATCTCCCACACAGCGAGGATGACATTGGGACCTCCTTCCACCACCAGCCCCACCACAGGCACCCCTTGTCTTGAGCCTGTTTTGGATGACAGACAATACCAAACTGTTACAAAGAAACCCTATATTGGCCAGTCATCCATGTTACTTTCCTGGACACAAGTCTTTCAATTATCCCATATACCTAATACTTATGCTCACCCCTCTTCCTTCCTTGACTCACTCAGGCTTCCTTAGTTCAAGACCAAGCCAGAAGCTTGGACTTTCAATAAAGTTGCATAAATATGGTAAGAGCATCTTCAAGCTTTCCCCATTTAAAAAGTAGCCAAAGATTTTCATTAATTTAAATTTTTTAAAAAAAATAGTCTTCAAGAAATTTCTACTTTTCATTGTGGAAAACTTAAAGCATATTTTGAAAAACAAAAATATGGATCCCAATATAACTATCACTCATCTCCAGAAATGATCAAACTTTTGCCAATCTAATCAACTTCTAATGATGATATTTCTAAGAACAAGATGGAATGGGTAACTTTCAGACTTTTACATTTCAATGTATTCCACTTTTCACTGTTTAAATTTCTTATCATGAGTACACATTTTATTAAAGAAGACCAAAAAAAAAAAAAAAAAGGAAAGACCATGGAGTCTTTCTTTTTGAAGATATTGAATGAAAAAAAGTTACAGAATGATATGTATAGTATAATCCTTTTTATACATTTTTTAAAGATTTTATTTATTTATTCATGAGAGACACAAGAGAGAGAGAGGCAGAGACACAGGCAGAGAGAGAAGCAGGCTCCTTGCAGGAAGCCCGATGTGGGACTCAATCCCGGGTTTCCAGGATCATGCCCTGGGCTGAAGGTGGCACTAAACCACTGAGCCACCTGGGCTGCCCACCTTTTTATATTTTTAAAACCACATACATGAGTATGTATTTTATATAATGTTTGCATTATGTATAGGTATTTATATGTGCTTGCATGATACATGTGTGTATGTGTTCATAAATGTTTATTATATGTACATACCCGTGTATACATTTAGATATATCCATATCCATGCACGTGTATAAATATATGTACATATACACATTTTATATATACACTTATCCATATATACATTTTATATATATACATTTTTATATATTTATGTGTATATATATCCATTCTACAGTATATATAAATATTTCCTTCCTTCTCCTATATACACACATATATATATATATGACCAGAAACTCTGGAAGGGTACACATCAAACTATTAATAATGGAGAAGGGAAGGAAAGATTTGGGGGAAAATTGAGGAACTTGTTTATTCTATAGACTTACTTAACTTTTATGCTGTACATGTACTAATATATTTAAGTTAACATTTTATTTTACTTTTCTAAAGAAGTAAAATTGGCAGGCAATACCACGCTCACACTGGACATCAGAGGACTTTATCCCAGGCCCTTTAATAGACCCTCCTCTGGCCATGCCACCCCCTCACAGTTCAGGGTCTACAGGACCAATGGTTGAGAGAAGCCTGTGCCCTCTCCCCTACTTGCCCTAGACCCCCAAATTCCTGCTTCCAGGGGCTGTCGGGCCTATGCCCCAGATATGTCCTCCCCCAGGACAAACTTGACAATGACCCTGGGATGTAGGGGAGGGGAAGATAAGAGCTTGGACATACAGGCTAGGGTGTCCAGGTGACTATGTGTGTGTAAAACCCCTGGCACAGAGGGACAGAGCCAGGGGAAGAAAGAGAAGTAGAGACAATGACATAGATGGAAAAAACTTTTATAAGAAAGTCTCTTATGCTCTATATAATGAAATACTATGCAGCCCTGAAAGATGTGTTAAACTAGGCTTACTGATGTGGAAATGTACCCATATTTACTGGCAGAGAGAAGACTACAAATGAAGCATGGATATTATATAAATCCAGTGTTCAACATTTTTTAAAAATGTTGCTCTGTGTGTGTGTAGAAAATTCCTAATAGGGATGCCTGTGCAGCTCAGCGGTTGAGCAACTGCCTTCGGCTCAAGGCATGATCCCAGGGTCTAGGGATCAAGTCCTCCATCAGGCTCCCCTGCCTGTTTCTCCCTCTGCCTATGTCTCTGTCTCTGTCTCTCTCTCTCTCTCTCCCTCTGCTTCATGAATAAATTAATTAAAATCTTTTTTGAAAAAGGAAAGAAAATTTCTGAGAGAGTATATATGAAAATGTTGAGAATGGTTAGTTTTATTGGGAGATTATGGAAAACCCTTCCTTTTCCTATATGTTATCTTTGCTTTATCTGAATATGAGAGTATATAGCACTCTTACCATCACAAAAGAATCAATAAGGTAAAAAAGGGAATTCAATTTCTATTGGGTACATCTTTTTGAAGCAATAACTAATTCCCACAAAAATAAAAATATTTGTGATTGTCTTCTACAAAAAGAATCTTACTGATGCTAATTAAATTTGTTAAAAAGGAAAAAAAAATGTCAAGTTCTTGCTGAGAAACCTCACTACACAACTGCTTTTATTCTTGGCCCCCAGGGTTAGGCAAGAATATGATATCATGCCTCCAAATTAAAAGCTCCTATAATAAGACATCCTAGGAAAGCACTCTTCTCCACTGTCATGGATATGAAGAGATACCATGCATCTGATCCTATGCTTTCTATTCTTAGGGGCTTAGGAACTGACATTGGCCACATTTCAAACAGCTGAAACCCCGGAATTCCTATAGCAACTTTATGATATCAGGGGTTTAGGGGTTTTTGATTTTTTGGGTTTTTTTCTAAGTACTCTTGGCCAATATCAAGGGTTTTCCAGGGACTCCAAGAAGTCCTGCTGAAGAAAAAAAAATGAAAGAAATCAACAAAATATTTAACTATTTTCATTCCATCCAAATAAATCCTTTTTGAGCAGTACAAATACAGTAGAAAACTTCCCTAGTGAGCATTGTGGGCACAAAGATCAGCTTTGATATGTAAGAGTTTGAGGTCATTGGGGGCTTTTCTCTTTTGTCCTCCTTTCCTTTCCTCTATTTCCTTTCTTCTTCTCTTCCTTGTCCTTCTCCTCCTTCTTTTTCCTTCCTTTCTTCCTTCCCTGTGTATGTGTGTGTATGTGTGTAGGTACCATACTGGTTTTGCTCCTTCATACTGGTTCTTGTTAGAATAATGTTACCAATCCACTGAAATGGACTCTACATTCTTTTACACACAAAGTGAAACTCTCCGAATAAATCCTCAGTTTCAAGATCTTTGAAAGTAGAAGTGTTACTTGGTGCTATATGCAAGCTTCAGGTTGTATCCACGCATCCACAAACGGAGAATCAGCAGGGTTATAATAAGAAAGATAAGATTTTGCTCTCCTGGGGCACACAGTCTGATGCTGTATGAAACCCCTGAGCAATTTTTGTGGTGAGCATAGGTCAACAGAGGCAATAGGATATTTCAGGCAATCGATAGATCAGACCTCTAAAGGAGCCCTCACCCATGGGACTCTTCTTCAGAGCCAGTCCCTAACCAGTCCTCTCCTCGTCTCTCTTTTCCTCTCCTCTCCTCTGTGGGTCTCCCTTATCCTCACTCACACCTACTCCACAGAGGACCACATATCTGATCTTCTCTCTCCTTTTCTTACATAAATAAGCCTCCAACCTTCATTCACACTAAGCTCTAAGTGACTGGCAACAATTCCAAGGGTCCCTCCCACACCTACCCTCCCAACAAGGAAATTAAGCCTATATCAAAGGAGGATAAAAGAAAGAAACAGATATTTACTGAGGGCATACTATGTACCCCACACTATCCTAGGCACAGCAAGCATACATTATCTCAATTCTCACAACAAAGGGTAGACAATTCCTTCACTTTTATATTAAGAAAACTGTTCAACAAATATTAACTTCCTTGGCCAAGGTCATCGACAGTAGTAGTAGACAGTAGTCTGCCTCAGGAGATCAAGGTAAAAAAAACTAAAGGACATTCAGCACTTCTGGCCAAAAGTCAAAAGTTGAAGAGGACTTGAGCCTTTCAAGGGGCTTTGGCTCCCTGGTCTTCTGCCCCCAGGGTGGCAACATTTTGTGGAAGATTTAACTCATGAAAAGAGGCAGAGGCCCACTTTCTGCTGCCTTGGATGAAAAGTCACCATTTCTTCAGGTAGCACCTACCTTTTCACACCTCCCCTCCCTTCTCCCTCCTATAGGTACTACTGTTAAAAAAAGAGACAACAAGCTCAAAATAGAGTCACTTGTGCTAAGCTCCACAACAGCAAACCAAGATTTAATACCTTACCTAATTGTAGTTGCAACCTCTCCCAGGAATGTAACCTTTAACCAGTCAGTCTGGAATTACCTGGTTGGCACTATTGAGGTCATCTGCCCCCACCCTCACTCCACCTTCCCCCAACGGAAGGTGACCTTGCCCAAAACAATCCACTCCTTGTCAGAATAACTCCCCTGACACACCTCCTTCTGCCCATAAAAGTTTTCTATTCTGTCTATCTCCTTGGAACTCCTCTCCATCTGCCAGATGGGATGCTGCCCAACTGATGAATCACTAAATAAGACCAGTAAGATCTTTACGTATACTCAGCTGAATTTTTTTTTTTTAACACTACCAAAATGGCTATCTCAAAGCATCCCTTGGAAGCAGCACACAACACTGAAACTTTCAAAGGTCCCTATTTCTAAAAGCCCTGTCTGGTTTTAACCTTTCCCTATCTGGGGCATGAAATGCCATCTTAGCTGATCAAACTCATGCCCCACTCTTCTCAGGCCAGCCTCCTTACTGATCTTCAGTCATTCCCATTCTGGCATCAATACTCCCCACAAGCACACTAGCATCTTCTACTCATCCTACCCTACAAACAGCTGGGGGCTATGCTAAAGTCTCCACTGTTCTAGAAAACCTCTATGATGACTATGATGTCCTCTGAGACTTCCTCTCTCCTGTCATGCACAATTCCACATCACTTTCACATCCTGCTTTCTTCTGGCTGTGGGTTCACATTTGTTCATTTAAGGCGAAGACCAACTTGGATGTCTCTACTCTGTATGGATAACGAAGGAGTGCCTTTTTCCAGAGCAGCCCCCCAGCGAGGCCCTATTGGTTGAACCTCTGGTACTCACGGCTGTGTATTTTCTGCAGAGAGAGGTACTTTTCCAGATTCCTCCTGAGCTTCATCTCATTTCCATACTTGCCCACAGTCCCATCATCGGACAAGATGAAGTGGGAATGCATGCTGTTGAGTGTGGTAAGCTTGCTAAGGGGGTTGCCCAGAGTCTGGTACAGGCATACCACCTGGAAGACAGTAAAGATGAGAAGCTCAGAGCTCAAGGTCCTTCCCTGGGCTCAATTGCTCCATAAGGCCTGTCCAGCACCACAGAGCTCCTGCCAAGATTAATAAGTCCTACCTAGAACAGTGTTTGTCACGCTATCTGTGATGAAGGATCAATTTGGTTTTTTTTAATATCACATTTTTTGATGGATTAGTATGTGGTCCTATGTGTAACCAGCATTTGGCTCATCCTACATAAGGATGAGGTCTCTCTCATCCTACACAAGGATGAGGTCTCATACTACATAAGACTCATGGCATAAGTTCAATAACTCTCACACACACTGTGCTCAACACAATAAGCCCACTGGCCATATGCTTAGACATCACAGCACTGTCACATTGCTAAAAATGCTTCTAAATATTTATTTTTAATTTCTGTACTTATCTTGTCTCATACCATTATAAAACAATTCAAAGAGGTGCAGTGATATGCAGACTACATCACTATCCCAAAAATATGCCTTTCAGTAGACCTATTCGAAAACAATATTGTGATATCACTTTTTTTTCAAGTATTCCAAATGAAATGAAGAATAACAGCCAAACAACTGAATGGATATCCATCCATTCAGTATAAAAATTACATCCAGATTTTTATTGATACTTGTGGATTCTTCCTTAAGCTACTCCAATTCTTATTTGTTTTTAGAGACAAAAGCACAGTATTTGGAGTCAGAGAGTACAAGTTTAAGTCCAGACTCTTCTATTTCCTAATTTTAACTCGGGGTAACTCTTGTCTCCTTTCTCAGGCTTACTTTCCTCATGTATAAGTGAGGATAATAATTCTTACAGCAGAGGGTACTTCCGAGGCTTAAAAGAAATAATGATGGGAAAGGTACTATAAACTTTACCAACACTAGTCTTTAAAAGTTATCTTTTTTAAATATTTTATTTATTTATTCATGAGAGACACAGAGACAGGCAGAGGGAGAAGCAGGCTTCATGCAGGGAGCCTGTCGTGGGACTCGATCCCAGGATCTGGGATCATGACCTGAGCCGAAGGCAGACGCTCAACCACTGAGCCACCCAGGCATCCCTAAAAGTTATCTTTATTAATTCCTAAGTGTGACACTGACACTAGAAACCAAAAAGGAAAATAATTGATAGATTTAATACATCTTAAGCATCTTATCACAACATTAATATCATTTTTATGCAAGTAAAAATGGACAATAATAGAGGAAAGGTTAAATTATATTATTATTAAAATAACAAACAGTTCAGTAGAACATTATCAGGCATGAAAAATCAGAATGCACTCTTGGCCCCCAGAATACAATTTCCCACTAAAAGAAATCAGTCATTTCTCAAGGAGCAAAAAATATACATTATTAGCCTGGAAATCTTTTTTCATACCAAAACACAAGGAAGCAATGAAAAACAACTAGAATTGTGTTAAAAGGACTCAAGACAACTTGAAAAATTTCCACTGGCCAAAATGAGATAATTTGGGCATAATTAAAAGTAATAACTAGAATAGAATAATTAATTGAAATATACTAAATAAATTATGTTTGATACATTTCAATTCAGGAACCAAAAAAAAATCTCATTGTTCACCTTGGAGGTAAATAACAAATCACTGCTTTGAAAATTGGAAAATAAAGAGAAAGAATCAAGCATTTACTCTGCCCTTTCCCATACAACTATACCACAAGGTAAACCAAATGGTTGATGAGAAAATCCTTTAAGAAAGAATATTATAATTAAATACCAGCATTTGCAACTCAGTTGAGATCATGAATCTAGGCAAGGACATCATAAAAAGAAAAACAATCATATGTTACAAGGGAAGGACACATCTCTTATGGTATAAACTTGCACACAGAAAAGAACTTGCATTTGATCATACTTTTAGATCAAACTACCAATTTACAGGATATTCAGGAATTGTTAGTTTGAAATGTTAATATGAAAATGGCAATGTGGTTATGCATTTTTTAATTGTCCACATATTTCAGACATATCTACTTATTGGTATTTAGAAATATCAAAGTACTGGTGAATTAACTGCTAAATTAGAAATATTGGTTAAAATATTTGCTAGTGACATTATTTGATGTCTGGAATTTGCTTCAAAATATTGGAGTGAAGAGGTAGGGAATGGATAAAGGGATAGATGAAACAAAGTTAACTCTGAGCTCATAACTGTTGAAGCTATGAGATGGGTACATAGGATTTCACTATTTTAATCTGTCTACTCCTTAATATGTTTGAAATTTTTCAAAATGAAAGTTAAGGTAAACCATATACATGTCTATATTAATGACAGAGAAGTAACTGTTAAATAGTTAAGCTAAAAAAATAGATTCACATTGGTGGGTTTCTTTTACCACTTTTTTTCATACAAACTTTTTTACTATACATATGTACACATACTTAGAATTCTGGAATGATACACGCCAAGATATTAATAGTGGTTATCTTTCCTCTTCCTACCCTTTGTAATACCTGAGATTTTTATCAGAAATATACATTATTCTTATAAACAGTCTTAGACAAGTCCATTCCCTATAGAAAAACAGGATGAAAGAATCGATACACAGGAATGAATAAAGCAGAGTCCTAAAAGATAGGGAAAGAGGAGGGTCAAATTACGAATGTTCCTTGTTTTATCGCAAACACACCACTACAAGAAATTGAACTATTACTCTGAGCAAGACAGCAGCCACTGAAGGGTTTTTCATAGGAGAGTAGCATGATCTGATTTATATTTTAGAAGAATCGTTCTCGCTACTGTATTGAGCTTAGATTAGAAGAAGTGACAAGGGTGAGAAATGGGAAGGCTATTTCTATAGTCATCCAGGTGACACAAAATGGTGTCTTGGACCTGCTCAGTAACGGTAGGGGTAATGACAAAAGGTCAGATTCTGGATATATTTTTATATTTCAAGTAAAGCTGAGATAGTTTACTGATGGATTAGGTTTGCAGTGTGAGACAGAGATCATTCCAGGATGAGTCTAATGTTTTTGGCTTGAACAACTGCAAGAATGGGATCATCATTTTCTAAGATAAGGCAAGTGGGAAGACAAAAGTTGATTTGGGTTATATTACATTCAAAATGTCTTTTAGATACCCAGGTATAGTGCTGAATTGGCAATTGGACACGCATTCATTTCTTTTTGTTGTGAATAGGTTGTCTACTTACGTCTTTTCCAATAAGATCTCTCTGGTTCTCAATGACACCCCAAGGAGGGATTCCAACTGTCCAGATTTTTCTCAAGGACTGGAAGGAATGGGCTTTCAGGGCATCCCCAACGTGTTTGGACACGCCTATGAGCAATCAGTTTGGAGATGAAACTTTAACACAAAAATCATGCAAAACACCGTGACTGCTAGAAGAGACAAATGGGCAGAAATATGTAAAGGGCCAATCTTAGGGAAAGTTACTGGCACAGTGGAATGAATTTCTGATATCTTTGCTTCCTCTACTCTCTTTTAACACTTCTTTCTCCTATCTCTGACCTCTTTACCTGAACAATTCTCCTCTCCCTTTGGGCAATTTTTGTTTACAACCTCAGTTCTGCCCCTATTTTTGACTGACCAGAAAGTCCTCAAGGCCAACATGAATGCTCTACTTTGTTTTTCCTCTAACCTTCTCTACTGCCCCAACAAAACATCCTGTGGATATGCCCCTTGCTTCATTGAAGTAAATTAATTTAATAGCTTTATATACATAAACATTCCTAAACTAATGCATTCCTATTTGCCCTTTTGGAATTAATAATAACAACAATAATAATAATAGCCAGCACTGACCAAACTCTTACAATGCACCAGTAGCTTTTTAAAGGGTATTACATGTATTTACACTTTAAGTAGAAACTTTAACTTTATTTAATCCATTGTACAGACAAGAATTGAGTAATGAGGTGAAGCTGATGGTCCAGATGTCCCACCCTGAGCATGCAGACCCCAAGGATTTGTGGTTGAATGGGGTCAGACCCTGATTATTGTTTAAGAAAGCTTCATGTAGGTCTCATTTCTTATTTCTTTTGTTTATATGAGGTATTTCAATAGTCTTCACACTATTATATGTGTTCCTTAATTGGTCCTAACCAATTTTTTTTAAATGTTAAAAAAAAAAAACTCACAAAAAAGGGGTAAGTGAAATAAAGCATGTGTTGTTTAAAAGGGAAACCACAGCCCAAAATGGAATCACTTAAGCAAAGTTATCAAATTGGGGCTTAATACCTAACCTAACCTAACTGCAGTTCCAGCCTCCCCCAGAATGCAGTCTTAATCACTCAATTAGAAATTTTCTGATCAGCACCAAGGAGAGATAATCTATCACAAGGCTCTCCCCATCCACAAAGGAAGATGATTAGACCCCCTGTCATTCCCCCTAAGGGAAGGTGAACAATCCTCCCTTTTCTTTTGCTAATAACTTCCTTGCCCCACCCTCCTTCCTATAAAGGCCTTCCATTTTGTACAACTTCTCTTTACTTACTATATGGAATGCTGCCTAATTCATGAATTGCTTAATAAAGCCAATTATATCTTCAAATTTTCTCAGCTGTATTTTTGTTATTGTCTTGACCCTAGCGAGTTTAGCTCACACCCAAGCCCGCACTGTCCATACTTGCATGGATTCCATGTCCTTTCAAACCTCACCATAGTCTAAAATTCATGAAAAGACTATTTTCTTTGCCAGAAGTTTACTCAAAGTTGTATTAAAATAGCATGTTTTAACAATGATAAAAACACATTCCAGGAAAGTCTATGATTCTTCTGGGGTTTTTTCTAGTTACTATGCTTTTCATCTTTCTCATGCCACCATGTCTCCTGGGAGCACTGCAGAGCAGAGATTAGGTGCCATACTGCCTGATTGAGTTAGAAGAGGGAATTTAAAAAACAAAAGAATCTGAAGCAGGGAGTGCACTTTACCAGTATTAATGCCTTCCGTTATTATCCATGCTCCTGTTGTCTCTGCAGCTTTGACCAAACCTTGGCTGAAGATCTCTTTAAGTTTGGAGGGCATCTTGAAGTTCTGGATGCCCCCATGGACAGAGATCACCAGCTTTGGCAATTCCATCTTCCACTCTTTCAACATTAAATGTAACAGATGATCCAACTTGGTATCATAAGAAGTCCTAATATACTGGAAGATATGCATATACACATGTACATAAAATAGGAAAAACTATATGCCAGTAACAATGAACACACAGCAGGGCAGCTGAAATAGCCAAAACTTAAAAGGAAGTGTCTGAGATTTCTTTAAAAGTTCATCTTTGTATAATGGAAACATTTACTTTGAAAGGATCCCACACCCCCTGTAAGTTCCTTCTGGGAATTACAAGTCACGGTAGGAAGGCTTCCTCTGGCTTTCAGGGTTGGCCCACCAATGTTCTCTAGAAGGTCTGAGATGAGGCAGGAATACTTCAAACTGGCAAAAACCGCTACTCCAGGAAACCCATTTAAAAGAAAAAAGGCTTCTAGAAATAGGTAAAATGGGGTTTTTCATACATCCTATGACTTAATTTACTTGACTATTTCATGTATTTCCACAATTTAAATTAAATTATAATCCAGGAGCATGTATATTTATTTTACTGTAAATTTTACATTCTAACCAGTCCCTTTATATACAATTATCCCACCAAAAACATCTTTCTCTAAAACAAATACTTTTCACAAGAGTCATATTTTTAGTTAGTCAATGTAACCAAAAGAAGAGAGAAATTCTAATCAGCAGGTTAGACTGATTAGAAAACGAAAAATTTTGTGTTCTTCCTAAGATCATAGCTGGCTCTCTTTTTCCAACAGATGCAGCCACATTCAGACTGTTAAAATCATATTGAGATGAGTTTGCCAGACTCAAGCATAGCCAAACAACACTAAGATTAAGTCAGCTTTGCCTGGATAAGGGTTATAAGAAACCATAAATTAGAAAACCAAAAAGAATCACAGGCGCTGCTCTTCAGACATATGCAGAGAGAATTATTGCCTTATCTTCCAGAATGTGATAGTGACTTAAAAGAATTGTCTGTTCATCTTTGAAATTCTTAAAACACAATCCCTTTAATTACTAAAATGTTAGAATTCCTGAACATTGAGTTGGTACAGTCATCACAGTAGGTATTAGAACCTAAAGATGATCAGGATTCACTTGGTCAGTGAGAGAAATGAGTTGCCATGGCTTTCCTACATATTCAGGTAGGAGGGGAAAAAATAAAAGTTGACCTTTGTGAAATGGTCTGTGTTGCTCTGCATGGTGAACAAAGGCAGGAGGCAGCTCTGATGTGGCTCACTTAGTTCACCTCTTTCTCCTGGGTGCCTCTTTCTTTCATCTAGAAGTCCTTCTACTCCTAGCAGATACTCTGAGATTTCAGATAAACAACCTTGATCAACTAAATGATCAGTACTAGTCTTTTCTTCCAAAGGCCAACCCAAAATGGTGCTAAAGGTTAATGACTTTCTTTCCCCCACCCCCTCCTTTATAACTAACTCAGGCAGATTCTTAACTGGCCTGAATTCTCCTCAAATCCTTTGTAGAATGAGGTGGGAGGGATAAAACCAGGTATGGGAAAGCAGAGGGAGATAAGTAACCAACTCTCACAGCTCCTCTCACCATAAACATGAAGAACAATTCTGGGCTTAAATATAAAGGGATAGCTTCTTCTCTTCTGAGAAACCAAGTAAAATGCACTCAGGTACTCAGGATGTAATGGCAATCTAACCCTAAGTATAAAACCTATTAGTGATCAGACCTGTTGAACCATATTTTCTGTTCTATATGCACCATACTCTCCCTTGGCCTTCCCACAAGCCCAAAGTGTTCTTACCAAACACCTCACTCACCTTTCTGATCTCAGCGGAGGGGTCCCTACTTTCAGATGGCTTCCTTCACACACACACACACACACACACACACACACACACACACACTGCCCCAGAAAAACAGGAGTTACCCTTTCCATTTTCTTGAAGAACCCTGTATGTCCATCCAGAGCATTCCCTGCCCCTGCCCCCACCTGTAGTAAACTGTATATTTATTTCCTGTTTCCCTCACTAGACTGTAAGCAATGTTAATACATGGAACGTATGCTCTGGGACACAGCAAAGTATGAGCACCTCATAAATATTTGTCAAATGGATGAAAAAATGAGGAAATGAAGATGATTACAAATAAACATAAAAGCAAAAGGAAGAAAGACTAAAGCGAAAGGGAAAGATTACATACAGGGTTCCAGAAGAGTCAGCTTCCAAAAAGGATCACAGAGAAGAATAAAGGCAATTTTCTCACCAGCTAAAGAAAACATCTATGCACAAAGCTAAATGCAAGAGGATTAAGAATTGGAAATGTATATTATGGTAAAACTATATTATGAAACTTGATTATGACTACATTATTAAGAACTGTTGTTTCAAATCCATCCAACTGATGGTCACCCCCCAAGGTAAAGCTGATTTGAAGCTTTCCTGAGGTGGACACACCCTGCAGTTTCTCCAGGGAAATCTGCCTCTAAAAAAGCAGCAGGTGATCAACAAGCTCAAGAAAAAACATCTGCAAGATAGCTGACCTGTCTGTACTACGCAAATTACATGAAACATTATCATATTAGGGACAGGAGAAAAATTGGCCTAGAAAACCTAATTTCTGCATTTCCTCTCACAAGGACACAGCAGGCATGAACAGCCACAAGTTACTAGTAATTGGTATGGCCATGCTTCAGCTAAAACCATCTCTTTGGCAGTGACTTTTCTCCATTCCTTAAGAAAAGGGCGGCCCTTTGGCAACTGTCTCAAGAGCAATAAGCCATTCTCCTACAGAGAAGGCATAAGCTTGCTAAAGGACATCAAATTAAGAGCTGGCCACACCACACCTGCGAAACGTACAAAGTCTCTCAGACAGAAAGGAAAGAGAAGGGTCAGGTTCCAGTCATCTGATCATCTACACTTGGAGATACAATTTGGAGAAACATTTGGAGGTTATCTTCTGTTAAAAACTAGCAAAGATAAAAAATAAATTTAAAAAAAACTAGCAAAAATAATGTGAGCTATTAGCAAACCTTGGAGTGGTGGGTATGCTCTCCATCTTGAAAATTAATAGTGCCAAACGTATCTGTCGGGCTTTTCGTCGTGTGCTTTTCAACAGACCATTGCTCATTTTCATTATCATTGGCAGTTGAGATGGTCCAGGAATAATCTAGCCCATGATGGTCTCCAATCAATCGACCACAGTGACACCTTAAAGATGGGATGAAAACCAGTTTCAGAATAGAAAACTAACAATGTCAGAATAGAAAATAGCTGTAATGTTTCTACATTTTTTAGGGTAATATATAAATGACATATATAAACAAATTTTTAGAACTTCACATTAAGATTTATATTACATTTATATCACTAGGATTATCTTCTGAGTTTATCATTTTTAAAGAATTTATTTATGTATTTGTGTATTTATGTATTTATGTATTTATTTATTTATTTATTTATTTATTTATTTAACAGAGAGAGAGAGTGCATAAGTAGGCACAGTGGCGGGGAGAGAGAGAAGCAGGCTCCCTGCAGAGCAAGAAGCTCAATGTAGGGCTTGGTCCCATGACCCCAGGATCATGACCCAATGTCAAAGGCCCACACCCATCTGACTGAGCACCCAGGTGCCCCATCATTTGAGTTCAGAAACACCCTCAAGTGGTTCTCTCCCTTAGCTGCATGTTAAAATCATTTAGGGAATATTTTTTAAAACACTGTTATTTAAATATAAATATTTAAAAGTAGAGTGTTATTCACAGTAGCCAAGTGTCCATTGACAGATGAACGGATAAACAAAATGTGGCATATACATATAATGGAATATTATTCAGCCTTAAAAAGGGAGTAGTCCTGTGATATGCTACAATATGGGTAAACCTTGAAGATATTATGCTAAATGAAATAAGCCAGTCATGAAACAAGTGCTGTATGATTACAATTATATGAGGTATATACAGTAGTTAAATCCTTGGAGACAGACGGTAGAAGGGTGGTTGCTAAGGGCTGGGAGGAATGGCCAATCGGAGTTATTGTTTAATTGTCACAGTTTTATTTTTACAAGATGAAAAAGTTCTGAAGATGTGCTGCACCACAACGGAAATATGTCTAACATTACTGAATGATACACTTAAAATGGTTAAGATGGTAAAAAAATCAAATTGTACAGTTTAAACATGTGCAGTTTTTTTGTCAGTTATATCTCAACAAAGCTGTTAAGAAAAAACTAAAAACCTGTAACATGCAATAAACACTTAAGGAGAGTCAGAAAATGTCTTCATATAAAACATAATATGCACATCAAAAGGAAAGAATATTCATCAATGCAAAAAATATTCAACTTCAGAGCTATATGCAAACAGAATTAACATAAGAGTCATAAATGAGGCTTGATTATAAATATAAACAAATAATAAATTAATATATGTAATATGTAATATGTAATATAACTACAAAAGAAGGAAAATTCAATAAATATTCTTGCAAATAATTAAAAGTTTTAAAAACTATTTCAGATACAAAGACATTATTTCCACTATGTAACAAAATAAACTAGCAATTAAAAGGTTAAATCTTTTTGAAGCCAGAACTATATAAAAACTAACAAAACATAGTAATAATCATATTGGTGAAAGGACAATAAACTCATGTTTCGTGAATTAGAAAAAATCAGAGGAAAAATTAAAATTTGAGCATATGGAACTTTAAAACTTGTAGCAATGAAAAACTACACATCTGCAGACTAAGGAAATCATTTGCATCAAATACATTAGATCATATACCTATTATATACAAAGAGGAAGTTCAGTTTTATAAGTGATTCAGGGTTTTTGTGTGTGTATATGTGAAAAGCAACATAAAAACACATAGAGGTTATGAGGTTCAGCTAAGCAAGGAAACAGGATGACAACAAAAAGTCAGAGGACCATTTTAGAATTCTATATAGAGGGGCTTTAAAAAAAAAGATTTTATTTATTTATTCATGAAAGACACAGAAAGAGGCAGAGACGTAGGCAGAGGGAGAAGCAGGCTCCTCGCGGGGAGCCTGATGTGAGACTCGATCCCAGGACCACGGGATCACTCCCTAAGCCAAAAGCAGATGCTCAACCTCTGAGTCACCCAGGCTCAGGCATCACTAGAGGGGCTCTTGAACCAAAGAGTAGCGAAATAATCTCAAATGTACACAATATACATAATAGGAATCTGCTAGAGAGAAATGTATCACTTAGTCATCTTTCAGAATGAGGGTTAGTCTTCAAAATGGAAAAACATTTATTCATAAACTGAATGATGCATTTCACTGTGGCTTTTTCTAAACAGAACATGGAGGCAACCATAATTCATACTTGATGAGATAAATAACTAACCTTCCACATGACTGTTCTTCAGTCTGAACCCACTTTGCTTTAAGTATTTTTCTAGCTAATCCATTTGATCTGAGTTAACATAGTTTTATTCCAGTTTCTACCAGGTCATTTCATTAAGTTATGGCACAATGATCCCACAGAATAAACCAATTACCACCCCCCCCATTTTTTTTTTTAATTTCCATGTCCAGGGACGCCTGGGTGGCTCAGCAGTTGAGCCAGGGGACAACGTGGGACAACAGTGAGCACAGGGGACAATGTGGACTTGTGGTTGGCACCCAAAGTGCAGGAAGGAAAGGTAGTCTTGTAGGACTGAGCTCTTAACCTATAGCATCTGCTACTATATACCCAGAGATTTAGTTAATTACCTGGCAGTATTGGAGAAACACACACATACACATCAAAACTGCTGTCAGAATTAGAGATTGACAAGAGTGAATATCACTCTCAAATCATAGATCAAATACAATGCTGTATGTGAACAAACCATCTTAATTATCCAATTAAAATATAAGGGCACCTGGGTGGCTTAGTTAAATGTTCAGCTCATGATTTCAGTCAGGTCATGACTCAGGGTTGTAAGATTGAGCCCCATGTTGGGCTCCACACTGAGCATGGAGCCTGCTTAAAATTCTCTCTCCCTCTCCCTGTCTGCCACCCTCTCCCAGTCTCACTCTCTTGCTCTCTCTCTCTCTCAAAAAAATAAAAATAAAAAAAAAACAAATAAAATATAACAAGGTCAAATGAACATGTAATGCTATACAAGTATTTCAACTAGTAGAAGTTCTTGCTAAAGGCCCTTGCCACTTACATGTCTCAGTAAATCAAGTAATCTATCTATTGCATTCAAATAATTGTTCTCCTTCCAAAAAAAAATCCCACATTTCTTTTTTAAAACTTCCTTTGGAAAGGTAAATAGGATGCCCAATAAAGTCCCTACATTGAATCCATTCAAGATGTGAGAAAACTGTTCCAAAAAATTTTAATCAGAGTGTCTAAATATTAAAAGAAATTTTATTTGTCTGTCTTACCTGATTAAATTATGGCAGACCTGGCATCCTGTAGTACATCTAAATTAAAAACACAAAACCTCTGTTAGGTAAGTGATATATTGAAAGCATATTTAATGTTTATACCATAAATATCTATTATTTTCCCTGGTCTAAAAATCAGGGTTTGCTGAGTACTCATAGATCATTCCCCAAATATTCCTCCAATATGTCATTTCCCAAATATAATTATACTGCAGCAACCATGACCTAATTAACAGAATGCTGAATTTGGAACCTAAATACCTGGATTGAAATCTCATTGATTTAACAATTCCTCTAAGCACTGGTTTTCACATCTGAAAGTAATATCTGGCCTAAAGGGCTATTAAGAAGATTACCTGAGATGATGTGTGTAATGTGTCTTACAGTGGTACACTGCAGTATATATAATAATGGTGACTATCATTGTCATTATACTATGTCATTATACCATGAAGATAACAGAATCTTAGAATTCTGAGAATAAAGAAAAAACATTTATATATTTATAAATATATAATATATAAACACATAATTATATAAATATGGGTATATAATGATATATTATTTATGTATTGTATATGAATTTTATATAATTTATATATAATTATTAACAACTATTGTATATTTATATGTTTATATACAAATCATTTTAAAACCATAAAACACCATCAAATCAAAAGACAGTTGGTATGATTATAAGTATTATCCTTATTAATCTTTCTTTTTATGATTCAAAAGAAACTTCTGAAGTTGGGGGATCGTTGTGATCATCAAAGATCATATTTTAGGTATAAAGAAGTTTTAACTAGAAGAGAATACTAGTTAAAACAATTAAAGAAAAGACAGTATTCACAGAATTATAGGGTTCAGAAACAAATACTTGGGCCTTTCACTTCTTCCGGTCCTAGCCCTTTGGGATTGTCTTTTCTCAGAAGCTGCATTTCAACAACAAATTCAAAATAAGGAAAAAGATATTGTAATCAAGTCTATCCAATTAGTTTCTTATTAGGAACTACAAAAATTATCAGCAAAGGATCAACTTTATCTAAATTTAAAAACATGAACTACCACCTTTTTTTGTCCACCATCAGGAAGAAAACTTCATAAAAGCTACAATTTTGAGATTCTTACTGAGATCTCAGAAAAAGGCTGGCATAGGAAGATCCATAATCATCCATTCATTTTTTTTCACAATCCCATAAAACTAGAGACTGCTTTTTTCCATGAAATAAGTAGATCTTGGACCACTCTGTAACATGGAATTATAACCATTGATATTCTTCTTGAGTCTGTGGGCTAATGGCCTATAGGTTATCAGATTTCATCAGGTTCAAGATGATTATAAAGATGACTTTCCATTTACAGAAGCAGAAGGAGCTGCCTGAGCTCAGCCAGCCATTGTAACCACCATCACATTAAAAGAGATCATAAAAGATGAAGGGAAAAAACAAGTTTATCTTGCCATTCTGTAAACATATTATAAATGGGTAAAATGAGAACTTCCAATCATGGGGCTTACAAACCCCAGGTAATTCACTGAGGGTGGGGCTAGTAAATCTTTAACAAAGGCAAGGAACACTGTTTTAGTCATCCCCAAAGAACAAGAATTTCAGTGGCCTCACCATGCTACCCTTCATCAGCTTACAACTGTGATTTCTAAACTTTAAATCAATATAAGACCAAATGCTAAAAAAAAAAAAAAAAAAATCTAAAAATAGAGCAGTCCTCCTAATTAAAATACTGCTCTTCTATTTTTCCTTTCCTTTTAATTTCTACCTCCAAGGGCAATGCCACCCAATCTTAATTTCATGAACCCAATTACCCTGGGGAATTTTCCATAGCCTTTTATTCTCCTATCTTCCACAGGCTGCTGTTTTGAACTTTGTTCCAAGAGTAGAACTTCCAAAGAGTTCTCAGCAACTGAGGGCAAACTCAGATCATTCCATTCTGCTGCCCATTATCTGCTCAAGCAAAAAGCCTTTGGGGAAAACATGGACTATCCACATAATCTGAGCACAGTGTCCTGAAATATCCCAAATTGTCTCTATTGTCACTGTTTTCCATAAACGCTTGAGTTGGCAGTAAGGAACAATCCACAATATTTTGAATATGCGATGTTTAAAAGTTGCAGAGAATGGAGTGGTAGAATGGATGCAGCACTAGATATTTCTCCAATTTCTTTTTTAATTAAGTTTTTAAATTTTAATCCCAGTATAGTTAACATACATCATATTAGCTTCAGGTGTACAATATAATGATTCAACAATTCTGTACAGTGCTCAGTGCTCATCATGACAAGAGTACTCTTAATCCCCTTTACCTGTGTCACCCATCCCCTGCCACCTCCGCTCTGGTAACCACCTGTGTGTTCTCTATAGTTAAGAATCTGTTTCTTGGTTTGTCTCGCTCTCATTTTTTTTTCCTTTGCTCATTTGTTTTGTTTCTTAAATTTGACATATGAGTGAAATCATATGGTATTTGTCTTTCTCGGACTTATTTTACTTAGCATAATACTCCCTAATTTCTATTCTCCCACTAAGAGAAACAGGAGCATTAAAGAAATGAAATCTACCACACTAGTAACAGTGGCTCCATCAGGGTGATGTCATTATGATAAATTTTTTCTTCTTTATACCTCATTAGATCATTCAACAGATGTTTTTCAGGAGCCCACTATGCAGCAGTCACTGTCCAAGGCACCGGGGTTAGAGTAAGGTACGAAACTGACAAGATTCTTGATCTTAGCAGGTTCTACAATAATTGTATTATTTTTATAAAGACAAAGAAACAAATATTAAAAATAAATAAGTGCTAGGGGCCTGGGTGTCCTAGTTGGTTGGGTATCTGCCCTTGGCTCAGGTCATGATCTCAGATTCCTGGGATGGAGCCCTGGGTCCAATGGGCTCCCTGCTCAGCAGAAGAATCTGCTTCTCTCTCTCTCTCTCCCTCTGCCCCTTCCCCCTGCTCATGATCTCTCTCTCTCTCAAATAAAAAGATCTTAAATAAAAATAAAAGTAAATAAATGCTAATATCACAGATATTATTAAATCCTCTAGACAAATATGAACCTCTTAGAACCTCTAAGTTTCTATAAACAGTCCTCAAAATGAAAAACATAATTAAAAATTGTACCTGTGAGGGTCTTTTGAGCTAGGTATGATTTTGTTACATTCTCTCTTGTTGAACGCTCCTTCAATCCAGGATTTCTGGGACTGAAGAAAAAGTGTCGTTATTTTTATATTATAATTAGTGAGAAAGCAACATAACCACAGTAGTTCAGGTAGGCAAAATATATTTAAATATCATGGAGATGAATTAAAATGCCAAGATGAACCCCAAATAGGCTAAGCATTTATTGACTTCTATCACAGACAACATAGACACAAATAAGCCAAATGTGAACACAAAAATATTCACAAAATTAATAGATCCATAATCTTATTTTCAGCAAAATGTCCATAAATGTATGAAACTCTAGGAAGGAAGTAATGTCATAACTAAAGCATTCCCTTAATTCTGCTAAAAGTCACCTTAAAATCTTTACCATAGTCCTACTGAGTGAATTTCAAGCTCTCAAAGTTCAAAATTCTACCTCATAAAGTACCACGTAGGCTAAGATTTCATGGAAGCTAGAACCTCAGCAAGATTCTGTGAAAGGATTTTAATCTAAAATGGACCTGGAGGATATGAAAAGTAGAATCTTACACATGTACCCTCAGAGGAACAGAACTTAAAAACTGAAACACTGATTTCCTACAGAAGACTGAGACTTATCTCTTGATCAATGAATATCTGCCAAGAATCTTTCCCCATCCTAAGCCAATGAATTCACAGCTGTACTTTCCCCTCTTTGCACACCTTGCCCGTAATTATAAGCCACCCCGGGCCTTCAATGGACTCACGTTGTAGCTTGCTACAGTGTTTTCCTGAATTGCAATTCTTTTGTTCCTCTGGAATAAATCCAATCTCTGGTCATTAGGGCTTGCCCCAGTTTACCTCCTTATTAAGACAATCTGATACACATTCTGTAAGCATGGCTTACGATGGATCATGCTGCTTCGATTTGCACAACCTACACCCATGCCTGAACCCAGGTGGGACATTGGTACTTGCTCATCCTCTTAATAAATCCTCTCCCACTGTACAAAACTCAAGTCACAGCCAAGCTCTTCCATAAGCTGTAGTAAGTCCAGAAGCAGAGGACACTGGATCTACAACAGGCCCCAACCAACTGATGGGTTTGGGCTTCTCCTAATATGAAAACATTTTAGCTCTGTATGGTATGAAAATATAAGTACAGATATAACTTGATAAACACACATGTTACAGCAGTGACCAAAGGGTGGTGAACAGGAATCTATAAGGGGACTTCTGCAAACCCCATGTTAGTGCAGTCCCCATCTCACTCTGACACCTATTCTCATCCTAGAGTTGCAGGAAATGCACTGCACCAGACAATGGATTACAAATCCAGCTGTGCAGCCTCATTATCATGCTGTCTGCTGGTCCCAGATGTTCAGGACGTGCCACCCTAAAACATGCTGCTTTGGTGTATAGGTTATTTTGAGCCGTAGGCACTTGAAAAACAGCAAATGCAGTGAGAGGCTTTCTCTGAACTCTCTTTATCTGTCTAAAGACAGATCTTCCAAAAGGAATTCAATTGTCATAAATCCCTGGGAATTTCATTAACCGGAAAGGATTGACTCTTATCTCAAGAGAAGGGAGTAGAAGTCAACACAAAACACACAAGACAAACCTTGTCACAAACTATCATATCTCCCATCTTTTCTTCTAAGAGCCCATTCATCTTTTCTAAAAATCATTTGCTCTCTTCTAAATTGCTGGCTATGTCCCCTGACATTCCCCCTATTAAGATGGTATGTAAATTCCCGAATATCACCACTTTGGGGATATTTACATTTGTTTTCCTGTGATATTGCCATGACCATAATATTAAAAAATGAATATTTATATCCTTTCCTCTGTTAGTTTATTTCACAGACCCAGCCATCAAACCTAAGAGAGCAGAGGAAAAGTTTTCTTCTCCCACAATTAAAAACGAGGCATTTATGGAATCCTCTCTGGATACTTTAATGTTAAACTCATAGATTTTGTTCAATATTCACCAACCCTAAATGTAAGTGTTGACTACTGAATAGAACCGCATATAACCAGAATCCAGATGTTGTTAAGCAAAAAGGAAGCTTGGGGGCAGGGGTGGCATTGACTGATGGGTTCCTGTGCATTTTGAACATACCTAACAAGGAAAACTTCCCAAATCGAGCTCAGATCATCTTATAATCATTCTACCTCTCATCCCTTTTGCATAGTCAGTAGCTTTTTAAAAGACATTTGCTAAATTGGTAAATCACTAAAAACATACAAACTTGAAAAGTTCAGAGTCACAGAACTTGGAATGAACTAAACAAAGTGAACTCAAAATCTACTTATTACAAGAAATGACATAATCTTTTAGAATCAGTAAGCCCTGTCCCTTCTTCAAAAACCAACAATTTCATTTACTCACTCTGCAAACATTGATTAAGTACCTAATTTTTGCAAAGCGCTGAGAGAAGTGCCAAAGGGAATTGGTATGGTCTCAAAGGGCTCTTCATTCTGAATTCACTCTACCGATATATTTTATAGGTCTCCTTGCTACATGCTGGGAATTCTATGGCAGGCAAGACAAGGTTTTTTTCCTCTGCTGGAACTTGGAATAAAAAGAAGGAAACAGATAATGAAATGATATCATTTCACTTCCATGTGCACCAATCAACTATTCAAAAGAGCTCCAGAAAGGGTCCCTAAGACAGGAGCCTCAATCCACAAATTAAGCACGCTGTGCTGCCATTCATTTATTTACAAGACTAGATGTCTGACTGGTAGGACTACCTGAGCAAATTAATTTCTTCATGCCTGTTTGCTCATATATTAAAAATAGAGATAACAGTAATAATAGCACTGTTGAAAGGAACAGATAAAGGCTTAGAATTCTCCCTGGGACTTATTAAAGGCTCTATAAAGCTTAGCTATTATTATTGGTATGTCAAAAAGAAAAAATTAGCTTTTGGTGGGTGGCCAGGGAACTTAACTTTGATTTTTTTTTTTTTTTCAGAGAAAAATACTTCTTGACCTCTAAATCTTCTCCCTGGGACCTCTCACACTAAAAATGAATGACTTCTCCAGGTCCACTTTCCCCACTAGACTTGAACGCCCATAGGCCCCATGCCAGTCGTTTCTGTTGCCCCAGGGCCCAACCCAATAATTACTGAAAGAACAACAAAATGAACACACCTAAATTAGAACTTCAGGAATCCACGAATACAATTTTCCCTTCAAAGGTGTAAACAGGAAACCAGTGCCATAACAAGAACATGAAAACTCTGCTCCTGTAACTCGAGTATCTTATCTCAAAACTACAGGAAAAGAAACGCAGGCTTAAATTCCAAGAGTTTCAAACAAGTCCCAACTTCTAATGTTACTTTTTCCCCCTCCACCTCATAATGGTAGCCTTTTCAGTATACTCTGAAACATACATGGAAGAGGCCCCAGTGTTCAGGACAACAGAGAATGATTAGAAACCAAAAGTTTGTTGGTTTTAATTCAATGGTCCAAATCTACTGAGGACAAATGCCTGATGTGCTGGCTTCTGCCACTTGGAGCAGCAAACTCTCATGGGTAGTGGTTGACAGTGGAGATTATGCCATTTCTGCAGCCATCATGGCAGCTAGAAAGCTGGGTGTTTTTTATATAATATAAAAATTATAAACATATATTTTTAATATATACAACATATATATATTTGGTCTCAGGCTCAATATGTACCTCATCCTAAAATATAAGCAGATTTTACTTAAAATCTCAGACCTGAAGTGATGATGGCCACTAGCACAGAAATGTCCAAAAACAAATCCTCCAACAAAGCTATATGTGAATTAACCCTTCCCCTCACTGAAAGTGAGGCTATATTGGGGCTTCTTAGGTCTTCCAGAGAACAGCTTCTCTCTCTGGGGAATCTCTGAGAAGGCATAGTAATAGAGGTATTCCTTAATTAAAAAAAAAAAATTCTACATGTGTGCATGAATTTTTTTTTTTTAACATCCAGAGGGCTGTGTGATTGGGGGTGAAAGGGAACACAGATTACAGGCCATTTGTTGTCTTTTTAAAAACTCTTTTGTAATTAAAAAAAAATCTAATGTCTAATAAATGCTTTTCCAAGTGAAACGGACTTATTCCCTTTTATGTTCCCCACACTATCTTATATATATCATAGCATGAACAATACTTCATTGTACTTAATTTATTTTCTCTTAAAATCAACCTAACCTACATTAAGATACAGTGCTAGCTCATGTAATCTTGGAATCTACAATACTCAGGGAGGCACCAGAAGGGACCAGCAAGAGAAGTGATATTTTCAGACTCCAGATGGACATTTGATATTTTCTCTACATGGCCTCTCCTCTGGAGCAAGGACCTCTTCAAACTGAGTCACAGGAGAATAGACTTTGACAGGGCACAATCTGTTGGCTTAGGGAAACAGCTTCAGTGCAAAGCAAGCCCATCCACCTGGAAGGGTCAGCTCAGGGTCTTCTGTGGGGTTCTGTCCACATTCTACAGGGTACTGCATAGGACTAACCTGATCCAAGATTAACAGTCTCAGGCAAAGGGTGCTGAAACCTAAAATAACCAAAACTCAAGGATCTGGTTCACCCACACTGCCCCGAGTTAATCTCATTTCCAGTAAATAATCTTTCCAGCAGGCAAAATTTAGGCATACTTCAGAAAAAAATAATCTTAAATGATTTCTTCCTTTGAGGTAGAAAAAAGTGAATGCTATTTTTGCTGGTAATGATTTTTTTTTGTAACATCATTAAAAATGGAATGTCAACTAAATAACTCAAAATCTCCTAAAATGCCAGTTCACCTGTTTAGGTGAGGAATTTTGCTAACATTTCTAAATGCCTTGTTGAGCCAAGGCATTTAGAACTTCAGAATGAAGGTCTACATTATATAAACTCATAAGTACATGAGTAAAACATTTATGAATTCTTCACAGAGCCTAATGGGGACTTGGAAGAACTCAACAGTGACCAGCCAAGTAGAGCATATCATAAAGGTTCAAACTAAACTGATGTCTTGGCCTGTCCCTTCGCTTCCCTTCCCACACTGGTGAAAGTCCTCATTATGTCAGTACTAACACAATTTCAAA